GGGGGGGGGGGGGTAAAACAACAAATATGATTAAAGGGGCGAAGGAGAGGAAAAGAGGAAGAATAGAAAGAAATACGAGAATTGGGTGTCTGAGCTAGTGGATTTGAAGTCCAGAATGGGCTCGATGGGGATCTCGCGGGAAGAAGTAACAGAAGCGAGGGAAAAAGAGAGAAAGATAATGGAAAAAAAAAGTATGTAAAAGTAGTTTGGCGCGTGAAGCCCCAAGAATGCTTCGAATGATCACTTGAAAGAAACAGTTAACGTTTAGCTTTAAGAAGTAGTACAACGGCCTATGTTTGTCTCGTGCAAGAGAGCAAGCGAAACGTCACCGTGTCTTATACAGTCTATCCATTGTCAAAATTATTTTCGCGTTATCGACTGTCAGAGTTGGCGCTCCGTGGCCAAGTTGTTAGCTGGTCTGATTATTTGAGAACAGCTTAATGAGTGAAATTAGAGTGTGGAGCGATGAAAATGTATTAATAAACAGAGGGAGAGGGAGAGGGAGAGAGAGAGAGAGAGAGAGAGAGAGAGAGAGAGAGAGAGAGAGTGCGCGGTGTCGTTTCCAAATACTCTCCGGCGATTATACGTCCCCGCGTGATATCGCGGGAAGTATTTTTGTACGTTTACTCTGTACTAATTTACTCTAAAGAGAAATCTATATATATACATATACAAATATATATTTAAGCATATAAGTATATGTATATATGCTATATGACTATCGTTATAATTGTGATACTGGCTGTATCGATCGGCTCCACTATTTTAAAGATTAAGTGACTATTATATGGTATTCCATAGTATAGTAATACTAATATTTTAGTAATAATATTGGGCTCCACGTATGACCTGCCTGCTTCTTCAGAAGTTCCGGGCATCGAGCTCTCAATAATTAGAACATCTTGATTGCGAATTGCCCGTTTGCCCAACCACTCTCGTGTTCTTCCTTGGGTTCCTTTATTGCCAAGAAACAGTGCGTGCCTCGGTCATTCCTTTTATTCTCTTCTGAATAATTGCACATACGATAACGCTAAATCTTTCGTCTGTCTTTTGTTACTATTTTACTATTAAATTAAATACATATATTTTTATCTCAAAGATAAGTCTGTTTCGTCGCGAAATATTACCGTTTTGCTCGTGGTGCGCAGAAAAACACGCACGTTCATTACCTCTGGCACTTATACTTTTATTTCCTTCTCTCTTGGCTTTTAATTATTTCTTCTTGTTGCTCCGTTTAGCAGTTACCTTGTACGGCACTGTCCTCTTTTTCTCTGTTCTTTTGACAATTTTCTTCTTTCCCGTTCTTTTATCTTTCCACATTTTCTCTTTCCTATTCCTTGATTTATTTGTTATTCTCTTATTGTTCATCGGTAATCTCGATTATTAGAACCCCTAGATTCTCTAATTCTTCTCCTATTGTACTGAAGCTACATATTACTCATTCGATATATATGTGTGATGACATTAACAAAGAAAAACAAGATTTTTGAAAATCTTTATCCTCGTTATCATAGGGTGTATCGTTAGAGAGTAAAAAAACATAAGTCCTGTCTAGTAAGATAATGTTGCGTGTTTAAATATTGTCCATTCCATTCCCAAGGTTGTATACCCTCTTCGCTATTCAGTAAGATCACCGTGTCTTAGACTCAGTTTTCCCATTTTCACTTGTGCAAATTGATTTTTTCATTTTTTTAAAACCTTTTTTCGCTTGATTTTACTTTAAATCAGACCCAAGTCCAATCGTTGTTTGATATTATTTCTAGCATTTCCGGGTACATACTTCCGGACTCGCTCACTGTTTCCCATTTCGTATTTCATAATTAATCCTGAAACGAAAAAAAGGTTGGCCAAAACCCCCACAAGAAAGGAAGAATCATATTTATTTATTATGCATGTACATACAACTGTTATTGTATTAAAGAAGAATATGATGATAATAAAGGATTAAGAACGAAGACACTCGTTAAATGATTTATGATTCAATGAAATATGAATGGAAAAGTTTTATTACGGATTTTTATTATTTTATTATTTAATTATAAAAATTTATCAAATCTACATGATTGAATATTCATCAATGGATCAATATTAGAATACATTTTTTTTAGTTCTTTTTCACATACATTTTTCCCCAATTTCCTTCAGTATGGCTTTGGTCTGTGTAATTTCTCGCGTATCTTACTCGTTGACATTTTCTGCAATAATTTCTGATCCGATCTGTCTCGACTCGTCGACGATAATTCGACTTGTCGCCATACATTTATGAGAGCATTCTCTCCTCCGGTTACTAAACAGCCACTCTACAAATGAAATTATATATATATGTGTGTGTGTATGTATACATATATATATATACATATATATCATCGTCATTTTCAGTCCACTACGTTTAACGAACTTTAGTGTCTTGTCCTTTGAATACCTTCTCGTGCATCCAACTGTCACGCACAAGCTGTTTGTTTCCCGGCATATCGTACAACGTCTCCAGATGATTTTCCACCACGGCCATGCAACGCAGAGTCGACCTAAGTAGTTAATCAGTAACATTAATGTTTTAAAAACAATATATATGCAACATGTTACGATGTATTTTATTACTCTTGTGTAAACTCCCTTTCTTCCTGGCCCCTGCTTTCCAACACTTCTATCTTGTCTAAGCAAATACAGATAAAGGTGCACACGAGACTCTTCTTTCTAGGTATATAGCATGTGCGAAGAGTAACGAGGAATACATGCAATGTTTATTTGGTTAACTCCCGAATCAATGGAAAAATAATGAAAATTATCCGTACAAAGTACGGTTCTAAAATTCTTGAAATCACCATGGGTTCCACCACACAAATATTTTTTACATTAGTAAACATAGGTCGTATATTTACCCTTTGGCACTACAGGAGCCTGCCAATAGGAAAGGTTTTTCTCCTAATACATCCGACTTGTGCATCCTCACCACATATTGATTATCAGGATCTTCGTGCTATAAAAAATAATTTTCTTACAGGTTGACGGATATTTTTACCATTTTCTTTCTTCACTTTTCCTGAACGAACCTGAGACAGCCCAAAGTACTTTCTATCAAATCTCAAGTGCGGAGTTGCAGCATCGCACTCCCACAATTGCAACGAATGTGTATGAGTAGTGCACCATAGGTTGCCTTTATCCAACCAGCCAATTCTGTCCTTTCATTCAAAATACAAGTGGGAAAGTTGGATATACCCTTATTTCAAATTTATAAATATTGCTTAATGTAACACTTACCACAGAGGATTCTGTATTCAAGGAGTAATTCAATGCACTGTCTTCAGTAGATTGGCTAATATCAAAAATGTTGATCAAACCATCAGTACTGCCAGATGCTAAAACATCTGATTGATTTGGATGGAAAGTCAAACAGGTAACGTCTTCCAGGTGTGATTCCCAGTATCCACCTAAGAGACTTGTTCTGTCACACTTGATGTTTCCCATTCTAATATCCCAGAAAAGAATAAATGCATCCCCACCAATATGTTCAGTACCACCAGCCAAAAGCCTTTCGTTGCAGTTCAGATCGAAACTTGCTAATGGTTTTATCTTGCCATCCTCTGTACTATCTAAATTGATAAGAATATTCAAATTATTTTGTGTATTAGACACTTAACTGGCTTGACTTAGACTTGACATTGTCTAAACCTTACCTTTAAACTCCATTACAACCTTTCCTCTAGCTCGAAGATCACAGGCTGTAACAAAGCCATTGCGTGAAGCCACGTAAAAGATGTTCCTAGATGTGGGACTGAATTTTATACCCACAATGGAAGCTTGGTTGTGATTCAAAGTGGCTACCTGTGTCAAGGCTTCTCCAACAGAATAGACAATACACATGTAATTGGACAATGCCACTCCAATCCGAAATTCGGGATCGCTTTTACATGAAAATTATAATAGATAAGAAAATATTTATATTAGAAGAATAAAAGCAAGTGACGACTTACGTCTGCGTGCCACAGACGGAGAGTATGTAGTTCTCGTCAGATAATTTGTGAAGGGATTCTTCCAGCGTTATGGTCAATTCTTTATTATTATTCAAAGCCATTCGCTCATTTTCATGATATCTCAACCTTTTGTTGACACACAACTTTTTCAGCGGCTCAATTATCTTCGACATTGTTTGGATTTCCTGAGTCATCCGCGAGAACACAGTTTCCTTTACACCAGGAGGATAACTGTTGGTCTCTACAGATTGTCACCAATTAAATTATTACAATCTTATAATGTGCCGCCTTGCAAAAACTCTGAGAACGCTAAACGCCGTAACATATACAAGCGATTAGTTCAGATTAGGTTACGTTTCATTATGACGCTATTTCAATCAACCCACAGGAAAACCGCCCTTGGGTTTAAAATACATTATGTACGGAGGAAACAGTACTAATACCGCTTACAACTCACTGCACTCGGTGTGCACTAAGAACAAATTTGCTAATATTTAGCCAATAATATTAGAGAAAATTTGTGCAATCTGTTTCTATTGCAATCTAGTACTGTATGTACAGTGAGTTAAAAACGATACCTATATGAGAGTCAGAGCATTTGACTGTAATTATCGCAACAGTGTAAAATTTCACCACTCAAAAGTATTTGCTTCCTCAGGACAATTTCTGCACGACATAGCAGTTAAAAATTGGAAAATACTTGCGCAAGGGTAAATATCAAAAGATAGAATATGAAAATCAGAAACAAAAGATCTTAAGGCTATCATTGGAACAGACATTGGAATTGGATTTGGTAGTAATGGCATTTATAAAAAAGTAAACTAGCATATTTTCTCTTTTTTTTTATTGAGATACACAGATTAATCGGCCTTCTTTGTTGCTCGTACTTTCTTGGCACGCAAAGGTTTCTGAGACCGCAAAACAGCACTTGCCCTGCGAAGTGCAGCCTGTAAAATAGCATTAACAAGATTAGTTCTATCCTTATTGCAGCAGTATCCAATAATTAAGAAACAATCATGTTTCAGATAGCAAATATATAATCATGGCATTCATCGATCTTGGTGGTTGTATGTATGTCATCATTTAGCAGAAATCAAATTTTTGATATAGAAATTTACATAGATCATTTGAGGTTTACGTTTCGGTTACATTCGGAATAAAAATCGACAATTTTAAAGTATACCTTGTTAAGGTCCACGCGATATTTGTTTGCAGTAAGAAGCCTTCTCAAGTTGTGCAAAGAGCGTCGAGCACCAGCCCTCATGGTACGTCTAACAGTTGCCTTTGCCGGCTTATTAACAGCCTTAGCTTTCTTATAAACAACCGTGAATCCTTTTTTATCGGGAGTATCAACAATTCCCACGCTCTTGCGGTGAACGAGACCGGAATACCTGTAGCTACTCAAGTTAGTCAGGTTGCTGGGTTCCTAAAAATTCGTTAGACGATTCAATTTGATTCTTACTAACTCACATGTAGATATTACCGTTAGCTGATCGATTGAATACGTACCGTAGAAAATGGTTTGTTGATATTACGTTTCTTCAGGAGAAACGCGTTGTTGTTGCGAATTATCATCCAATTTAAATGGGACGACATCTTGAATGTCTAAAAGAATAAAAATTCTATTATCGACGAATGCTTCTGAATGCTCAACTATACTCAGGCTCAGAGACAAATTTTCCTACGTTTGATTCAGAATAATGGAAGCTACAGATTAACATGCAATATGCACGTCACTTGAGCGTGCACACGTGGTAGATCAAGTTAGATTTGCTATTGAGGAAAAAAAAAGAATTCTGTACTGAATATCGTTACAATCAATTACACAAAATGAACAGTATTCGTTTAATATCCAACATTTCTCTGAAAACGTGAAATAATTAGAGTATCTTGGAAATTGACCTCACCTCATGTACTCCCTCGTGAGTAAGCAACAGGAAAGACCTGTTAAAATGGCAGCCGGAAATCAAAACTGATTGCAGAGTCAGTTTCTTCGAAAATGAAAAATTTGTAATTTAATTCTACAAAGAATTACAAAATAATCTGAACAAAACAAGTTAAAATATTTAGATTATAAATAAATAATTAGTTTCAATAATGCTCAGTTCAAATATATAATTGGAAACTCGTTTAGAGCCGACATCTTATTATTTGGTTCTAACAGAATTCTCCAACAGCATAGTGAATTCAAGAGAAGTAGTGATTTTTGCCGTAAAAGCCAAACGGCCATTATATCTAATATGCTGTACAATTTATTTCTAAGGCGGAAAATTTGAAAAATACGACAAGATTAGGTTTTCATCAGAATATTTTATTGCAATAATATATTTCGATATTACGCAGCTGGTAATTCTTCGAACATAATTGCTGTATCATTACAATCATTTAACGATTTATCAGGTTTATGGTATTCATTCAATGTATAGCTTTCTTGAAAGTCTTGAGGTATGTGTAGCATGAATTTAGACTGAAATAATATATCATTGCTAGGTAGCTGTTGCAATTGAATCCATCTCCTAGCAACATGCTGAGAAAAGCATTTTCTGAATATCAAACAATGCATGTGAGGCAATTTCTCATACTTTATTCTCATAAAACCAAGGTTAGCTAGAACAAATCTCCAAGATTTCATTACTTTAGCATTGGCACCAACATGTTTCGAATCTGGTGTTACAATTAAAAGAATTCCACCAGCTTTTAACAATTTGTATGCTTTTGTACAGCAAAGATATCTTTGTTTGGGACATGGTAAGTACTCCAAAAATAAGGAAAATATTACGACATCAAAGAAATTCATAGGTAACTCTGTTATAGTCTTTGTTTCCTCATTAACAATTCTGTTCCCTCTGATGTTCAAGTTTAAGAAGTCACACTGCAATACATTCTGTGAATATGGAATTAAATCTATTGCTGTTACATGGAACTGATCCATATTCTCAAAAGGGTTGTAACAACTCCCAACATCAAGTAAGAATAATTTTTCCATATTTAATGAGCAACTATCTTTTTTCTTGGTTGTTATTGCAGTTAATTTAAGTTCAATATCCAATTCCCTCTTCTGATATCGTTCCCTGCCTTCATTAAAGAAATATTCTATGCACTGCTTCTTTATCCATTGTATTCTACATTGTAATTGTTTGGTTGGATCTGCAACATTCTTAGCCCAATATTTTGTAGCAAGCTGTTGCATTGAAACTGCATATTTCTGTAATAAGAAAAAGAGAAATGCCATTTATGCCATAGAGTCAGATGTTTAATACAGAGTTTAGTTATCAAATGGAAAAATTACCAGCAAAATTTCTTTTTGTTCTACATGTTTTCTCCATGCTACAGTTGCTCCATGAATTTGTGATTCCTTTCGCAAGTTACTATGAGTATTTTTTATAAAGTCTGCTAAAACCTTATGTTCTTCTGAAGCCATTTTTCTATTCAATATCAGTGAAGATCAAAGAATTGTAGTTAACTCCATATGGTACATATCAAGTCATGGGACTACTGTAATCCTAATGTGACAAATTTGACTCAAAACACGATGCTGCTAACACATAGTATAATCCGCATAAATTATTATCCTATCGTTTGGCCATGATACCAGATGATACAACTATCAACTTCTTTGGACATCGATAAGACAGGTTAGGTGAGGAACTTGTACATAATGTGAGTAGTGCCATCTCTTGGATAGCCCCTGAAACGTATAGTGTCACTTATAATTTATCTTCATTCGTCAATCCACACAATATGACGATTCCATTACTTTGGAGGAACTTAATAGGACGACCGTTCGAAAAAGTTCCCATGCCTATCTGTCCATACATACAAACTTACCTCTGTGATTTTTTTAGAATTCTCTGCAAGTACTGCGTGAATCATTGCTTTTTTATTTTTCCGATACCAGCGAGAAACAAGGCTACGCTTGTAGTACAAGTAGTGGATTTAGAACAAATCTATAATAATAATCACCCATGTTTAATTTTCCGCCCCTACCAGTAAAACAACAGTATGGCTATATACTTAAATTCAGATTTTGTATAAATTATCATTATACAGGTAAATTATATAGGTCCTCTCTCAAAACATAAATCTTAACACATACGAGAAAATCCATATCTAAATTTTGCTCATTATTTTAGATTACAAAAAGCGCTCATAGTTTATTTAAATCATTTCGAAATATGCCATGATGAAATCAATACCATTAAACCTACAGAAAAATATGTGAAAAGTATGATTAATTTACTCAGATATATCGAAACTAGTAAGAATCGATAGTACGTGGTAGGTAAGAGTGATCAATTTACTTATATTAATAATTGAAGTCTGAAATGTTTTGTATAAATATGTATATCGTCTAGTATTATAGGTACATAGTTGTTCTACAGAAGTCTATAAAAATACAATACTAGCTTTCACTAATATAAAGTGAATAAAAATTGGCAGAGGGAAGATATACATTGTAGATACGTTAGTACGAATACATTGATAATTCGTACGTCTCACTATTGAACATATACATTATTTACTCATAGGTTAGTATAAATCACTCACTCAGGCACTCTATTACTCTCGTGGCTAGATTTATATTAATGATACGATAAAAATGTACCATGTTGCCAAGACGCCATGTGACACTTTAGACATCGCGCAGTATCCGCTGAATGCACTAAATCCGTTTATCCTCTTCAAGTCTCCCGCTCGGCTCGAAAATCGTAGAAATACTGCAAGCAAGAGTAGTCCAAAATCATATGGTTAATTTCGGGAAACTGTTTAAACAAGATAAGAGATAACTATCACTAATATCACAATTCTTTTACTGACTTTTAATATTTATAAGATTCCTGCTTTATATATGTAAGTACAGCAGAATCTTGATTTTCTTCTTTACTCGGGAAGACTATGAAAATAATCGGAGCTATACTAGTTGCGCGTACTAATCTATTCTACGGAAACAATTGTGTCAAACGTGACCGAATACTGGCAATTGTAAGAAACACGGATGTGTGGCAATACGCTTCGTTCAAAACGATATTTCCCTAAGTTTTTATCAGTGAAAGGGGGCCACAGATTACGGAAATACGAAAATAATCGAGATTCTACTATATTACATTCCTGAGTAGAAAAATCTAATATTGCCCATTTGCAATTGTTGCTTTCCATTTTGTATAATCCTTTTGACAACAAAGATGCTTGGTAACTTACGTCCTGATCCAGCTCCTTTTGCGATCGAGTTTTTATCACAGGAAGCTTATTCTATAAAGGGAAAAACAATATTTATTAGACTTACATATTGACAGAAACGTTGAGAGCAATGCACTTGGTCAAACATTGAAAATATTTTACTTACAGTTGTTGAATCAACGTGTAAACTAAGAATATTGTTTAAAATGAAAGGAACTCCATCGAGATCGGATGATCCTGGCAGTGTACCATAAATCGGCAGAGAACCGGGGAGCATTGAAACAGGCGGTCGAGGAGCTGGTCTTGTCGGTTTGATCCGAGCATTTGGACTCAATACCTCGTAATCTTGATCATTTGACTCCTTAATATCTATTTTTCCTACATTCACTTGACTAATCTGTGGATAAATACCATTAGGAGGCTTTGGAGCAAATTTTGGTTTTGGAGGCCTCTCTGGTGGTATCCTGCTAGGAGTTCCATTTGAGGAATTTGGTGATATATTTTGAAATGAACTGAAAACAAAAAAGAACACAATAAATTAATGCAAAACTATCGCACTATGATCACACTGCTTTTCACAAGCATAAACTCACTTTATATTTGCATAGGACTGCAAGCTTGAGTTACCATTGCTAACTGTCCCAGTCTTATAACATATTATTACACCATTTATTTCACTGAAATATTTATTGTAATAAAACATAATGATACTATATTATTCTATTTGTATAATTGTGCGTTTTCCTAATAAAAATAACTTACCCTGCATACATGAAGCCTGCAGGAGCTTTTTTAATACGACTGCATACAATAATATCTGTTATCGCTTTAGCACAAGAATCCCTGTTTGTAACTTTGTAACACAGTTGTCTCTTTCTCCAGGCTTTCTGTGCTACAATGTATCACTTATAACATTATTTAGATAAAATATAAAAATATAACCAATAATTAATACAGCAGTCAGTTATATACCAGAATCAACTGTACGTGCAATCAAGCAAAACCCTTCAGGTGGATTTTCTCTCTCACTGATAATCCTAATATCTTCAATGACACAATGTGGTACACCCTCAGTTTTGGAAATACAAATGTATCTACCCTTTTTTTTAATAAACAATCCACTGTCCCTCCACAAATCTGCATCAGAGTCCTGATCATATGTCCTTGATACCTAATACAATCATTCGCACACAAGAAAAAGAAATACATAAAATTATAGGAGGCTTATACCAAAATTTCTTACAGCTGTGAAATTTGATGGGCATTTCTCAATATCTTCCACAATCGTAATGGCAGTTACTGGTCTATCATCAGGCAGCAGTGATGACAGCTGATTTAACATTTTATTATTACTCTTTTGCGACATTCTGGAATTCTAAAAGAAAAATGACATACAGTTTTTGCTTGTATCACATTAGATTTTAAAACTGTTATAAAGTCTGCATGGGTAAACGGCTCAGGTCAAAAAACGGGTAGGACAGAGAACACGTGGTTACGTGCAAAATCGCTTACACACACTCGCTTTTTCACTTAGAATGAATCTTTCTACAGCAGAATTCTATAAATAAACGAATTGAAACTACGTTCAAAGATATAACTCACGTTTGTTAGAGATTGGACGGATGACGTCTAAAAGTTTCACACTGTAAATGTTTAAGCTTGAATCCAATTACTCGGTCAATTAGCTTCAATAATATGACACATTCGCTTTACGAATTTTCTAACTGATTTCTGTCTGAATCTCACATCTAACAAGCTCACAAACGAATTATTGGAACGATTGAAACAACCCAGAGTGTACTTCTTGATTAACGAGCGATCAAGTTTGACGAATTAGTCAACACTGGTATCGTTCGAAGAAAGTTCATCAGAACTCTTCACCGAATTCATTAAGGCGCAAGCAGATAAAATTCTTACACTTCGTTCAGTCGCAGTTTTTCACACATCTCTGCTCTCAGTTGCGTTTTAGTTTAGCCTTCACTTAGATTTTCTTAGACTTGCTATTTCGAGCATCGACCGGCTGTGACGCCGTCGACAAAATCAGCACCGATGACATGGGTTGTATACCTTAACCTATTCTGACCTCATATGATTCTAGGAGCCACCACCCAACCCCCTACCTCTTTTTGCTGCTGCTGTGATTGAACCCACACACCTACAACAGCAGCAATAAGCGATACTCACTCAGTGCTAATTATTAGTTTCCTCCTTTACTCAGTTTTGGGCAATTTTGCATTACTCTAAAGTAACTTCAACGATGCAACTGTGTGCGATTCACTGCGATTGATCGACTTTTCTTCGCCGTGTCTTTGTAGTATTCGTTCGACGGATTAGCACGGATAAGCCCTCGCACCACCAGTCTTCATCCGCTTATCTCCTTCCTGCTGCAAGAAACATGCAACTTTCTATATGCCTTTATTTATGCCTTGTCTTCTCTCGTCCTCATCAGTTCCGATCCCTCCCCTCCATCCAATTCGTCTAAATTAGATGTTTAAGTATGCAGCCTTAGATCTATGCATCGATTGTACAGGGTTGGTTTATCCGATATTACCTCCTAACAGTTGTAAAACAAACGAACGGGGCAGGTCTTAAAATGTCACAATTCCTGCCAGCCCGTCACTACTGACTGCAAGTGATACCATTCAAAGTTTATGAGGTTTTTGATATAGAAGCTCTTTAGTAGTGCACTACTGTCAATCATTATGATGCATCGCTGGTCTCACGGTCGGTCAAGAGCACTCGGAATATTTGTTGATATCAGATCAACAATTCAGGGAACCCTATTATCTTGAAGAGCGGATGAAGATGGCCCCTCAGGCCGCTCTAGACCGAAAAAACTGGAATTGAATGTAATATGGTGTAATATCGCCTATATTCAGCGATCCATCAGGTGCGTGTCTAGACCCATCTGCCGGCCATTCTGTGACCGTCAGTGATCATCGAGTCATGACCAATCATAACGTGCTACACGCTATATAGCCAGTACATAACAAGAACAGTAATAGATGCCATGTACTGGCACATCTCATTGGAGGAGGCAGCCACAAGGAAAGGAAGGAATAGATGCCATGTGACGCCAATAGCTAATGGACGCCAACTAGGAGTTTGGTTCAATTCAATTCAGTTCAGTTCGGTTTCATACAGTTGTAAGTGATTCCATGTGAAAAGTGTAGTGTAACAGAATCCTTTAATGTACTAGACGAATTCGGTATTAGTATTAGAAATGGGACGCAGCTCATCTTGCGATCATAGATCGGATAAACGGCGAAAATATCTAGATCGTCGTGAGTCTCGCGTTAGTGGAAAAATTGAAGCAGAACGGGAAGACCGCAGACGTAGATGGTTAAAACAGCGAGAAGAAGAAATGATGCATGAACTGTACAAAGAGAAAATGATTCTTCGATACGAGATTCAAAGAGCTCGTGAGAAAGAACGAGCAGATTCTGAGCGGGATACATCTGTGTCGCAGGCTGGCTCTAGTAGAAATATCCAAAATTATAAAAGCCAATCGTTACACAGTTTGACTAAATCAGACAAACCACAAACGCCACCAAAAACTACAATTATGTCTGAAAAGTAAGTATAAGTATTCAGAAAAAATGTTTCTTAATTTGTGTTTTGATAAGGTGAAATACTTTATTTTCCTCAGACTAGAATCTCCGAATGGGAATAGATCTTTGTTCCAGGGCCCTGAAGGTACATGTATTAGTGCTCTACAATTAAAGTGTATAAAGGTCAATATTCAACGAAGCTTACCATCAACGGAAGTTACTATTAAACAACTGCAACGTGACATTGTGAATCCTGAGGATATCATATTGAAAAGGCGAGAGGGTAATGTGATCATTTTTTCCTCCTATATTTTCCTTTAATTTTTTGATTTTCCTGAATTCATTATAATGAAAAATATGGATGTATAAATGGCAGCACCGAAGATGTAGATGTCAAGAGAAATGTTTTACATTTACAATATAATCTTTGTTAAAAACACACTCATAATTAAGTCAATTCTATTTTGAACATATTTCTATTATAGTTGATGGAATTTTGTAAAAAAAAAGTATAGTATACCCAAACCCCATGATCAGCAACAACCATGGAAGATAAACTACTATGGAATCCTCTATGGAAGAATTAAATTCAACAGTTGAAGATGGTATAGATGTTTAATCAAGAATATTCTTCTCCGCTTAGGATTTAGCTTACGTGGAACCACACAATTGGAACAGAATTTGTGCCTATAACACAATGGGTGTAAGCTTTAGTTACCTTTTATAATAGCATATTTTTGCTTTCACCATTTTGCACATTATGTATATTTGCTTGGTCCTTGCTTCCTAATTGCATCTATTACTTGACTGGAAACTAAATTTTAAAAAAATTATTAACTTCCTTATATCCATCGAGGCAAACATTACTTTGCACAAAATGTTAAAGTCATTAATTTTATCTTTTTGTTTTCCTATGAACCTTTAATTTTTTATTAAAAAATTCTTTATTCACCATTTAAAATAATTTGAATCATCAGCTTTGCATGTACTACCATTACTTCTTGTAGAGTTTCATTGAATTATAATCATGTTAGTTAACATCTGTTGTAATATTCTAAAACAACAACTGGAAGATTATTAACGTCTGGAAGATATAACGACTGCAAGATCAAAACACGCTATTTACTGAAGATATTGAACATAAATAATTTTACATTAAAAGATATTTAGCAGCAATGATAACACGATCAGATTTTTGAAAGAGACCTAAGAAAAAAACAAGACAATTTGCAAAATAAAAACAGTAAACATTTAAACAACTTAGAACTTCTTGAAAACTGAGGATACAATATGTCGAAAAAACGTATTTTTGCGCAAAATCAGAGCATATAAGTTACTCAACCAAAAGGTTAATTAAGTATTTTTTGATTCAATAAATTTAATAGCTAATATTTACAGCTTTCTCTCTCTCTCTCTCTCTCTCTCTCTCTCTTTCCAATTAATGCAAATAGCTATTTGAAACGGGAGATTGCTTATAATTTCTATATATTTACGTTTTGCCGTCGTTATACGACATAACTCCTTACTTCGAAATAATTCGTTGAACACAGTAAGAATGAATGTCAGAACAACACTTGTCTTGTCAGAACAAGGAACAAATATGAGAGAAAGGAAGATGAGATAAAAGCACATTGGGAAATTAGTAATAATTCGTCAAACAAATTTAGTACAGAAGCTTCTATTAAATTTGAAAGTCCTTTTATAGTATGTACATTTGCTTCGTTACTTGATTGTACGAAGAATTGATAATTATTTCAAAGCATTACTAATACCAGTGAATAATTACGATAGGAGAAGGATCTAAACCGATCTTTGAACGAGACGAACTAAAGCAGGCGGAAAGTAACACTAGTGACGTAGAAGAGCGCCGCAGAGTTATTGCCGTGTTCACGGAGCACGTTGAAAGGTCACGCTCCCCGAAACGACCCAGAGTCTCTCTAAGCTCATCAAGAACGTTTAGTCGCAGTCCTCAACGCATGTCGTTCGAGCACAATTTTAGGTGTGTCACAAACCCGTTCAAGAAACTATCAGTCCACGCTTTGGCAACTTGATAATCTAGAGTCCTTTCTGTTATGAATTGAATCCATGTGTTCTTATTAATATGGATATGTAAAATGAAAAAAGAATTTAACCGAAAGATATGAATATTGCGTCATAGACACATCCAATTTAACAATTTCCTAAAGGTTCACTGGGTCTAAAGATCGAAAGAAAGATCTAAACTGTTTTTAAGGATAGTGAAAGTAGAATCCTCTTATTGTCATTGCCACGCGGCATCATCTAAATTGCTTTTTATAGTATATGTACAACCTTATTACACATTACTGAATAATGCACCCGTGACTGCACATACATTGAATGGAATTTCAGTAAATTACACATTTTTCAGACGGAAGACCATCGGCCTTTTTTTTTTTTTTTTGAAATTGCAATGCCTTGATTTGTTCTAGCTAGGCTAGTAATAATTCAGGTTAGGAAAAGGAAATACATGATGAGACGCGACACCGACGACCACAGTGACGAGTACAGCCGTGTGTTGAAGGCCTGCATGGCTTGCTTTGCACTGCACTTTCAAAATGTTCCTTGCCAAGTAACGCAGTGATGTCGCCTTCAGTCCGCTTATTGGTAATCTTATCTTTTCCAATGGCGTAACACAATAAGCAGCAGACGTCAGTCATGTCATCCACCAAGTCTTTGCTTTTATTACGGGATGTGCTTTTTACATAAATTTGACAATGAAACTCTGCAACTAGAGAAACAATGTTGACCATATTTTAACTTTCCGCAATTTCTCTATCCTTCCTACATTTTCTCAAACAGAATAGTCTAGACATTCGGTGAATGTGTATTGTGCATGCACTTGAACCAGGTAATGTTCAACTTGCCGATGTTACTAAAATCCGTTAGAAAATACTAAAATAACGAGGTGAGTTTTACACTTAATTTATTATCAACCATGTCAATGTTCTTTAATACTAATGGATCAATATTGCGTATCGTTTAGCAGTCGATTCTCATTGGCTTCTCATTCGCTTGAATGCGACACTAATATTGTTATTACATATTGGCGCATTCGCGTGCAAATTCAAGCGAGCTACATGGATTCACTGGATATGAATGTATTCCAAGCATTAACTGCCGAACTTTTCCAACATTTTATTAGTAGATGCATGAGCAATTGAATATTATTTTAAAAAGTTTTTTTGACCTCAAGAGTTCAGCATGACGATTAACGTTTTCCAATACGTCTGATTCAAATGATATTTCAATGTTTAAATGTAAATTAAACGTGACATATCTACGATGATAGACGCAGATCGCACTCATGAGGTCCGCTACATCGAAGATTCGGCTTAAGTAGTGATCTATACATTTTGAAATTACTTTGTGAAGTTCTGAGCAGCATGGTACTAAACCACCTGACAGCTCAGGTTTTTGTGAAACACCAATTGTCTCCAATGTTTGCGGATCTTCAATGATTGCCGAAATTGAACCGCTGGATCATTTTATAATATATAACGTACTGTATTTTTTGAGGCGGGGAGAAGGTAAACACCACTGCGACGAAACGGGACACCGGAATTGTCAAAAGGAAAGCAAGAGGTTGGTTCTCCCTTTTTTTTATATCCCTTTCCCTCCCCTTCTAGCGTGTGATTCTTTACTGCTCTAGTTCCTTCCAGTATTCACGTAAATATTGACTCTTCTAATAACTAGTTCTTTCGTAGTGCTGAGGAGTACAAAGAGAAAAATCTTAAAGCTGCCGAATCGCCACTACGTAAAACCAAATATGAACGTTCTCACTCGAAGGAAGGCGAGGAGAGGCTGGATAAACGAGAACGAGAACGCCGGCAATCTACTGATGTTTATCATTACAGGTAACCGTTAATTTTATTCTATGAGAAACAAGTTCACTAGTTTTCAACATTGCCGTTTTACTTCTGCAGATCTTCCCGAGACGGAACTACATCGTATAGGTCTCATCAAAGAAGATCAAGAGAATTTTCAAGTGAGAGACGCGAGAGAATGACGGAGAGAGAGAGAGATGAAGCTATGAAGAGAAGATTTTTGCCAGGCCAGCACTATTTTGAACAAGTAGCTGTGCCATTTTGCTACGGGGTATGTATTGCGCCACGTTCGACTGCCCGCTTAATTGGATGATCGATAAAATTTCATCTGTTGTCATAAATAGAGCTACCATCCGCCTTACCATCCAAACTTCCATCCGAATTATGCGATGATGCCACCTCGTGGACAAATCCCATTGTTGAGAGGCAGGTTTCCTCCAGGTGCCAGAAACGGTAGAGCACTACCGTGTCCACCCCGCTTTATAACGCAGAATGCTTACAGAATGGAGCCTATTGCCAATCCAAGTAATTTGTCTTTCAATTAATTTTAGCATTTGTCGTTCTCTTCTCATCACTGCCATTTTATTATTGATTTACTTCCACAGGATTCCATCGGATGTTTTAAATGGGGCATGGATAAACAACACGACTTTCTATCTTTGTAATTTTTAGTTTCTTTGTAAATAATTTCATTGAAAATACATATATGGAGCCTTAATTTTGTTTTCTCTTAAATTCATTGCTTCACGTGCAAGAGTAGTGACACTGGAAAATCAAGACCATTATTATTGCACCAGTGTCCAGAACCAACGCATAAAGTTTCGACGAATGCGAAAAATGTATCTGTGATTGAGATGTTCAGCAAGATGGACAAGTAGACTCACGCCAAGACCAGTAAAATAAATAAAGAAAGCTCCTTCGAGATGTTGAACCGTGATTGTTCTAGTGTCCTGCGGCTTGTACTTCTTGACATCCTCTCCTGTTTCGTTTCTGGCCAATTCCCACCTGCATCTGTTGGTCCAGTAATCATCGAATCCAGCTTCTAAGACTCGCAACAAGTGTTTGAAGACGACCGAAGCTAATGGTGAACCCTTTGTCACGATTATCGGCGAATGGAAGGTGAAAATTTTATCCTTTAAAACGCGTATCGTACCTGAACCCATATGATAAAGATAAAGGTAATTGCTAATTAGTTAACCATAATCAGATTGCATAAGTAAATTAACCGAATGTTGAAGCTCAATTACCATTACTTATTTTACTGTTGAAGAATGACGCGTATGACTCGAGGATTCCTGTTGCTATCTCCCCAGCGAAGAACAGATTCCTGTAACCCTCTGAATTTGAATCGAACACTTTGAAGTTCTCATATATCTTTCTGGTCATAGGATCGGACTGATCCTCATAAAAACTACGATGAACTTCTGTACCAGCGAGGATCATTTCTGACTTTAGGAGTTCGTCGAAGGTTGCTATTCCTCTCTCAAGTTCAGGTGCCGTTAGATGACTGACCATTCCACTGTTATAGGCTGCCGTGATTAGATAGGAGAGTAATGACCACGCGACGAAGCCAGTCCGACCCAAGTTGGAGGACGGCAAAGATCCGCCAGTCCTCAGAAATATTGCGATACTCGAGAGAAAGTCATATCTTTCGTTTATCAAGTCGATGTCGTGGCAGTAAGAGATCAGTTGAATGACGATAGCCAGGAGCAGGAAGCTGAGTCCGATGCTTAACCAAACAGAACCGTCAAGAGGCAGAAGGACGTTCTTCCAAAAGTGAACTGCGGTAAAATTGTCATAGTAAGCGATCACGAAGGAGTCCTCCATGTGACCAGGCAGGAAATCGAGCGTGTCCAGTTTGTCAGGGGTGGGAATGGTCCCAGAGAATGATAGAATTAACGTGTCGCGCTTAACTTCCCTCCTCATATCCTTGTCAGACCTTATTTTCTTTGGAAGCAATCGCAGCTTCAAATTTATCCGATCAATTATGATGCTAATGATTTTCCAGCCTACTGCGTTCAATGTACTTTCCTCGTTATCGAATAATTTTCCGACCATAGACAATCCTATCGCGTCGTTCGTAATGAGGGCGTAATCTAGAGTACAATTATTAAGATTTTTCATTTTCTGAGGGAATATTTTGTTTTTAAGGAGGAATCTACCCCCTTCCCACCAGTTAATCACTTCGAAACGTGCTGGCTTGCAATTCGTGCCAAAGGGACGATACGTCAACGCTGCGATAAGTCCGTTCTCCACCTTCACTAGCATTATTACATTCATCTTATTTTCTCTCCAGAGAATTTCCGACGTCCTCATCGAGAGTCGTGCAATTGATTCAGGATTTTTCGTGCGCTCTTTCAGGCAGATGATTATCTTCGCATGGGCCTCCATGCGCTCCATCTGTATGCTCTCCAGAACTTTTTCGAGGCTAGTCAAGTTCTCCGTAAATATCACAATGTTCATGATGTCTATGAGCTTATACGAATTCTTATTGTAAACGTACCATCGATCAAATGTGGATCTCTTCAGAAGATTAGCAGGTTGCTTGCTCGTGTCATTGACGATCATCAAGAAGGTCAAGGTACGCCAATTCGTAGTGCCGATCAGATGGCTCAAGCAATCGGCTAAACCCTTTTCCAGCTCGTCCTCTTCCGGTATATCATAGAGAGTGTAATTCAAAGCAGCGCAGTATCCGGATCCATAAATCGTCACTAGACTCAAAATTAAGCCGCATGTGAGGAAGGAGAAGCGAAACTTGTTTTCACCGGGCAGCATTTTCTATTTCTCCGTCGGCGTATTACTCACTCTCCTTAAGATCTATGACAAGTAAGATTGTTTTACTACGAGACGTCGTTCTCTTCAATTTTCTCTAGCCTGTCTGTAATGGAGGTCCCAACGCCATTCAAATCTATAACTAGACCCTAGAGAGGCGCGAGCGAAGTAATGAATTTTACGGAATCAATCAATTGCCGCTATTCTCCCTTTCTTTCAAATTATTATATGCGGCCGTTAGATCAATTTTTTTTTCCATTAGCCAAATTGCTCGTTATTTTCGTGAAGATTTTGAAAAAATTCTATCGCGGCTTCCTGTTAGTGTGTGAAAATATATCGATCCAATCAGGGGCTCTATAAGAGAAATTTTAAGTCTGCCATGTAAAACTCATTGTAAATCGTCTCTGTATATGGGTAAAACAATATGCACTCGTAGTCATACGAATAGTGGATGACAATATAGACACTTCTGCATTATATTCACAAGTACTCACAGCCATAGCTTGTTTTTCGGTGCTATTCTGTTATTCGAAAAAGGAACAATTCGTAGACGTGATCGAATAGTCATTCGAAGTGTCTGATGCTCTGTAGAGTAACGAACAGCGGTTAGAGGTTTATCAGGCAAATCGGGAGAATAGAGAAAGAAAGAGAGAGGGAGAACGGAATGGAGAGGGAGAGTGCAGCCTATGTTTCTTACAGTTCCCTGCAGTCCTCGACAGTCTTTGGTGGCTTCTTGGGGTTTTCAGTGCTACTCTGTGTTTTGTGCCTCGTTGGCAGTGCATCTTTTCGCTTTTCGTCGTTTGTGCTGACAGTCCGGTCGTGGTGCATGTCTCTATTGTCGTATCTTTCGTAGCTTTAACATTTTGAAAATACCGAGTCACTGCCGCTGCACCTAAATTGTCGTCACTTGAGAATTGAACCTATAAGTGGAGCAAGGAAGGTGAACGAATGTGGGTTCTTTTGCTTTTTCAAAAACAACGAAAAGGTTATCGTCGGCTTTCATTGTCTCAAAGTATCAGTAGTAAAATACCATAGTTGAGAGCTAAATCTGACTCTGATTCCCTTGGAACCTGTGGCATACGTTCAAGGGACTGCGGTAGGTAATAAAGATAGGTAGGAAGGAGTCAGGAAAAGAGAAGGTGGAAAAGTAAAAAACAACACATTAAAGGACTCCCGGGTGATGAAACAAGACGAAGGAGAGGAAACAAAAAGAAGATTAACGAGGGAGTAAAAACCGAAAGGAGAAAGAACAGATTAAATAAAGTGAAAAGGTTCGTACAGAAGACGAAGGAAGCAAGTAAAAAAAGGAAGAACTGTGAGGCATTCCCACGAGATAGCGCTGTCGCTGCGATTATAGTATAGGAATCGACAAGAGCGCACAGGTACAAAACGGCAGTAATGTCCTTGAACTCTGATTGCTTGAAGATATTGATAAAAGTTTGCTTTAACCGTAAAATTATGAGAAGAGTCTGTAGAGCAGGGTAGACCTTTGATCGTAATTTTTTACATTCCCCCCCCCCCCTCTTTCTCACTGTCCCTCTGTCCTTGCTTTTTACATTCGCAGCCTTTATTCTTATCTTGTGAAACTGCTCTTATCGATAATTAGCAATGACGTGAAAGCCGAATATCTGTACGAATTAAGGAAGCTATTCTTCGAAGATCCGGCGTTTTGGTATACATATTACATTGGAAGAGTTATCATTGTCAATTCGATGTTGGTTTAATCAGCAATTGAAAGTTCTTACGACGAAAGTTAGAAGATGCGAGTAAGTGGAACAATGACAGAATTTGAGGAAAATGTCTCTTTCGATGTGGACGATCCGGACTTTGTTATTTCGACATCTTGCAGTGACTATTCCATAATAAATGGTAAGTTTACGTGAATTTAAGAAGCCACATTGCTTCCAATAGCTGTGTTATATAGAAATATATTGAAAGGATTAAGCTTGATTCACATTATTACGCAATAAATTGTATTCGGAAAGAATGACAAAACATAAGAAAGCGATAAAAACTTGGCACTGTTTCTCCGGTTATTTTGTCTTAGTGCCACTCTGTCCTTAATTTTTAAAAATTCTTTTTGAATTTCCCAAATTTATCATCAAGTGCGAAATAAACGGACTCATTAGAAATACATTAGTTCGTGAAAGCAAAACACACATTTGTCTTTTCTCGCGAACGGAAGACTTACGAAACGATAATGCAGGTAAAATAAGTGTGTAGGAGATTGATGCTTTGATATTTTACAAAGTAAAAATTGTGTAGCATATGGGCCTGCTACTCGATTGATGTCTTATTACTCGCGTTGTCAGCACGTGATTTTCTTTGCAGGTCACTCACTTATCGACACGTCTCTTTCAATAGTAGCTTGTAGATGGTGCCACTGCGCCAAAAATATCTGTCGTCGCATCATACACTACCTCGTTCTAGACAGTAGCCAGGCGGACTAGAAGATTTTCCTCAAACTGGGTTAAAATTAAAAAGAACCGTCTGTGAAAGGAAGAAAGGATTGGGATTTTCGATTTCCTGGCCTTTCAACTTGCTTCTTTCTTGCAAGTTTCTTATTCGAAACTTTGTTTTATTAAAGGACGTTGGGTGGAGCTGCCAAAGAATCTGACCTTAGTTGTGACGTAGCAATGTCTCGTGACGCGTCCTACTTGACCGTGGTTGACCCAGAGAAACTTTCCGCAAAGGTTATCGGACCCCCAATGAATCTATAGGCTTTGACCCAAACAAATCCAATGTCTTTTGTGCTATAACCTTCCCCCGCCAACCGTAAATTGTTGTTTCTAATTTTTGCACAAGCTTTTTTATACGACGACGCGAGTTATAGTTATGTTACAACTCGTCTCCGCGCTGTCTTCTGGCGTAAGTCGCTAAGAATTTGCTGCAACTTACAGCTTACTTTATTTATTCCACAACAAGAACTGTTACTGGAACAAAGGTTGACGAGATTCGCGAACGCGTGAAAGAAATGTGTGACAAGAGCAGTGCATCATTGTGAAAATGCAGAAGTATTCTTTATGCGCTCTTTTTAGACACATAAATTGTGTGCTCGTGGGTAGAACATAAGGAAAGTGCAAAAAGTGGAATATCGAAAAGACGATGTGCGCGGACCTTCGGCTTTCACGCGACTCGCACGTGGTCGAATTCATTTGCAGAGACCGCTCAAATCCTTTATCCGTTTCTCATTACATCGACTCCTGATATTATACATTCACTTTCATCGTATCTGCTCATCGTTTTGCATGCGGATATATTTAAAGTTCATTTTAAGCTTTTTCTTTTCATGACCTTTAAGTTTTGCTACATGTCGATATAAAATAATCTTTGGAACTTTCGCCGCGCATTTAGAAAATCACGACATTTGAATGTGACAGATAATCCAAGCAGACTGCGTGATTTTGACGTGCTCGGAAAATAATGCGCCACTAGCAGCGGAATTATTCGTTTCGTGTTGGTCTCATCGCCAGGAGAGTGAGAGAGAGAGAGAGAAAGAGAGAGAGAGAGAGAGAGAGAGAGAGAGAGTGTGAGTGAGAGGCGGGGGGCTCTGGGACGAAGGCCAACACTCTTCTCTCTGGCTCCTCACTTCTCCTTTGTAATCGCAGTCTCATGACTTATGAAAATCCAAAGTTCGCATTACTCGTGGGTCGATCCCCCTACGGGCGCAGATCTGCTAGACAATCAAAGGCGTCCAACACTTGACAGCGGAATATTCCTTTCGCTCGCATATCGATCACCAGGAAACTTTTGATTTACTTCCTTGTGGTAGGGTAGCCTGTCCCCCTACTTCTGTATACACAGCCGAGCATGGTGCCGTCGGCTTATCCGAATGTCAAGCTGGAACAGCGCGATTCGCAGGAACCTGCGATCGTTCTCGTGCGAGAACCTTATCTTTATTAAATCTAAAAGCGATCGAAGAGCTACGTTCACGGTTCAGTCGGTTTCGTCGCGCGCGGCTTTACGAAGGAGCACACACGACTATCTTTCTTCACTCTTTTTTTTCTTATCTTTTGCCTAGAGAATATCTTGTTGTCTTTCCTCTCCCTTTTCCTTCTCTTTCTTCCGTCGGACCGTTCGTCTCGCAGCTCGCTCGTAACGAACTCTCGAGGTTGCTGGCCGATTCGAAGAATGCAGACGAGAGAGACACAAAAAGCCATCCCCGAGACATCTCTTCTCTTTTCTCAGTCTATCTGCCTCTCTCGCACTCCCTTCGAATCCCAACCCAAAACCTGTGCGCTTCTCATTCATACTTGAGGCAAGATCATAGCGTCTTGGGTAAATTGACCTTTATCAAACAATAGTTGATCGTTGAGCAACGAGAGCGAAACTCGATTGAGTTGCCACAGCAAATAAATCTTCATTGGCCTTGCCGCGCCATTAATCGATCGCGGGTGTCGCTCGAGTGTCGCGCACCGACCGAGCTGGAGAAGAGCAAGATAAAAGTGGAGCCAGCCGAGGGCATTATTCCCGAGAGGAAGTTGACTGGTCTCATTGGATCTGCCACACGTAGAAACACAGGGACATTGATGTCGCTCGACCTTCCACGCTTCCTCAAAGAATCGCCGCGCGGCGAAAGTCCTTGAACCACGAAGGTCTGGTCTTCCGAAGGCGTCTTCGCTTTATTCAGGTTAGCTATCCTTGTGTCCTATGTCTTTTATTACTTCAAACACGCTCCATCTAATACCTTGTTGCTTTCTCTTTCCGTGATGCAGCTTCTCCGTTGTACCTGATAAGAATACGAAGTACCTAATAGCTCGGCCACACGGAATCCCCCTCAGAAATAATCGACGTATTCTCGTCGAGCAGCCACCGTTGTCGATTTTATAACGAAAATGCTGGATCCTTTGAGGTTCATTGAATCTCGGCTCACTGGCGAACCTCTAGCGGCCAGTGAAGTCGGTACGACCAGTGCGACCTCGTGCGACGAGAACTCTTTGTCGTTGTCGTCGGCTCTAGCAAAAGCTTCGCTACGTTTCGCTTGCGTCCTGCGCGGCTCAGCGACAGAGATGCAATTCCGTCGAAACGTCACGAGGGAAATTAACGAAGACGAAGAACTTTATGGAATTGCAAGGAAGTTGCTGCTTGTTGATTGGAAGTGCACCGTATAAGTCGAACTCGAGGGGGCTCTGGTTTGCTGGCTAACGAGACCCGCGAATCCTTGCGACCACCGATCAACTAGGACTGCGCTCCTAGCTGACGTTTTCTTTTTCTTCCCTCTCTTGTCTATTTCTTGAGTTTCGCAATCGCGATCCTTCTTCTCCCTTGGTTCTTTCCTACTTCTATAGAAATGCATTTGTTCTTAACGGTGGAATCCGTATTTATTGAACTGACTGATTTACATTAGCAGAAATCTCATAACATCTCTTTGAATATAAAAGTGATCCGCTGGAGTGGAAGAGGCATGCTTTCGATGTCTTTGGTGGATATCAATCCTTTCTGAAATCAAATTAACTGACAATCGAATGAGAAGAAGCAACCGAGACAGAGAATCGCCTCTTCCGCCGAACTTATCATACTTTTTCTCCTCCCAATCAATATGGAAGTGGTACGCCTACTCTCTTATTATTATTATTAGATGCGCTAACGTCATTAACCATCCCGAGAGGGAAAAAACGTCGGTCGACGTCGTGCTATACATAGGTGTGACGTTCCGTTGCGTTCAACTCTTTGATCAATTAAAGGTTTTACTGAACTCGCAAGGTTGTACGCCATTTTATGCTGACTCGCACGAAAATACAGTTTAAGCGAGGCTTCTTCCTTCGCAACAGTTTTCATTTGTTCTCCACGCTTTGCGCTGCGAAGAAACGGTCGACTCTTAAGACTCTTAAGACTCTTAAGGCCGTCGGCCACGGGTTAAAATTCGCCTTGGTACTACGACAGCGAATCAATGGACAGGAAGAGCTGCGATGAGGAGCTTGCGTGCTCGACACGTGGGCGCACTCGAGGGAGACCGAGGGGAATATCGGCGACACCTCCGATAGCAGCGTCAGCTTCAGATGTTAGAGCAACGTCACGACGAGAGAAACGTCTAGCGCGACGGTCAGTGACGTTCCTTTACGACGCCCCGGGGCCGGCGCCACGACGACTTATATAAGAGCTGGGCGCATCCGTGCTGCTCAGTCGACGTTCGAAACTTGACGAGTGCGGACGGATTGATAGAGCGAGCGTACGCGAATATCCTAGTGTCATATAGCTGTTCGCAGCAGTTTCAGTCGAAGAAGAGGACGTTCCCGATCGGCTCTCTCGAGAGGACACGCGAGGAAATCAAGAAAAGGAGTCGTCACCACGACCTTCCTAGTGCCATTCGGATTAATAGCCATAGTAAGTGCCTTGTGAAAGATAGATCCAAGTGGTAAAAATTATTCCTTCGTCTTCTTTAGTTAATTGTGCAACACTTCGCATGTGAATGTGCTTTCAAGGGGGCCGATTTCTCAAAGTTCAATGAGGTTTTTCTAGCAAGATTAGCCAACCGTATGCCTGCATTCCTGCACATTTCCATCTTTTAACGAATTCTATATCTCAGCTGCGAATTTTGAGATTTTGAGATTTCGAGATTTTCAAGAAAGAAATGAAGGAATTATTCGCGATACTGAAAGGTACGCGGTACGCGCACACTCGATATATACCCAGTGGCATTATATCTGACGATTTAAGCAGTGCGACATGAAGCGTAAAACGGCCTAGCAGATCGGCTGCTAATCAATACTCTCCAACCAGGAGAAGCCAGGAGAAGCCAGGAGAAGCCAGGAGAAGCCAGGAGGCCAGGAAGCATCAGGAGCGCCCCGCAGCGGCAGTAACTTCGGGCCTCGTCTCTCGCGCGGGTCAAAGTTCATTCGCACCGCGACGAAACCAACTCTTTACTGTGCATCGTATTCGCGAAGGGGAAGGACAGGAACACGAGTATGTATCTTATGTCAGTGCGAAAATGGAAAAAGGCAAATCATGGAGTCTGCCTTTTTCAGACTCCAACGTGCGACTGGCTAATTGTGATTCCCCTTTTACGCTTTCACGTCATCTGGAATGCGCAAACGCACAACAGGAGATAATAATAAAGTCACAAGGGAATAATAAAAAATTTGGCTTCGTTTCCGTTCGTTGTCATAGTGTGAATCAGCCTTTAGAGCTGTTCCAAGCTCGGAGATTTTTCGGCGTTTTTTAAAATTATAATAAATTTTTTGTATAGATTAAGTCACAGACAATTGACAGTACAAAAAGCATGCAATATAATTTCAGTGTAAGAAGGTCATTTTCATCGACTCGCCTCAACCTCTTAACCCGCGAAATTTTCAACACGATTGCATAACTCGGTCAGTTCCATTCCACCAATCGCGTGGGATTGCGCTCTGGAATTTTCATTTGATTGCTACGTTATCTACTCAGCGTGACACGGCCCGTATCGAGCAATCAACGAGTTTAGCTTGAATTTCTCTTACGCGTTATTTTCTTCTGAAAACACGCAGGCAGACCTTTTGACGCCGATGAAGACTCGTGAAAGGAAGCCAAGTCGAATTCCAAGTACTTTTGCCGTTCACTTTAAATTAAGAAAAGAAAGATTAATTTGTCCCTTCGATCTTTGAACCTGATCCAACCTGATCTAATCTAACTTAATCCTCACTATTCTCTTCAAAAGTATCCTCTCCTTTTTTCAAGAGAATTCCATTGTTACTTTGCTCTTGAGACTGTAAAGAAGAATCCCGATTGCTACGAAGGGGTCGATTTGTGCCACCTGCCACCAGCAATGAGTCTTCGAGTTTCTATTCTCGCGTCGCAGCCCGTGTAAAGATGTGCGATCATGAGAACCTTAGGATGCACGGCAACTCTTGGCCAAGACAAAAGTCCGTATTCGCAACTCGCTCTTAAACTCACTAACAGAGTCGCTTGTAGTGAAAAGTCACTAAGAAAACATTTAAAAGCGCGCTATGACCACTAAAAGCGAGTTCTGAATACGGGCTAAAGTCTCGACATTCGACCATTGGCTATTTTTAGGCAATTTGCAGGTTTTAAGATTTCTTGCTGACTGCGCATCTTGACCAATCTGCTGTTAATGAATGAGAAATTGTGAAAGTGAAATTAACAATCATTACTCTGCTGACATTCGAACAATAAGGGGGCAATATGCCCTAGTCGGTTGTTGTTGTTGTAAGTGTCTGTCTACTGGACATCTTGGACTGCCGTGTCTGTGTGAATGAGCGATCTACGTCGTCCCCACGCTTATTTATAACTCCACGAGCTTACGACGGACGAATAAAGGATGTGCAGGTTATAAATAGAGAGAGGCGAATCTTTGTCCAGCGTCATAACTGGGCCGTCATCGGGAGCACATCGTTTCCCATCTTCGATTGCTATTTGTTACGCAATGAGACGCTTCCCCGACGCCCCGGCAGCTCCTGCCTCCTTCCCTCGTTCGCTCGTTGCGTTCTAGACCGAAAAGTAAGCCGCGTTGCGTGATCTTTCCTTGCGCCTCTGCGTCTTCTCTGGCAACGAGTAGCGCATTCCTTTTCTTTCCTCATAGAAGACAGCTCCTCTTGGATAAACTCACGGAAATGATGTAAGCCTACAGTCGTTTATGACGATTACCGATAACGAACACGCGAACGACACGAGGGTCGGAAAGAGACGTTAGTTTAGGTTAGGTTAACCTACTAGTACGAGGGATCGAGGAGTAAATGCTCAAAGCTGCTGGCCTTTCTATTTTAATTTGAGAATCAGTTGCACCGTGAGCTCTTAGGCTTAATCGGAGTGGCGTAACCAGACATACGAAAATTCTCAGCTCGGAAGCTTTCTTTTGTGGAAAGTAAAAGTGCGCGGCAATGTACGACATAGACGACGGATGCGTTACGAAATACTTAGAGTGTAAAAGCGCTTGCGCCTGTGAATACGCCCGCAGCTCGTCGCCCGTGGGTGCTCGGGGCTGCTCGGGGCTGCTCGGGGCTGCTCGTGGCCCATCTAGCTCTCTATTTATTTGTCAAACGTCTATCGATCTGCCGTCTAACGGCCCGCGGAGCATCTAACGGTTGCTGCTGGCAAGCGACAGGCTAGGCCAGTTTCCCGCTCACTTATCAGGCCCCTGGTGGCATTCGGGAAAGGGAAAGGAATAAACGAGTGCGCCAACGACGACGTCAATGCTAATTAGGCCTTTTTTTTTCTTTCTCTGTTTTAGCATTAAGCCACAGCGAGTACGAAGAGCAGAAAAGCGTCGACAACATGTCTGCCACGTCCGTTCAGGCCACTGCTACGGAGAACATCTCTCGTCACGGGTACGTTTCTTCCATAGATTTCATTTTGTTCCGTTAGATGCCACACGCACTGTTGCCTCCATTCGGAGCGTGCGCTCGGATAAATTGTGTTTCAAGAAAATCAGGGCACGCAGGTGTCTTGCTTAACGATTGCTCTCAATTTCGAATGAACATTCTCGGACTTTGCAGGAGTAACGTGTCCTTGTCCTGTCAGAGCCTCTGCGACAGCGTTGACGATGATCTTCAGACTTCGCACCCCCAGTACCAGGACACCATTCTCACAATCGAGGAACTTCGTGCTCAGCTCAACTCTTGCTTTACGTGAGTCTCTTCCGCTCGCTTATACGACTCATGGATGTGCTGCAATGCGTAGCTCGATTAGATTGATAGCTGACGTCGCAATTCATCGCTGAATTGAGCAATCAGCAAGAAATGCCCTAGGATAATAGAATCCAGTGCGATCCAGAATGAAAGACCGTTGCATCATTTGATCACTCGAAATAATCGAAGAGACGCAATGGAAGTGTCTGTTAAGAATACATATTTCGATATGATTACAGATGTGGCGTTTCGTGGAGCGAGGAGCACGTGTCCCTCGACTGCAGCGAATGCGGCGGCTATTCGCTTGAGCGACCCTGTCCACTTTGCGACGGTCGCTGTCACACGTCCTGGAAACGCGACCTTACCATGGTGAGCAAAAGTTCTTGAGAGGAAGGTTTCGTCAGCAGCAAGTGCGCAAGTCCGCAAGTCCGCAAGTCCGCAAATCCGCAAGCGCGACTGTTGACGACTAAAGAGTAAAGAGTAAAGAGTAAAGAGGGGGCAATCCTTCCATGAAGCTAATAAAATGTGAAATGAGAAATGAGAAATGTTAAATTTGAATTGCAGTCGCACGCCAGTGGCAAGGCGAGATGGTTGGGCGAGTGTGGACTGAGTTGCGGACCCTCTCTCGACGAGTCCCTGGTTCCCGCCCTCGAGAAGCTCCAAGCTACGTCCTGAACGAAGCAGAGTCACGACCAGGGCGCTGCCACGACAATGCACAAGACTTAACCATCCGCATTCATAGTGACACACTCACCCACCACCATCGTATCGATCGTATCATTTGGGAGGAAGGCGGCCGAATAGGAAGATCAGCACGACATCAGCGCGATTGGTGCAAAGACGTGGCAACTCGGAATTTAGTATATTCGAGTTTAATCGCGTGTCCGAAATTCTCTGGACCGTACGAGGGGAAGTGGCCAAGGTGAATGGTATCCCGGCTCTTAGAGAACAATTCGCGAGAAATTTCTCGACTCGAGTTGCAGCCGAGCCGCGATGCCGGGACGTCGCATGTCGTGCTGCGGAGAAAGTGGCCGGTACATATTTTGACAGAAGTCCAGGCGCCTCTCGTCTTACGCCTGGCGTCGGTGACTACGTATGTGCTATGTGAATGTTAGGACAGACAGGCACGAAGAAAACTAGCAGGACGAGTGATCCTACTCAAGTTCAGCTTAGCTAACGCACGGAACGAATGAATATTTGTGAAATTACGGGTAACGTCTTAGGCATCCACTTGTCTTTGGTGCGAGACACCCCCTTCTCACTCAACTTCATTCATTTTCCCATTAATGTTGAACCGGCATCCATACAGTTTTCCAAGGTATTATTAGCACATCAGATAAATGCACGTTTAATTCTTTGGAAAATATATCCCGGTCCTGACTATTATTTAATTTATCCCATTATTATTTATCTTCGTAATGTTCTGACTGTGGGCTAAATAAATAACTTTTCCTGAAAACTTTTTTTCTTACGTAATGAGTTTTCACCGTGTCAGCCAGAAAAGCAAAGAAATGCTGCATGACGAGCGAACAGTCGTCACCTGTTTTCAACTGCTTCGAATTCCTGTAATTGCCCGATGCTCCGATGTCTTAACGCAGGTTAAGAGCAAATAGTCAATAGAATATGAATGATATACGATTGTTTTATTGTTACGGGCGTGTATGTGTGTGTGTGTGTGTGTGCGTGCGTGAGCTCGCGCTCGCGCGAGCGTGTGTATTATATATATACATATATTTATACACACATTATGAATATTTTTTAAAGCGTTCTTCCACGGTGGTGGTTCCTACCAGCACTCATCGATATAACGTGCATTTGTGCCGCCTTTATACAGAGGTAAGTTTACTGTGTGCCTAAACAGTGTTCGGAGCTAAATGGCCACATGTGACAGCTTCCTTGCAAACTCGCAGCTTTTAGTTAAGAGATCAGGATTAATCGTGAGAATGGAGAATCGCCGATATAGATTTTTCGCTGCGCGTCCGAGTTCAAATCGTTATTAGCTAAAAGCCACTTTATAAAGGAAACACAAAAGCGTCGCGGAATCGAAAAGTTTTTGTGAGGCTCCGGTTATCAGAATACTCTGATACTGTGACACTGTTCTACCAATGGTGTCAAGGTGGATCATGACAGGAACATAATCAAAACTACAATACTGCTAAGTACTCACACGATTACAGTCACTCGATCGCGTCGTCAATACTTTTTATTACGCTAAAGAAAAAGTTTAACGGCGCATGGTAACACGTAAGGTAACGCAAATGGTAACGTTGCTTAAGAAAATCGCGTTCACATTCTCTTATCTTAAACTCAATGCCAAAGTTAGGTATACAGCCGGATCCGATTAGGCGTATACGACACGCTACAACATGACGCGGAACCTTTCAAGGAGTAACGTGGTCTGGAGTCGAAATCTCCCTCGAAAGTACTTGATCATACTTGCGGTAGTTGTGTCTAGAGAAAGATGCACAGGAGAACTCGAAGAAGAAAAAGGCGCATGTCGGCGATCATCGTCCTCGTTGTCTCCTTAAAAGGCCGCCGATAGCCGGACGATTGGTTATTACTCGTTCCGCCCTTGTTACTTCACTAATAATCTACGTAATAATAATACATTAGTATTGTAGTATTGCTTTGCAGAGATCGCTTTCGGTTTATGTCTTTACGGAAAAAAACGAAGATAATATCAGCACCAGCCTCTTAACAAGGACGACTAATCTTGCTCGCGGCTAACTATGCAAGCATTGACAAGAACTGACTTTGGTGCACGACGAGAATTTTGTTAATAAATAAAATTACTGCTGCTTCGTAAAATATTGGTAGTTAGTAGAGTTTACGCCGCACCTTGTACCTAGTCGCTAGCCACATGCAATGTAGCAAGAGGTAATTTGCGTTAAGGCGGCTTGGGAGGGAGGGGGAGAGACGGAGAATGGATCGTGGGTATATCGAGGATCAGGTTAGGGTCTTATTGGAGGTCTAATTTAAGGAACTCTAGCCTATTCTAGTAGGAACGAATCGCAGGTGGCACTGTTGCGCATTCTTGCTCGTCGAGAGTCTCATCTATCACCGGTCTGTAGTCTATAGTTACCTGAAATAATATGGAACATACGTCTTGATATTTCCTTCGTTTCCCAAGTTACACCGAGAAAAAGTAACGACCTACCTCTCCGCTCTTTGGATTGATTTTCGTAAGGGTGTGCTTTCTCCAATGTTGCTCGAAAGATTTCTTCTGTTGACTTTCGAGTGATTTGCTGTAGTCGTACTCATCGATTCTGTCCTTGTAATCTTCTCTGGCGTGGGCACCACGACTCTCCTTTCGATTCTCCGCGGCTACGATTGTCTGCATCGCATTGAGCATCAAGTTTTGCAATTCCAAAGTCTCGACCAGATCAGAGTTCCACACCAACGATCTATCAGAGACTTTCAGCTGATCAATAGTCTTGTAAAGATCAGCCATTTTGTGACAGCCTGGCGGACATAGAAAATGGTACAATATTAATTGGCCATATTACTGAGGATCGAACGAAACTTAAAAAAATTCTAAGATCGGGCATCACCTTCTTTCAAGGTTTCCTCGATCCGGAAGACCGCGGCGTGGGTTTGCATAGTTTTTTGCATATTCAGTCTCAATTCAGCGGTAGAAATGGATCCGCTTGCATTTCGTACCCAATCCAGATTCGCTACGGATTCCTCGCCTGCGTTCTGCAAGGAGACAGACAGGCATATCACGTGGCTACATGTAACCGAGACCTAGGCGAGCCACACGAAACCTGCAATGAATATACTCACGGGCTTAAGAGATCCAATGGTTTCGCCGGGTGTATTCTCTTGAGCGATGGTCTTGGCACAGGCCCGACCGAATACGACAAGATCCAGGAGGGAATTAGCACCCAGGCGGTTCGCCCCGTGTACGGAGGCGCAAGCAGCTTCGCCACATGCGTAGAGTCCTTTCACCACCCGATCCTCGTTGCCTGACCTCGTCAGCACCTGGCCCTTGTAGTTGGTCGGGATACCACCTGTGCACATTTTAACGTGTTAACGTCGATCACGAGAACGAAGCAAAGTCCAGTGAGAAAGTCCAGCTGGAAAGTGGACATGCGACTGAACCAAATCTTACGAACCCATGTTGTAGTGGACCGTGGGTAGGACGGGGATGGGCTCGCGCGTCACATCCACGCCCGCGAAAATCATAGCCGTCTCGGAGATGCCAGGTAGTCGAGCAGCCAGTTGTTCAGGCGGCAAGTGGTGCAGCTGCAGGTAAATATGATCCTTTTCGGGTCCGCAGCCTCTGCGAGTAAAGCCGATTCGATTAGTCAGGTTTTCAGGTTTGTTCGTATACGAGTCTTGCGAACTTTTACCTTCCCTCCCGGATCTCTATGGTCATCGATCTAGAGACGACATCGCGAGAAGCGAGATCCTTGGCAACTGGAGCATACCGTTCCATGAATCTTTCACCCTCGCTGTTAATCAGGTAACCACCCTCGCCACGACTGCCCTCGGTTATGAGACAGCCAGCACCGTAAATACCTTTAGGAGCCAAAAAGAGTATTTCTATATTTTTCTAGCGAGATCATTGAAAATCAGCCTAACGCCGTCGCATCGATCCTCCTCCATACCTGTCGGATGAAACTGCACAAATTCGAGGTCTTGGTTGGGTAGATTTGCTCTGGAGATCATAGCTGTGCCGTCGCCGGTACATGTGTGCGCCGATGTACAAGAGAAGTACGCGCGACCGTAACCGCCTGTCGCTAGAACCGTGTTCTTCGCTCGGAAACGGTGAATCGATCCATCCTCCAAACAAAGCGCCAATACTCCACGACATTCGCCATCTTCCATGAGTAGGTCCAGTGCGAAGTACTCGACAAAGTAGTTGCAATCGTAACTGAGGGACTGTCCGTAGAGCGTGTGGAGGAGGGAGTGACCTGTCCTGTCTGCCACGCAGCAGCATCTGTGTGCCTGGCCTCCCTTTCCGAACTTCAACGACTGACCGCCGAAGGCACGTTGATAGATCTTACCTAAATTAATAATAATAAACGATTGTCGGTCACGTGATCATAGATGTAGATGTGGTCATGTGATTTTCCTAACGCATGGCCGTTCGTCCATGTTAAAATAGGATTGCCTGAGGAAGAGGGTGGCAAACACGCCAAGTACATACCATCCGTAGTACGGCTGAAAGGCATTCCACAATTTTCCAACTCGATGACGGCCTTGGGAGCCTCGCGCGTCATGTAGTGAATAGCATCTTGATCTCCCAGCCAATCGGAACCTTTCACGGTGTCGTACATGTGCCATTGCCAATTGTCGTCTTCCATATTACCCAAAGCTGCATTTATTCCACCTTGGGCAGCTACAGTGTGAGACCGCGTTGGAAAGAGCTTTGTGACGACAGCTGTTTTAAAACCTTCTGCCACCAAGCCGTAGGCTGCCCTGAGACCAGCTCCGCCAGCGCCGACAACGACGGCATCGTAAGTGTGATCGATCACAGGATACTGCTTCGAGATATCCTCAGACACCTTCGCGGCTTTGCCACTGGGTGTGTAATGGAAATGTCGAGTGACAATCGAAGGTAGTCCCAATTTATTCTGCAAACAAGTAACCGCTACCTTATCTGGTTCATATATCCCAGTGAACCGAGTTATATTATAATAAAATAGATCGGGTGGCTGATTCGAGGAGGCGAACGCAACGCGCACGTTATTTAGTGTCCTCGGATTTCCTGCATTCCTTGTACCTCACCAATGTTCTTAATGTCCTTTCGATCACGTCAATGCTCCTGCGGGCATTTACCCTTGCGCACAATGCGCATATCAATTCGGAAAGTGCACGTATGACAACGAATATCGGCGTCTCACGACACTCTTTGCTTCTAACTGATTGAATATCAAACGTTTCACGAATTCGCTTGCCACAATCGAGACCAGCCGACGATAAACTTGTCAAAGAGAATTGCGAAATGAGAAGTGGGGAGTGAAGAGTAAAAGGCGAAAACTGTCCGATTCGGTCTGATTGTCTGACTGTTCGAGCGGATATCAGAAATGCACAACGTCGGAGCAACAGAGGGACCTGCGTCTCGATTTGGACATTTGCGCAATCCGAGCGGCGAGAACGAGGTAGAAAAATTACGTAACGATGCACCAACGCGTACGCGGAAGACGAGGACTAAGACGAATGTGTATTCACGGTGGAAGTTAAAATTATGTAACTGAAAAATTATTCGAGCCTTACCAGTGTCGTGAAAGATATGTTCCGCGCGAAGGCACTCGATACCTTCAGCATTCCACTCATGGCGTTTATTCAAACAGCTGTTAATCTGTAACTATTAAGTTATCCCCGAACGGCGAGCCCAAAACACGGACTAACCCCAATTCTCACTCGCGCACTTCTCGCACGGCGATGTGACTAGCCGAGCACGGAGTACCTCTACTGGTCGAAAGTCCCCACTGCTGCCAACACTGAGTGCCTGATGTGCGCGCGATAACGTGCTTCGCCCGTAACAACAACACTGCGGAATTTTCCTTTTTCGCTGTAGGCAAATACACGAGGAGAGTAACGGCCGTGCCTCTCTGCCTTAATCGGCAGATTTCCAATGCTGCTCATTCTCCTTTCTCACGGACAGAGCTGGAACTAGCTCAACCTTAGAACAAGCCACCCAGTGTGATTGACGTTTTCGGGACGCCGGCGCGGTGTTTCGCGTCGCGACGCCCGTTGTCTCTAACTGTATTCGTGTAGTTCCCCACTAAATACACCTTCGTACTTGCACAGACAACCGCTCAGTGAACCATCCGAGGCAGCATCGAACGCTGGCTCAGAATCTGACTGAGAATATTTGCCGAGCAATGTAGTGCGCGGCAGCCACGAGTACCACATTTATTTTTGCCTCTAGCTTTGTGGTGGTACTCCAAAGGCAGCTTCGAGCGACAGGATTGGTCCTACGAGAAGGGCGCGCCAATATTAAATTGCGCACACTCCCACCTGTTGGTTGCCTTGGCATCTCGTGCGGTCTAAATTCTCGTCAGATAAAAAGACACGAAGAACGTCAAAGGACCGTGTCTACTACGAACTTTCGTCAAACGATTTTCTGGGTCGCTGGCAATGTTACTTATGGCTCACGGCTCCGGAGTCGAATTTCACTTGGAGATTATCGTCGGCGTCTCGGGCGCCATGTGGCGGGTCGGCGGGTCTTGCCGTCGCTCGTTGGTCGACCGTTTGTGGGCTGGGCTCTTGACTGCCGCTATCGCTCTCCAGGCGACCACCGCCGCGTCATCGACACTCGACAGTGCCGCGTATCGAGGTCGATACTCTCTCAGTGAATAAGCGCCAAGGTCAGTTCCAGTGGTGTCGGCAAGTACACACACGTTTTATTATAACTTTTGTATTTTTCACATAAGTTCTTTCTCGATTTCTTTAATACGACCTGATTGCCGGGGGTACGTGTTGCGCCTCTGCTTCATCGAGAGTCGTGTCCACGACCGGACGGTAGGAAATGCAAATCTATGAGGGAAGAGGGGAGCTATGTAGATAACGTTTCTCCTGAGACCACTGCTCTCTACCTCGGAATACTCGGCTTACCGAACCATCCTCGTAGGCCCAGGAGAGCGTGTGCTTGCGCCAATGTTCGTTGATCGGCCGCCTCGTCTGACCTTCGATCGGTTTCGAATAATCGTATTCATCGATGCGATCCTACCGAGGAGACAAAGAAAAGCAAAACTTCACATATAATTCGTTATAATCGATGAAACTCAAAAGATTCCCAGATTGTCAGGCTCTTTCGAAGAGCCACGAGTTACCCGGTAATCGTCCCTGGCGTGCGCTCCCCTCGACTCCTTGCGATTTTCGGCCGAGTATACGATGTGCATGCAGCAGAGCATCATGTTTTGCAATTCGAGGGCCTCGACGAGCTCCGTGTTCCAAATGAGTGAACGATCTTGCACCTGTGTCATTTGACGATTGGGCATTTAAGAGAGATCACGGGATTGGCATGGTGACGATGGGGGATATTTAAGCACATAAACGTACGCATAGATCCGGCAGGTTGCAACTGTAAAGCCGAGTCATTTCTCGACAGCCGCGCTGTAGGACGTCGCACGTTCGGAAGACGGAGCAGTACTTGTGCATCGTGCGCTGCATCTCGTCGCGTAGCTGCGCGACGGGGACGCTGCCCTTGGCGTAGCGGGTGGCGTCGAAGCGACATATGGCCTGTTGTCCGAGTTCCTGCAGGAGGAGAGTCCAGGCTCGAGTGACTCTCCGGGACTTAACGTACGAGTGTGCGGGTGTGTGCGGGTGTGTGCGTGTGTGCGTGTGTGCGTGTGTATGCTTGGAAGATTCACGACAAGTATTTTAAAGGGGACGAAGAGGGAGACTGAAACTAGTGAGCTCACGGGGACAAGGTCCGTATGCCGCTCTCCGGGTCTTGTGAGGCAGTCGATGTTATCGGCAACCGCACGGCCAAAAACGAGGAGTTCTAGGAGGCTGTTGGCTCCGAGACGGTTGGCGCCATGAACGGAGGCGCAGCCAACCTCGCCAGCCGCCCACAGTCCTTCCATCACTTTGTCTTCCTCGTTATCTCTTGTGATCACCTTCGCACCGAAAACCCATCGACCAAGGTAAGGAGGATCTGAGAGAGCGAAGATGGAAAATGCGAAGGGCGGGGGGCCTCACCTGCGCCCTCCAGTTCGTGGGAATACCGCCCATATTATAGTGCGTCGTGGGTATCACGGGAATGGGCTGCTTTTCCACGTCCACTCCAGCAAAGACCCAAGCCAGGTGGGCGATACCAGGTAATTTAGACCTTATTGTTTCAGGCGGAAGGTGATGCAGCTGCAGGTAGACGTGATCCTTCTTCTCGCCAACGCCCCTGAAAAGAAAGATCGACACGCGAGCACCCGTTCCGAGTAAGGCGAGTCACTTGAGAGTGTCGGCCCGCTGGACGCCCGCTGGACGCCCGCTGGACGCCCGCTGGACGCCCGCTGGACGACGTGATCCTTACCTTCCTTCGAATATTTCGAGCGTTATCGCACGAGAAACAACGTCGCGTGAAGCGAGATCTTTTGCATTCGGCGCGTATCTCTCCATGAAAAATTCACCGGCTGAATTAACTAGTCGGCCACCTTCGCCACGGCTCCCCTCCGTCACAAGAACGCCGCTTCCATATATACCTGCAACCGTCGGAGAAAAAGGATTCTCAAGGGCAACTCGGAGTTTCTAGTCCATCGACGCGAGCATCGACCAACGAATCTCAATACGAATTAAAATTCCAACAGGTTGGACGACTTACCGGTCGGATGAAACTGGACAAACTCCATGTCCTGCAGGGGCAGCCCTGCCCTGCAGGCGATGGCCATGCCGTCTCCCGTGCACGTGTGCGCCGCCGTACACGAGAAAAAGCAGCGCTCCGCCCCGCCTGTCGCTATTATCTGACCAACAAGGAACAAAACATTGGCATCTCGAGAGCCTCGGCTCCCCGGGAGCGGGCTTACGGTATGATGCCCCCGGAAACGGTGCATGATGCCGGTTTCCAGTTCCAGGGCGAGCACTCCCTTGCAGCACTGTCCATGAATCAGCAGATCGAGAGCAAAGTACTCGACGAAGTAGTGGACGTCGTAGCGCAGACTCTGGCCGTAGAGAGTGTGCAGTATGGAGTGGCCGGTTCTGTCGGAAACCGCGCAGGTCCTGTGAGCTTGACCGCCCTTGCCAAACTTAAGGGACTGCCCGCCGAAGGCTCGCTGGTAAATCCTCCCGTCGCCGGTGCGGGAAAAGGGGCATCCTGCGGGACAATTACTCATCAGCCTGGTCGCCAATTGACTCCGTCGACTTGAACCCGCCTCACCGTAGTTCTCGAGCTCGAAGACTGCGCGAGGCGCCTCCCTCGTGAGAAAGTGAATAGCGTCCTGATCGCCCAACCAGTCGGAGCCCTTGACGGTATCGTACATGTGATAGAGCCAGCTGTCTTCCTCGGAGTTGCCTATGGCAGCGTTTATGCCGCCCTGAGCCGCCACAGTGTGCGACCTCGTCGGGAAGAGCTTCGTGAGGACGGCCACTCGATATCCTTTGCTTCCGAGGCCAAAGGCAGCTCGTAGCCCAGCGCCTCCAGCTCCCAGAATCACGCAGTCGTAACAGTGATCTACCATGGGGTAGCTCTACGCAGTCGAAAGCCCGAGGTCTTGCTTAATTTATCAACGTCCGATGTATCGTCATTGTAAATAGCCCCTAGTCTCACGCTGTCTCCTTCTTCGATACTGCAGCCGGCTTTCTCACCCGGACTGACGTTCACGTGAAGATGTCGAGCACCCCTCGACGCGAACCTCGGCCCAACACGCCCGCTCATCAGCGGGAACTTCCACCCGATATTTCGCAGTTTACTAAAAAGTCTAACGTGGACCCTGGGGATCATCCTCGTGAGTGGCCACGCTGCGATCGTGCGACAGTTTCGACTTCTTGAAGTGAATAAGCGATTGCGTGACGCTGCGAGACAACGTAGCAACGGGACGCAATGGCCAAACTGTGCACTCACTTTTTTGAGCAGGAGACACATGAAATTGGATGCGATCGCTCTCTGTGCTCACGAATTCTCCAGCTTACTTCCCCGTGAAGGTGGATCGAATCCGATCGAATCTGACCGAATGGATTGAGGCCTCAATTCAGTGAGAGTGAGTAGGAAGGAGGCAATAGCCAAACTGCCAAATTCTCGACATAGCTGACTTTTATTGCAAATACAAATTCAATATACAAGTCCTCGATGCTTCTCTTCCTAGATATATTTACTGATAAATGGTTTTACTGCCGCATTAATACGTACAATCGATCTAGCGTTAATGAAGACTTATAAGTAACTTAATGACGATTAAAATGATCATGACTGCCATCGTGATTCTTATTCTAACGTTTTGTCGTGTAAAACTGTAAAAAAATTCACGATAAATTTGCTGAATGCGGAGGGGCCCCGGAGGTGTCCTATGAAAAGGAATAAAAAGGGCAGAGCGAAAGAGCCAGGAACTCAGAAGGCAAGTCGCCTGACGCCGCACTCGCAACAGAACTTGGCAGTTTCAGGGAATCTTGATCCGCACTCGTGACAGAACTTGGACATTTTGCACCGGGGCGGCGATCCCGGGACGTCTTCCTCGTAGAATCTTCGGCTCCCAAGGGCCACGACGTCCTCGCCGCTGCGTCCGTGATTCGAGTATTTTCGATTCAAGCTAAGAACAGGAGGAACGTACGTTAGCTTGGTTCATCAAGAGGAAGGCCATTCTAATAGGCATTCGATGCTTCTGCTCCGTTCAAGCGTTTTACGCAACTATAGTCGCAGACTAGCCAAATACGTAATCCGCAACGAAGCGACAGAATCGCGAAAGAGAGTACAAGTGAGAAAGCACGAAGAAGCTGACCTGCTATAGGCAGAGTCGACCGTGTGTTTGGTAGGATCCCTATCGTGTCGCTTGTAGCTGTCGGGCGAAGAGAGATTCTCCTCGTCGTCCTCGCTATTTCGCTGAGCATTGGTTCGATCGGTTCGATCGCTTCGATCGCTTCGATCGCTTCGATCGATCGGACTCGATGGGCCGAATGCCAAATCGGTTTTTAAGAAGGATCTCAGGAGCGGAAAGGAAGAGGAGGAAGCAGCGTCATCCTCGAAGGAACTCGTCAATTCCTCGCGCATGTAGTTCGGTCTTTTAGCGTCTAGCTCCGACGAAACGATCGAGCTCAGGCTGAGATTGCTAATCGACATGGGAAGATTATTCTTATTTGCAGAAACGAATATTTTCTTCTTGCCCTTCGAGTTCTGATCTGTAGCTGGTTTCAGAGCCGCTGGGCTGTGCCCGGATGCCCGGAGATTCCCCTTTTTGCTGGAGCCCAACGAGCGATTGCGTTCCTGAGAGACCGGCGGCCCCGGAGCCGAAGTACTGCGAACCGACTGAGATCGATTGACACTGGGTCTCGCGATCTTCCCTGACACCCTTTCTAGAATCTTTCTGGAGTTTCCGAAAGTCTTATCGCGGCCCGAATTCGAATTTGCGTCAAGGTTCGCCGACGGTCTCGACTTGTCGATCGCGATTCGATGCTGTCTCGACGCGGCCGACTCGCAAAATGCCTCCGTGAAAATTTCACGCGAAAGAGAATTTGTTTCCGTCGAATCGCTTGAGAACTCGGAGGACGTTGAATCGTCAAACTGCGATGGCGGAGCAATAACCGAGGAGCGCTTCTCCGTGGAGCGATTCGGGTTGGAATTTCGATTGAGGTCGAAGTGCCCGACGTATTTTACGAAGGCCGAGGGTGAACGAGAGAGAGGAAAGTTGGAGTTGAGGGTGGAAGGAGAATGGTCCGTAATCGTAATCGTCGGATCGATCGATCGATCGGATGCGTCCGTGGAGGAGAGCTCGTTCATTTGCCTCTCAGCCAGGTAAAACGGATCGTCACTCTGCAGGTCGGTAACAACCGGTTCGGCCGAGGTTCCGATGTTACTGAAAAAAATCATTATTAAAGAGAATGACAGCGAACCGTCAACCGGGTCTTGGTAACCTGTCAACGATGTTTAGCTGTCCCTGGGAACTCGAAGGAACTGTAAGCGCGAGCTTAAGCCTCTAAACCCTTAATAAGCGCGATCGAAGATTAATCGAAGCTCATTGGTAAAGCGCCTACCTGTGGAAGTTGGGCTGTGAAGCCTTCGGGGAAGGGATCACGGGTGGAAGGTTTTCGATCTTTCGATTTCTTATCAGAAGTCGCTCCTTATTTAATGGCTCCGTCCATTTCACCTCCCGTCTATTCTCCACGACCTGTGACACTTTTTCCCAGTACGACGAGTTCTCGTTGGACTTGATGAGGTTTCGGGAGTCGTAAAGTCTACGAACGTAATTCGTCACGATCGCCGGCAGAGGCTCCGAGCGAGGCTCCGCTTGGCCTGCAGGTTCGATGGAAGCGACGCAGCTCGCTCGCTCCGTCCGATCGGTTCGCTCGATCGAGGAAATCAGGCTGTCGGTGCTGCCACGCAAGGCCTTCATTCGCTCGCGAATCCTTCTCTCCGTAACTCGGGCTGACGTCGTCCTTGAATCGAAATCCTTCGAACCCCGCGCCTTCTTCGGGACTGCCTCTCTCTCCGCGAGGTCCTCCTCCTCGCCTTGAGACTCGAAATTCCCATTTACGTACTTCTCGCGAATGCGCAGACGCACTGGTTCCTCGCTCGATGTAGTGATCCTGACAGTCTCCTCTAGCTCTTCACGATTCTTCCTTGGCATCTTCATCTTCCGGCGAAGCACCTTCCTCTCGCCGGAAGTCTCCTCTATCACGTACGTCGCGCATCTCGCTGCACTTCCCTGAACAAGCGGAAGCTGCTCCACTCCGGTCCTTTCGAGAGTCCTCGTCTCCTCGATCGTATCGCCCCTTCCGTCCGTAGGATCCTCATCCTTGCGCCGATCGCCGTCCAAGGAGTGAATTATTGAATAGGTAAGATCCAAGTCCTCGTCGTCGCCGAGGGTCGTGTTCCTCTCGGTGCTCTCGGCCACGGAGATCCTCGAAGATGTCCGACGTGGACCGTGACCCGGGCTATTCGCTTCGTCGCATCGTTCATCCGCAACCGTTCCGCAGCCTCGCTGCGGCACCGCCGCTTCCGTCACGTTCGGAGTCCTCTTGCACGCAAGCCCAGCATCGATATCGAAATGCGATATCCGGTAGACATTACACGGTCGCACAGTCATGCCAATCACTCCTTCGTTTACGGCAATGTCGTTAAGTCGCACCGTTCCTTCCTCACTGAGCTTACTCTTCTCCGACTTGCAGATGCACTTCGACGTGAGTGAAATGGCTTCTCGAACTTTCCTACTTTTCCCCCTACAACCCCTTCGGATTTACAAATGTCTGCGATATTCTTCTCGTGTTATCCTTTCTTTTGCGTTCTTTTGTTTCGTGAGACGGTGATTTCGGAAAGAAGATCGAGGAAAAGGAAAGGAGGAGGGATAGCATTAGCGGAAATAGAAGCGAAAGCGAAGAAGAAGCCAAGGAAAGGAAGTGTGATGTGGCTATGTTTCGAGTCTCTCTTCGTGCGGCATAACGACCAAGAGAAAGCAAAAAGGAAAAGGCAGAAATCCTTCAATACGACACGCTCTTATCCCTTGGCCGTTTCCGCCTCTCAGCCTTTTCATCGATCAGCTGACCGGACTGTCAGATTGGCAGCTGCCAAGTGCCAAGCTGCCAAGTGAGCACAATGTCGTTCGTACTTTCCCTCGGGACATCTTGATACTTACCTGTTGTTGCGATCCGCGGAGCAATATTTTGAGGAACCAGTGAGACTGCCGCTGCAGGGAAGCACTGAGGTCAGAGGTGCAGCCATTGGCATTCCACCATGGGATAAACGTCTGCTGCAAATAACATAAAGAACGGGGATAGATAAAAGAGAGCAAGGAGAGTGTCCAAGAGGGGAGCCGCTGAAGCGGGAAAAAAGAAAAGCATAAACTGACCCCGTCGTCGAACTGACAGTCCGTTTCGTATTGAGAACCGTTTCCTGGATCTTGTTACAGGCCGGCATCGAGAGACTCTCCCTAGCAGCTGCGGTATTGGATGTCGTTGATGTCGTTGATGTCGTTGATGTCGGTGACGTCGGCGATGTTTTGCATCCAAAAGCATTGAAATTGCCAACCGATCCAGGCGAGTACTTTTCCCGATTGAAGGCTCGCCGATTCTTGAGAATCGGTGCTCGATATTTCATTCGAGCTTCGAGACGTTCCTTGGCCACGTTCGTCGCTGGACTCAGGGGAAGTCGGATCGCCCGCTCCTTGCACCAAGCGACGTGCCGATCATAGGCCTTTATGCCGAACTGTCGACTGCACGTGGGACACGTGCCTTTCTCGTTGGCTCGTGTCGGGGCACCACTGGATACGGACAACGTACTCGCCGCCGTCGCCGCCGTCGCCGTCGTCGTTGTCGTCGATGACGCCGTTGTCGTCGTTATAGATGCGGGCGTCGTAGTCTTCTGTCGCCGTGGCGGCACATCTACCTACGGAAGCAGAGCCATTTTCCTGTTTAACAGAATGACAGAGAAATGCTGAGGTGGAAGAACGACATGAGCAAGTTACGTTTTCACGGCGCGCCTCCCTAAGGGCCCGCAGCAGCTGGTCATGGGTCTGTTTCCAGCCGGACTTTGACTTCGGAGACCTGTCCCGAATCCTCTCTTGCGAACCGTCCTGGGACGGGCCTCTGGTCTCCCGCTTCGGCGCGAATTCGGCCAACTCGGTTCCCTGGATCCTCTGCTTCGCCGAGTCAAAAGGCTTCCGTTTCTTGAGTGCCGATCGCTCGCAAATCCTCCTGTGCTTCTCGAGCGACTGCGGCTTGAACGTTCGTGCGCAAATGGCGCACGGCAGAAGGACCGTCGGTGCATCTGAATTCATTTAATAATTACTCGTGCTTAGTATCGCTCTCGTCACCGAAGGATGCTCTGACTCGCTCGCTCAATCACTCGGACACTCGGATTCCCTTTACTCGGCACGCAGGGCCGCGAATTTACAAAAAAAATGCGAGCCAGCGCGATGATCGTTACGCCACGCGAACAGCCAGCGAGCACTGGAAGGAAGAAATCTGCGCGATTCCGAACACCTGGATCGGCTTCCTTGCTCTGACTTATTTCTCCTTGTTTCACGAATGACGCGGGAGCCCGCGCGCCCCCGCGATCGCGTCGCCCACGAGGAGCAACTTTCCTTATTCGGACTCGCAACGTCGCGCTTGCTCGCAAATAAGACAGCCGAGCCAACTGTACGCTCTCGCTGGACTTGGGGAAACGAAGAAGGTCAAGACGCGAGACGATCGGCGGGCTCTTCCGGTTCAACTAAGGTCCTCCTACGGCAACCAGTGTCGTAAGATCCGGCGCTGGCGTCATCGTCGATACTTCAAGATTTAGCATCGCTCCGCGAGGTCGGTCGGAATCGCTTTCGACACTATTCGAGAGACTCGACGTCCTCCAATGCTTTCGAACTAATTAGAGAATTCTCGACAGCCCACCTGCTTTTTCCCGCAACGAGAGTCTCCTTTCGAGATCCTCCTCATCTTCCTTCTTCTCCTCCCTTCTGCAATTTCCTGTAGCGATTAGATTAGACTTTGAATTCGAATACGACTCATTCGCGTGATTCACAAGGATCAGGGAGGCTACCCGCGAGCACCTATTCAGGGTCAACTCGGCAGCATCAATACCTGCCGCCGCCGACTTTTTCGACACGCAGCACAGCATCGGGAAAGCGCGATTTAAGCGACCGCGAGAAAAGGGAGAGAACTAAGCAAAGAGGCACGCAGGTGGACGAAAGTCTTGTTGACTGTCGCGGACGTGTAGTTGCTACCGACGCAAGTGCTACTACTCGGAACGTCGAGATCCCTTCGAGCCGACGCACTCTACTCTCCACGCGCACCACCTTAATTCATAAAGAAGCTTATTTTCGGAACGAATGGAAAAAGCCGGACGGATGGTGTGACCCTTTTTTATCTTTTTTTTACCTTCCTTTTCTCGTATTTCCAAGGAGTCCCGGTGTCGGTCGGCGTCTATCGTACGTGTCGGAACCGTTCGAGACATCTGCGAGTATAATTAGAAAATATTTCTATCGAAGGAGAGCGTGCTCTCTCTGGAGTGGCAAACGATCCTAGCACCAACGCCGATGGAAGAAATCACTCTGCTATCTCGATATTTAGACGGAAAGTATTATAACATCTTCAATAAAGGCGGTTAGATAAATTGACATGCTACGCACAAACTTACCCTCAGCGTCTGCCATATTCGCTGTTAGGGGAAACAATCCGTTACCCTGACAACGCTCAACGGGACACGAATCGACGGCCATTAACGCCGGTCTCGTATACGAACACATGCGATCGTACGTGCGGAAAGATATTAAATAAAAACATAAATCCTTCGTACACGGGACGGGGAGTCTGGGATTGACTGCCCAAATTTAATATAATATTGAAGGTGTTTCCACTGAAAATGATCCTTAAGTCGACTTGAGTTTTCTTAGCGTTCGAAGAACGCGCGCGTAGGTATCGCAAATGCCTCGTGGCACAGCCGTCGTTCTTTAGGCGGAATTTATTTGGAATACTCGTTCGAGAACTAGTGGAACGCGGGACGTAGGTTTGCATCAGTTTGCAATGTTAAGAAGTGCGGCGAATCAGGAAGACGGCAAACGGAGCGACGGGCGAGCGATCGGACGGTCGAGTGCAGGTTGCTGCGGGAGGCCAGAGGCCGTGTCGTCACTGATCGTATCTTGGTCCCTCGGAGTGTCGTGTGGTGGCGCGTGGTGTCGCGTAAGTAGTGGCGTCGCATGTCACTTCGGCGACTGCCGAGATTCAGTGCAACACAGTTGAACGCAGTGCAATTCAGTGAGAATTAGTGAGAATGTTACAGGTGGGCAGATCTATTACAAGGACGTTCTCGACACCGAGAAGACTGCGAGACCTGCGACACCGTAGTGCCAGTGACTACGCAGTGACGACACAACGGAATGGTGTAAGTACAGTCACGGATAATAAGAATAACCTCATTGTCAATCGCTTACAACGTCTTCGATGTTCGATCGGCGTTGCGCATTTAGGTTAGAACCATCACTCTGAACGATCCTTCTTCGCGAAATTCCCTGTCGCTCGAGATGCTGAACGTCTTGCTGCGAGACATCACGAAAGATCAGGATGCCACCGAGCTGCGAGCAATCGTAGTTACAGGCACACCTGGGCAAGTCTTTTCTGCTGGTCACAATCTCAAGCAACTGGTCAGTAGGATAAAGACTACTTAAAGGTATTCCATAGCGAGGTGTTCGCCTTGTCGATTATTCTCGGTGCATCAAAGATGCATCGCTTCCTCGATCCAGTCTCAGCTGACAATGAACTTTAAAATATTTAGACGACAGCAATAGGGACTGATCGTCATCGAGAAATCTTTTCCACCTGCGAGAAGCTCATGTCCGCCATCACAGCCTCTCCTGTCCCCGTGATAGCAGCAGTCGATGGCTTGGCTGCTGCAGCTGGATGTCAACTGGTGGCTGCCTGCGATATTGCTATGTGCACCGAAAGAAGCACCTTCTCCACACCAGGGTACTCCTTTAATTATTTAAATTGCATAGACGTCCCATTCGCGTTACGAGAGACATTCATAAAAATGTCGTCTTGCCTATTTATCTCTCACTACGACCTTACAGATCAAACTTTGGCATATTTTGCTCGACTCCTGGCGTCGCTCTGGTGCGCAACGTGCCGCGAAAAGTTGCTGCGTGGATGCTTTTCACGGGATTACCCATTTCGGCACACGAAGCATACGAAGTGGGCTTGGTTAGCAAAGTTGTCTCCCCTGAAGATCTCGGTAAATATCCTCGTTGCGCGATTTTCAATGACTGATCGTAAAGAGAGAAAATTATTTTGATTTTTTTTTTTTCATCATGCGTAGCCAAAGAAATCTCCATTATTACGGACGCAATTCTGGCGAAAAGTCGATCCGTTGTAACCATCGGGAAGAAGTTTCTTCACGAGCAGATCGACCTTGATTTACCGACGGCATACAGTCTAGGGACGGAGATAATGGTCCAAAGTTTAAAACTAAAGGATTCCCAAGAAGGTCTCAGAAGTTTTATCGATAAGAAGAAACCAGTCTGGACTCATGGGTACGAGAAGGAACAATGAGGCCACGAGGGAAGCGGACGCTGCCCGCAGTGACACGATTCTTCTCTAATTGTCAACGGAACGTTTCCCGTCTACGTGCCAGTCCGAAGAAACCCTCGTCCTGTATCTCTGACGCGGTGAACCATTCGCGATGACCTGCCTGCCTGCCCTGATGGGTCTTATATAATTCGTCGAATAATCTTTCTTCAACAAGAAATTTGGCCTGGCACTCTTTTGCGACTACGTGGCTCGTAGATAACCCCGCCTCGAAAAAAAGACATGCATGAATGACGGATTAGCGATATTGGCAAAATCATATATATATTTACAACTAGGATGAAGGTTTAGAATAAAAAACGCAATTATATAATGCGAAAGTATTTACCGTCGTCAGTTACGACTGTCATCCTGATTCGTCGTCCCACGACTTTCTGCAGTTTCTCACGTATACCACTGGAGACAAACACGCACGCACTCACATTTCCCTGAATCGTTTGTTCCTATCACCCTCCTTGATCGTAACTATAAACACATTGAGGCTACAAAAATAATTATTAGCATTATTATTGCGATGTGGAAGTGCGCGAGGAGTGGCTCTGTATCGCGCGGGAGACGTATCAAAATTAAGGTCACATGTTTGCCATTTGTCCAGTCCGGCTGCAACACTCCCTCCTGTCGATCCGAACTGCGCTGAGCTATGCCGCGGTGTGCCGCTGCGTCCCGCGCGAAAATTCCACGTTTCCAGAAGCCACTCTGAAAATTAAAGGAACATTGGAGAACGAATGCCACAAGGATTGACAAAGACGATCGAGCGGTTCGTTCCAGCTGCGCTCAACCCCTTGACTTATGATGAACTCTCAGCAAGTGGTCCAGGGACGCACACGCACACGGGTTACTCGTCGTGGACGCTTGTGACGCGCTGGAAGTAAGAGCGCGAGTAGTCCGGAGGGAGGGAGAGCAATTCTTCGACGGCCCTGTTTCTTCTATGGCCGATATCGCAGCTTCGTTAACGAAACATATTATCGCTGCAGCGTCACACTGGGATCCCTCCACTGGATTCTGTAAAGTTATAAATCACCGAGGCGCGACACGTACGACGCCAGTATACCGTCTGAGCTCCACAATAGTTTCAAAGCCTGATGCAAATCGAACCACAGTAATTCGGTGATTGCGCGTATCCCCCGTCTAACGTGAGAAAGCCGTTGATGATTATTTTTTCAACGAAGCCGCGACGAGTCTGCATGCAGTTTCAAGAAATTGGAAAACTCGCAACTACATTTAGTCGAAATAAACGAAGGGCAGTAATCGAGAAGAGTCTCTCTCGTAAGGAAATCGCAAATCTGCTGTTCGACAAGTGCCTGGGTCCGTATGCCATAGTATTTCTTATCATAGTGACCGCAGCAGAGCCATCTTGTTTTTCTTATTTCGTATCAAAGACGAGCCGGCTCTTTAGTGCTATGGCCCGAGTGCATGCAAAATGCAGTCATAAAATTTACTTGCTCGTTTTTAGGTTGCCAAAGAATGGCCATCGTTCCACAAGGAGCATTTGCCACGCGCAAAGTTCGACAGAATCAAGAGCGTGCTTTCATGATTTCAAAGATGGCAGAAAAGGGAAGCGACAACGAGAGCAAAGGAAATGGATACAGCACCAAATCTTCCACGGAAGGTAAAACACATCGAGGTCTTTCTTTTCATTCACATTGAGTTATCGGAGCACGATTATCAGTGATGTGATGTTTACTTTTATTTTTACAGTTAGGGAACTGACTCCGCTAAAGTACAACAGCAAGCTGATGAATAGCATTTGGGGACTGTATAATCGCTATTCGGTGCACAACTTCAAAAAAAACACCGATGCCAACGACGGGGCCATTGCGGCGGCCTGGGGAGCTTTGATTAATTTCGATGCTCCTCCTGCTACGACTACGGCCTCGGTCGTAGCAACGGTCGCCGCGAAGACTGCAGAGATCTTTCGATCTGGAAACGGCCTTTGAGCGGCGCAGCTCAACAGCCGTCACTTCCGACCCGGATATCCGTTGCACCAAACTCCGGTCAATTGCATTGCATTTGACTATACGTATATGCACTCATGCGCCTCAATCTCCCGAGGTCCTCGACTGTCCTCAATTCAACGGAATATATATATGTGTATGCGTCGTTATTTTAAATTTTTTCCTTCGCTGTATTTTAGAATTATTGTAATGTTACTGCTACATGTGATATTAAAAGGTGAATGATATCATCGACAGTGTCTTGATAAATATCCTTATCCGATGGGAATATACGAGCTTCTTGAGGTTAGAGCACGATTATATGTAACTGAGCGGAGGTGGTATGGTTGTTTGACACGGTTGGATGGCAGCTGTCGAGCGAGGATCATATTTTCCTCCGTTATCCCCATTTGTCCTTACTTTTTATTGGACTCTCCCGAACTTTCACTAGTTTCTATACTTCATTGCCTCTCTATGGACATCGAAAAGGATTTTGTGCAAGAAAGAGAAAATCAGTCGGAAGGTTTATGAATCTGTTAGGCTAAAAAGTACATTTTTCTATTGAAAATTTATTACACCTAACATTACGTGTACTGAGCATCTGAACCATTCTTAAAACATATTGTAAAATCAAGATTAGTATCGTCATCTGGCGGCAGATCGAACACAGGATTCGTTAAAAAAAAATACCCAATTCGAATGCTTTGGCGCTACATGCTACGTGCCATCCAAATGGACAAGTGCAGACAAATGTAATGCAACGAGATACGAAATGATTTCGAAGAAGCCCCTCCAGTTAACTCTGGCCATACTTAAACCCCACGTGGTTAAATCGCCGTTTGCCCTTCAGGTAAGTTTATGAAACCTAACCTACCATAGTTTTTAATTGTTCTTTCGATTGCCCGGAGAGAGCAAGATGGACAACCAAATTCCCAAAATACATTTTTATCTGCTGAGATTCTAGTTTCACATGCACGAAATTTCATTTGTAGGGGATTCCGTGAGTGCACCAGGATATTTCTCTATTTTTCAGAAAATACGCGACATCATAATTGATAATGACTTCAAAGTTGTTAGATCTCGACGAACGATTATTACACGCGAGGAGGCAGAGTTTTTCTATGCCGATCATAAGGGTAAATTCTTTTACAATCGGCTAGTCACATTTGTATGCAGTGGACCATCGGACATGCATGTATTGGCAGGTCACGATGCCATAGTTAAATGGAGGGAATTAATGGGTCCAACGAAAGTCTATCAGGCTCAATATTTGGCACCTAATACTATTAGAGGAACATTTGGTTTATCGGATACCAGGAATGCAGCACATGGATCAGGTACTTCACTTTTCATGCAAAAGTTCAGCCTCACATGATATTATTATTATTATTAATATTATTCTTTCAGATTCTCCAGAGTCTGCTGAACAAGAAATTAAAATATTTTTCAAAGACTTTAATACAACTAAATGGTATCAAATCGAAGAGCCTTTTTTCAGTCTTGGCCAAGTGCGCTTTGACCCTAAGGCTTTTGTGCATATAATAAATGAAGTAGATACAACTAAGAGCACAATATGATTCACTCAATATCATTCTGGCAAAACTTATTTTAGTTAGAAAGAATAAAGATGCTTAACGATAGATTCAAAGATGTTCATTTTAGAGAGAACTTATTGATATGCTGTGTGACGGATGTAATAGTGACGTTAAAGGAATATTTGAATTCAGTATTAAAAAATCATGAAACTTGTATTGTTTAAATATTTGTTTGACAACATAATTTGAAAGTCATGCATTGATTTTGACATAGACTTTAGGTCGTGAAAAGACTTTTATTCCTTCCTCTAATTTGTTGAGCTGCCTCTCAATTTCCGCCTTCCGCTGTTGAGATCGTAAGGTATCTGTTTTAATAGGCATAGAATTCAATTCATCGACAAACTGTTGATAATCTAAAAAAAGGACAGTGCAATATATATTATACTTCCTTTAAATTAATGAAATAGTTAATCGCCGGAACTTCTTGTAAGACTGAGACCCACTTTTCTTCAACATGGACAATGTCTCCTTGCGTTCACTGTCTGGAAGAGGAAGATGACCTTCTGGACAGTTATGACAAGAAGATGCATTTTTAGCTCGTTCCTCATTTTGCTGCCGTGCTTCCTTTCTCTCTCGTAGATATCTATTGCAGACAAGAAATGTCGTTAGTAAAGTTTACATTTTGTAAATTAAAACTATGAAAGAAATTTGTCATACTTCGGAACGACTCCTTTTCGATAATGCGAGGGTAGTATTCCATTATTTAACTGAACAGCCATTTTGCTGGCAATATTGTTACACTTGTCGACTTTCAAATTATTCGTTGTGTTTTTGTCATTGTTCCATGTTATAGGAACAAGCATTGTATCTCCTTCATCTAAGGCCATATTTGACCTATTTATTGGTATTTCATTAGTATCTAAGCACTGCTCATTAGAAATGTTGTCAGCAGTATTAAACGTTTGAATTCCTTGATTTTTATATGTGATTTTAGAGTTATATTTGTCTCCGTCACTAGGAGATTGTTCAGAAAGTAGTTTAAAATCGGATGATTCTTTTGCGTGGGTATTCTGCAAACCTTTCTTTTCAAACAATTTATTCTCTCCTACGACTAACTTTGCTCCTGAAACTTTACTTGGAATCACTCTGTAAGATTTGGTTGATCTGGAATTGCATTTCATAGGCAATATAGGAACACTGGCTTTCAGAGAAGAGCATTGCTTATCTGTTTCCTTTGATTGATTTGACAAGAGTCTTGAATTCTCTGACTTTTCCGTTTTTCGGGAAGCGCAATTTACATTGGAATTAATGTCTTGAGATTTGTTGCTTGTACTCCGACATCCCTGCGCATGTAACACCTGTAAGTCTTTAATTTCCTTACTAGTATGATGGACTCGTTCCATACGGCGAAGGTTCTTCACGTTTTCTCGAATAAAATTCTTTCCGCCAAGAGGTTCTGCAAAGAAGGGTTTGCAAAATAATACAACTAATATATTCGAAAAATATTTATTTATTATTGACAATAACTAAATAGCACATACTTGGCTTCGGAAATATTCCTTTTAGCGTTGTCATATTGTCCAAAGGCATATGACGCAGCGATTGACAATTAAATAAAACTCCACTAAGATATTGTTAATTTGGAAATTTAGAATGTGCAGCGAAACCAATGGGCAAAGGTTAGTATCTACAGTATTATTTGGTACGCATTGCTATGTTACTGTATGTGACGTAGACGTGTGACAGAGATAAGTAGCGGGATGCACAACGCTACGGTTTTACGCGATATCAAAATCATGGCGCTAAATCGTAGCGGTGAGTCTGGAAGTAGGATTTCGTGGCCATCGCCTTCGTCGACAATGCGAATCCCGTTGTAGCCGAGCTGAAGATGAACACGAACGCGTAACTTGGCAGGCAGAAGTTTTCTGCTACTCACCGCTGGTTCCCAAAGCAACTCTTAGAACGAGACCGGGAACTACAGACCTTCTCAAGAACTATTGAAAAAGCCTATTGTTGAAACATTTTTAAGACATTTATAAAAAAGTGCAATGCCAACTTGACACCCGTGTAGCATCTTAATTTTTGAAAAATGTTTCATCACTTGAGGGCACAAAGAAAAAAAGGAATAAGAAGAAAAAGGAAGAAAGAAGAAGAAGACAAAAACTAGTTGCACAGAAATATTGAAAATTCGAAACATTGAAAAAAGCTTTCCGAATACTAATAAATATTATTGGATCTTGATTTACTTTCAAAATTTGTACAAAATATACAATTGATGCTAAATCAAAATCTCGCAGAATATACGGAGTAGATAAAAATTGAATTGAAATTGTAGAACATCGAAAATAAATTACGTTCAAATTGAAATTTTAATAAATTAAGTGTCTGAAACATTAAAATAATTAATGAAATGGCCGCAGGACTCGGGGGTTTTCCTCAATAAAAAAACAAAAAAAAAACACGGTCCCCTATGGGGCCTCGGAGGGGTCGTAGGTCCCTTGTGGAGAGGCAGGACCTCACGGAAATGGGCGGGGAGGGGCCCATTTCGCTCACTTATACTTCTTACTTTTCCCACTGTTCTCTTTTCTCGCTCCTCCAGAATAATCTGGTTCTCGTGCATACGCTTTACGCATCTTCTTCTCCCCTTGTTCCCTCAGTCATAACACATCTCTCTTCTTCTCTTTTTCTTTTTAACAATCTTCCTCTTTTCCTCTTCAACAACATCTTCCCTGTGTGCTGCCACCACATGTTTCTACTCAATTTTCGAATCTCCTATTCCTTCCTATTCTCCATCACTCTCCTCCTAATATATCCTTAAAAAGTAAGTTTTTAAAATGTCTTTTGGAAAAAGAAAAGCCCAAAGTGGTAGCGCATGTAACATACCACAAGTATATTATATTGTAGTGATATATTTTAATATATTTTGTAACGTATTTCCTTAACTTGACCCGACACCGATAGCAAAACACACGGGAACGAACTATCTTCGAGAAGCAACCTACGTTACCTTCGGCCGTCCACGCGTCGTTCGTGCATCCGCAGGCCAGGCGGCCGCCAGCCAATTGTTTTTTCACCGGGAACTGACGAGCCGGTATGAACTGGGAGTTGGGGTGGAACAGGCCCAACTCCGCCAAAGCGAGAACTCTGACGTAACCTATCGGACGAGGCGATAGCTTAACGGATCCTGTCGATTTTTGGGGACGCGTAAGATCGAGAAACGCAACCGTAGGTGCTGATCTTTGGGGTCGCGTATAATCAGCAAACGCAACTGGATGCACGAACGGGAGCGGACGGTTACGGAAATGCACGGCCGCTCAGGCTGCTAGGTTGAGGTAGAGAGGGTCGGAGTAAGAGTCCGGCAAATAGCGCGAGCGACAGAGAACGAATCTTAACCATCTATCGAGATCCCTTCACCAGTTAATAAATTGGGAGACTCACCGGAGCTGGTGCAGCTAATCCGTGGAGGCCGAGAACTGCATCCAAAGGACACTCTGGTGGACACTACACTAAAGCACAGCACTACACCTCCGGAACACTCACAGGAATTCATAGAATTGCCTGGATATCGCGAGAACAACGCGAGAACTGTACGAATCGAGAACTTGCTATACCGTAGCGAAACACGGAAAGAAAAACTATAAACAAACAGCCCGGGAGCGCGAGGCAGCCCCCAGAATAATCTGGTCTTCGTGCATACGCTTTACGCATCTTCTTCTCCCCTTGTTCCCTCAGTCATAACACATCTCTCTTCTTCTCTTGGGCGCCGGTATCTCACCCGGGCTTCTGCCGGTCCATGGAGACGTCTCTGTCGGGTCGTCTCCTCTGCCGGGCAACTCGGTACGTCGAGACCATCTCCCCACGGCAGATTCGAGCACCTCGACCTCAACTAAACAATAACGAAATCTTACGAGAGCCTTGACATAACTATACGAGTCGACCCGAGAGCGTAGCTTCTGAGCAGGGTGGCGACCCGAAGGGAACCAGAAATCGAGAACGTTATCTGTTTCGGTAACCGGAGCCGCCTTGGGACCGGGATTTGAAAAATCACGTTACAATTTATAATGGCATTAATATTACTAGTCTTTCACGGACTATATATGTACATCTGTACTTCGTATACTGTATAATTATTGCATTTATTCAATAAATTATCTTGTGAAACTTATACACGTTGATATTCTTTTGCCCTATGCGAATATCCCAGAGTAAGAGTGAGTTCTGGCTCTCTCTGACTCTCCTCCATTATAACAGTATCCTTTTCCTTCTTCTCCACCCTTATGCTGCTACACCTCTTTTCGGCTATGCTCTATTTTCTCTGTCATTACTTCCATTCCACCAGCAAGTTGCAAAAAGTAAAGGGATTTTTTAAAAGTGCCCTATTGCAATTTGATCTGTGCCAGTCTCTTCCGAGATACAGCTGATTTTCGAATTACTTTCGGAAATATTTTATTCGACCGACCGACCGAGCCTCCGAGGTAAGTTAAACGCGAAAAAGCTAAGATAAGTTAAACGCGAAAAAGCTAAGATAAGTTAAACGCGAAAAAGCTAAGATAAGTTAAACGCGAAAAAGCTAAGATAAGTTAAACGCGAAAAAGCTAAGATAAGTTAAACGCGAAAAAGCTAAGATAAGTTAAACGCGAAAAAGCTAAGATAAGTTAAACGCGAAAAAGCTAAGATAAGTTAAACGCGAAAAAGCTAAGATAAGTTAAACGCGAAAAAGCTAAGATAAGTTAAACGCGAAAAAGCTAAGATAAGTTAAACGCGAAAAAGCTAAGATAAGTTAAACGCGAAAAAGCTAAGATAAGTTAAACGCGAAAAAGCTAAGATAAGTTAAACGCGAAAAAGCTAAGATAAGTTAAACGCGAAAAAGCTAAGATAAGTTAAACGCGAAAAAGCTAAGATAAGTTAAACGCGAAAAAGCTAAGATAAGTTAAACGCGAAAAAGCTAAGATAAGTTAAACGCGAAAAAGCTAAGATAAGTTAAACGCGAAAAAGCTAAGATAAGTTAAACGCGAAAAAGCTAAGATAAGTTAAACGCGCAAAGGGACAAGTTAAACGCGAAAGGTCTACCCTTAGTCAAGATTCACCGCAACGAAAGACCGCGGGCGTAGCACCCAGCGAACCCTTGCGGGCACGCCGGGACATCCGGAAGGACGATATTTAACGCTACAACCTCCGTCCCTTCCCACGGGCGAGCCCAGTGGGTTAGACGTAAGGAACCACGCCCGCCGCCGGCGGCGGGCCCCGTTAGCCATCGATCCACGCGCAAAATGTCTCCGACAGAGGGTGACTTTATACTAGCGGGTGCTCAATAGCACCCGCACCTACCCCAAGTGAAGTGACCCCCAAGCACAAGCACAAGTAGGACTTTACCCAAAGTCAACGGACTACCCCTCCGACCTCCCCACGGACAAATAGGATCGTCTCTACCCACACAAGTGCCCAAGGGTCAACGACATGTTGGAGTGTTTTTAGCAAAGCGAACAAATTATACTAAATACGCGAGAGCTAGACACCTGGCTAGATTCACTATACGAAAGACCATGGCCGTAGATACCCTAAGGGGGCTCAAGGCCCCCGTCGGGAGACCCATAAGGTCCTGTTGCGGCCACAACTTGGGCCACCAACCACTGAGCAAGCTCAGCGGATGAGGCGGAAGGGCAACCCCCGACACCATGGTCTTAAGTCTAGCTGCACTAACCGGATGACTACTCTTATATGACTACTTGAATTAATATGCTCGACCCGACCAAAGGAATAGGAAGTGTAAGACAAGCACAATAGAAAGTGAGAGGGAACGCAGTGAAATGAGAAATTAGAAAGGAAGATAGAATTTAAGAAGTCAAGAAATAGAAATGTAAGGAATAAAGTTATAAAAGTAGAGAAGAAATAAGGGAAGAGATAAGTAATAAAATAAAGAATGAAGGATAAAGAAATAAATATAGAAAAAGAGAAAGGTGGAAAATGGATATGAGGGGTGTTTCCAAGAGATCAGTATAGGAGACCGGCTCGAGGAAGAATGAGCGCTCCGAGTCCGGGCACTGGCTCGAGCGCTCCCCACTCCCCGGCTCCTCCCACTTCATGTTTCGTTACATTTTATTTAATACCTACATTTGTAATGAGCTATATTAGGATACCCTTTGAGATTAATAAACTGCTGCACTTGTGCGATACGAAGAATTTAAAAGAATATTGATCGAGACGTTAGAGCATTTGAAGATTTCCAACAAATTTTTCGGCAATGTAAAGGAAGGTGGTGCAAGATGGGCCAGTCATAAATCTAGTGTAGACGCCCTAAAAATATATATGTATTTGCTCAGTGTAAAATCTTGACTATATATTGCTTTTACACTGATTGTATCCGATCCCCAGGCCAACCACCTAAGGGTATACACGGCGACAAATCCGAGCTCGAGCACTTAGCCAATTGCGTTTGCTAGGGTATCCCCAATTAGGGATACAGCCATAAGGAAATAAAGGAAGGAAGATAGAGGGTACCTTATTAGCAAGCAGCAAACTGCAGCAAATCGCCTCCTATGCCAGGTGGAATCACTGTCAAGAGTACGTTCGGAAACTTCAGTAAACTATAATCTGATATCGTTATATCTTTCTTGTTATAACGGTGGTAAAGAAAGATGCAACGTGCAAAAATTAGCCAGGGTAAGATTTCTGAATAAACCCCAGAACTTAATCGGGACCTAACTCTGACAACTTGAATATTTATATATCGAGATTTTCGGCTTGAACACAGCTTATTTACGCGATTCGGAGAACCGCATCGAGCGAAAAAGGTTACAAAAACAATATATACATATATGTATACATATATACATTTTCTTTTAACTGATTGGGAAGACCATGTTATATTTTTGCAACTGGTCCGACGGCATTATTTCCCTAAAGAGCCCGTCTTAACCCACCTTGCCCTATTTTAAAAAGAAATTGAAAATCATGAAATCTCACTTTAAGTGGAATTCGAAGCTTTAAGCAGTGCACCTCAAAGTATATTTCCATGAAAGTAATCCCAGTAGCTTCTCTCTTTGGTTCCGCGTGGAGTGTTATCGAGCCTTCGACGTTGCGTCCAACAGAGCTTCATCGTTGTCAGGGCCTTGCGAGACAATCTCGGTTTTGGGGGAAAGGAAGAAAAAGAAAATGAAAAGGAGAGAGAGAGAGAGGATGCGACTGGTTGAGCCACCTGGGAATAAGTTATTTATGGGTTTAAAGCATTGAGACGAGATACGTACGAAGTGAAAGGTTTATATATCAGTCTCTTTACACAAGCTGAGTAAAACAAAGATAATCGCCGAGCAGAAGCGAGGAAGATGAAGTAATTTTTCGGAAGTTGTCAGGACTTCTTTTCGGTTCGGTCGCCCGAAGTCCTTCCTGCCAAGAACAGCTGCAATCGCTTCGCGGCGTGCACTTCTGCTTTCTGCTTTCTGCTTTCAATCTAATCTTACGTCGAAATTACAATTTTTCTTACCGCAATTATAGTTTTTCGCAAAAGGAGATTCGCGCTGAACTCCTCGTTGCTCGTATCTCTCTGTGTGATATTCGGGGAGGCCACGCGTTGCGTGTCACGTGTTGTATCGGACAGGCCCAACGCCCCGCTCGGATCTCTAGCTTAGCTATACTAAATCTTAATCGATCGTTTCGGCTGAAGCAAACTACACACACAGTCGCAGTATGTAGTATGTAGTATGTCCCCAAAAATGCATAAAAATATCGTCGATACATTGAAAATTAAGACGTATGGCAAATATTACATTTTTCATCGTTACTCTTATTATTTAATTTATTTACAAGATACACGTTATGCTGTTGCGGTTACTAATCATTCACGATTATTACAACTATGGGGGCGCCGGGTACAGAGTCGCAAGATTCGATTCGAATAATGCTCGGCTACATTATAAGGGTGGTCGTGTCCCATGAGGTCTGGAGTAGTGATAGATCGTCGATATGTAGGAGCAGAGGCAATAGAGGGAATAGAGGGAATAGAGGGAACAAAGGTGGAGAAAAGAAGAAGAGACAATTCGGAATAACGCTAAGTAATCGTCCGGAAGGGAGTCACTGGTGACTGGGAGTAGAGTGTTTTGCATTTTGCACCGTTGGACGCGAGGGAATCAGGTGTGCGTCGGGTGAGCACGAGCTATGTCATTTTGGAATGTTGGCCTCGATTAATCATGTTCTTCTTCAAGCAGGTAGCAAAACGCGCTTGGGCAGTGTGGTGCGCAAATGTAGCGCAAATGGTGCGCAGAAGGTCGAGGTGCGACCCGGCGAACTTGTTCGAGGAATCGCCATCCAGAGGTACAGAGTATTTCTCTAAGGATGTTACGCGCGGAAAGTATTCGAGCAACTCCTCCGAGAATTCTCTTAGACTCCTTTCTTAGTCGCTATCGATTCATTCGATTCATTCGATTCATTCGATTCCCTACGTGACATTATTAGAAAGACACTTTGCGATAGTATACCTATTAGTGTATCTGCTGACATATTTATATATTTATACCTTACAAAAAAGAATATTTACACACGATACTGGCAGTTATATTTTTTCAGCCCTCGCCGCGTCGTCGTTGGGCATTCGCATTGATTCGCATTGATTCGCATTGATTCGCACGGCCAGCCTCGCTAGCTCTTCTAAATCTTATAAGTATATCCTACTAGACTATACACTATACACTAGACGCATATAGTGTCGGCCAATTATTTAACTCGCGTCGCCCTCGTCGCCGCCGCTGACCACGACACTCTCGAGTTACTATCAGAGAATTCCGGGAGAATATATCACTCATTCATTGTCAGATGCAATCGACCTACGCAAACAAATTCCTACAACAACAAAAAACACTCAGCCACATCTCCCGAATTCTTTGTTTCTTTTTCTTCTACTTTACCCCAATGAACTCTAAACAAAAAAGGAACAAAGATATGAGAAACTTATTTCCTTTAAAGTTTAAGTACCGTAGTAGCAAAGCAATAGCTAATATTCTCTTTAAAATATAAATTAGAAGTTTGGCAGTGTCCATTTCCTGTCTCCGTCCGATATTACCTAGATTTCCCTAATGAAGAAAGAATATTGCCTAGAGGCTAGAGCGCCGTTTATGATTTTCCTTGGTAGTCGCGTCTTTTCGTCGCAACGGAATCCGCACACGTTTTATGCGACGGAAAGCCCGCAAACCTTCGGACAGCCCAGCGTCGGCTCGTCGGCTCGTCGGCTCGTCGCGGCGCAACGCGACCGCACGAAAAAACGCATTAACGCCGTCGCGCACTTGGAGATTTCAATAAATACCGCTTAAATTGACCTATCTTAGGTGAATTTCTCTAAGCGCGTCGCACACTCGTGAGTCCCTTAAAGAGAAATTAAAGTAAATACGCACCAAGCGAGGATGCGTACAGAGGAGACACACGCTCGGCCGGATAAACGTTAGACGCTTATCGAGGACCTCCGGCTCGACGTCCTTCTTCTGATTTTTACTATTATAATCATTATCCTGATCATCGTCGTCCTTAGCCTCGCCTCGACTCGAGACTTGCAAGGTTTGGGCGCTTTTCAAAGGGCCTCTCTCTTCCAAGGGACACTCTCCCTCCTGGGAAGCTAAGTACAGACGACTGGACATAACTAGATTATTTCGTTCTAGTATCATATTGCTCTATTAGTTTTTGATCATTAAAAAGACGCAACAACCCGCACGTCTGCGAAGGAGCCATTTCGACGGCACGCAAGACTCTTCGCAATTTGCGACTGACGCGATGCTGGATTTTATCCTCCGTCGTCTTCGAATAAAGCCCTTGAGCCCTTGAGCCGTTGCGCCGTTGCAAAAAAACTACTTAGCACAGAAAAGGCAGCTTGCGCATTCGTGGGCTTTAGGGGACCTTGCTGCTGGGAATGCGTTACGAAATGTTTAGTGATACCGATTCAAATGAAATTACGAAAGAAGAGCCGACAGGCTAGAGCAATTTCTTCTCAGACTCATAAAGCTTTGTTCCTGCCGGCAGGGCGCAAACTTTTTAGAATACTACAAACTTCTTCAAGACAGTATGAAAAAGTTAGTGTTTTGGGTGAAACTCGTTCAGTTGTAAATGCTGGACTAGAAATCAGTCAAGTTTAATTGGCTGATCGAGTATGTTGAAAATTCGGACGGTTTAAACTAAATACGAATAACATGTCAAGTTGTTAGCTTTACGAGGGAATGGATGGCCGCACACGATCGGCAAGACGGTAACTACTGTTGCTCTTGTTATTAGAAAAAGAAAATCATCGGCCAGCGATGAGTGCCCTTATGCATTTGACCGGAGCAGCAGGCGAGCGCTTTATAGAACATTTATTCTCAAATTTCTTTAGATAACTGAGTGCCGATTGTTCTGCCGAGATGCACGTTCACAATTAACGAGGAATATACTTGTAAGAGAGACGCTACTCTCGTGGAACGGCACAGTGTACATGCTCAGTGACTCGCGACTGTATTTGCTAGTCGAATGCTCATCAGAGAACGCAAGGAAGAAAGACGGATGACGGATGACGGATGACGGATGACAGATGAAAGACAGAAGAACGAAAAGCGCAAATGCTTGAGGATCGTTCGATCGGATCAACAGTTTGGTCCGATACATGCCCAAAACGCAAAATTCCACTTGATCGAAAGTCAAAGGGAAACCCAAAGAGCAATTGTTTACCGTTATGTGTTTGGACCCTCCCACTCGATGAGATATTGAGCCTGACTATTCGGTCCAATTCTCTTGGCCCTGACGACGAACTTCTCACCAGCGGCTATTCTGTTTGCAGCACCGAAGTAGATGTTTACCGAGGATTTGAGGTCGTCCATCGATATGTCTGGAGCATTCTGCTTGATTGGCGAACATTTTGGAGAGGAAAGTACGCCGCCTCGCTTCGGAGGCTGCGGATCTGGGACGGGTGGCTTCTCGCTGCTCTGCCGTTGCCTCAATCGTCTGCCGTTCAATGCATAGTCCACGCAATTTCCAATCTGACTGTTGGCGCTGCTCGAGGAACTATTGAAAGAACTACGAAGATTTCTCACAAATTCATTTTTCACGTCGTTGTTGCGGGCTGGTATAATGGCCGCCGTTTTACTCGCCGTCGGCTGAAACTGCTGCGACAGGACTTGCCCCTGCTGTTGGGTCGAGGCTTGTGCATGCTGTTGCTGTTGATTCTGATTGTGATGGTGAAGATGATGATGATGATGATGATGATGATGAAGATGATGCAATTGCTTCTGATGCTGATGCGAATGTGATTGTGCCTGTGATTGCGCTTGGGACTGTGACTGCGATTGGTGCTGATGTGGATGTTGGTGGTGATGTTGAGAGGGCCGACCTCTTCGATGCTGCCTTCTGCGTTTAACCTGACCATTCCTATCGACGATGATATCCTTCTCGGAGAGTTGACGCTTGGCCGGCCGCGCAATGGGAGGTTGAGATATCACGGGTGTCAAGGGGAGTGGTAAAGTGATCGGGCAGTGATTCGGGTAGGCTAGGGGCGTACTTGAAGTACCAGCCACTGGAGGGACGCAGGGAGAGCCCAGGAGGTCGCTTAGATTTCTGAACGGATTGTTCTTGCCCTCAAAGTCTTTGGGTGGTGGTATAAACGAATCTAAAGTTCCCCTCGAACTCGTCTCGTCGCCACTTGTGTCGGCTGGAGTGGATGGTGGGAGCGGATGTAGAAGGTCTACCGAGCTCGGCACCGATAGTTCCGAAATCGCGGACGTTGCGGCCGGCGGTGTCGGAGGACCTGACACCGAAGTTGGCGGTGTAGGTGGCAGATCCGAAGCATCGGAAGTCCTGCATTTGCTCTGTGAAAGACAAATGTACCGTGAGTTGGACTCAAGTACTGCACCATTCCCGTCCGCAGGCACTCTTTCCCGACGAGACTTTCTCTTCGGTTTTACGCTCCTTTTCCCCTCGCATCCCCCAGCGTCATCCTTGCCTCTTACCTTGGCAATAGCATTTTTCAGAAGCTTTCTCGCCTTTTTATATCTTGCATCTCTCACGCCTTGCGATTTGATTATCGCGGATTCGGCGTTGCCTTTCTCTCTTTTCTTATGTTTGCGCAGCATCCTCTCTCGCGAACTACCTAGTGCCATCAATCTACGCCTTCTTTGTAAGCTTAACTTCGGAAAGGGCACAGACTTCTTGACAAAACCACCCCCGCTATACCTAGGAGAATGTAGGACCGATGGTTTTAATAGTCATTGAATATACGGAACGCCATCTCAGAACCCCGAAAACAACATAATAAGGAACTTGTGACGTGTGACATGTGACGTACCTTTCTCGTAACGACTGAGTCGTTTGCCCAGGTGGACTAGGACTCGGGCAGGAACTCTGTTCGGCCTCAGAATTCTGATAAATCGTGCCCCTCATCACAACATCTGATGGATTGACAGGGATTTCCAAATTCTCAGCTGGACTTTGTTGCAGTGCATTCAACTGTTTTGTACTCTCTGGTAAACATACCGGTCTATAACAGAAGTAGCAGCGATATGGAGATGAATGAGGAAAAGATAAATTAAGAAAACGAAGCAAAGTCAAGTCGAGCTCGCGAGTTCATAAGGATCGTGTAATTTCAGCATTTATAATATCAGATTATTCGTTCGCATGCACAGGGCCGTTCCATGACAGCTCCGTGAAATTCGTACTAAAATGTGGCAAGTCCAAAGTATAGAGGTAATCAAAAAATACTTAGGCTGTCTCGCGATATCGACGTCTTTGATGGTTCATAGAGCAGAATTTAGTAAGGTAACCAGTTAGACTGACCCAATGGGTGGAGGAAGGTATTGCAGTCTTTTGTTAGCACCCCAACACCGGCGTAATACAGAGTCGTCTATGATCCCGCTCGTAGGCAGATGGACCACGGGACAGGGCGGCGGCAGTCTGACTCGGAGACCCCAAATCGTAGTACGCTTCTTTATTTCCCTACCACACTTAAATCTATTTCTGTTGTTTGTCAATATCGCGAGTATGGATTCTCTGCGTATCTGTGCACTGACGTCTCGAATCTGAAAATGTATTCCGTCGTGATAAGGGCGTCTGCTCTAACATGCTACAAACTATACCCAATCTCCCTCCAGTCAACAAGTCCAATTTGTCATTGCCGTCCAAGCTACGTCCTAGTCCTCTCTCAGCAGATTCACGTTAAATAAGCTTTATGATATCGTAAACACTTACCCGAGGTGGCAGTTGTAAAGTATTCCAATTGTCGTTAGCGTAGGGCACGATTACAGTGTCCAAGTCATAGTACTTTTTAGCATTGTAAACGGTCAGATTGTACAACATCAGGTGCACCAGGTCGACCCACTTCAATTCCAGTCGCCGCACAAATTCCTTTCCATAATTGCACATCGAGCAGACAAATACATAAAATCTGCAATGGTCAAATTAACATCGAATCCGTTGAAACAATATGATGCCTGACGGGCTAATTGATGAATTCACCAGTGAAATAGGTGCGAAGACAACTCACCTATCGCCGCTGTATAGAGGATAGGTTAGACAGCTAACGCATTTCTCGTGAAACCATTGCTTGCAACGAGCGCACTGCAGCATCTGCGTGTACCACTCTCCATTTAGTCCACAATAACAGTAAATCTGTTCGGCGTTCACTCTGTGATGAGCATCCCAGCTTAACATGTCCGGCTGTAATTCTCGAAAATATCACTCCTTCCTTCCTTGCTTTCATTTTTTTTTACTATTCTATTTTATGCTTTCCCTCAGCGACACCACGCGATTTAACTTTAAGCGTACGGTCATTCCCTAAGTTCTAACAACGTAATTTCTGTTCTCTCTTTTTGTTCCGCTATTTGTTCTATTCAGCATACACTCAATATACAAACACTAGAGAGACTTACGTCGTATGGTAGCTTTGTGGTGTCGTCTGGTGGCGGTTGAGGCTGATCCCTGCCGCTGCATACTTTCCTGATGTTTGCCTTCACCATGGATTTCTTTGGTTCAACGGGTTCACGGTTCCTTGGTTGACTTTCAACGCATCGCTTACATATCCAGTGTGCCTCAGGAACTGTCTCCTCCTTCGTTATTTGAGGCTACAGGGAATGTGTAAAATAAAATGTTAAGAAACATTGGTAGCTACTCTACCTTATCTTTTGTCCAATAAAAGGATATTTCCATACCTGATGACACAGCTGATGATAGCCACGACCACACTTGTCGCATACAACAATGTCATCCTCAGCCTTGGGCTGAGACTTCTTACATAGTACACACATTACATCCGAATCTGGCATGGCCAGTTTAGTCAGTTCCTTAACAGACGACCAAGAAGATGTATTGTCCAGAAATTTGACAAGACATCTTTCTCTTGTTAAATCAACCTGAAAAAAAAATTTAAAGGAACATATAAAAACACATGGAAGACAAATGCATATACAAAACCTAATCATTTAAATAAATAAAGTTCACCTCAACCACTGTGCCGAGATAATATTTGCCATCCTTACGCTGGAGAAGAACATCTTCACCGTGAGAAAAACCAAGGCGTTGTTCCTTAGTTGTACTGTCTGGCACAGCCAGACTCTCCTCAGGCTCCGACATTGTCTACCCTGCTATTAGGGTGAGAAAAAAATGGCTATTCAACAGTGAAGTGAAAAGTAATGTAACACATAGCACAGTTATCGGATAAAGCATATTTCAGATAGCCAAGCACTTAAAAGTAACATAATAAAAATCTGAAAATACATTCAATGAACGAATTCTGTAATGAAATACTGTGAGTACTGTGGACATGAGCTAACTTGGCAAACAATCGTCTTTCGAAAAAGTTGACAGAAGGCACACTCCTATGTCCACTGGGTTTTTTAATATGAAGTCCTGCTTTTCGAACATTAGTTGTCTGATTATCTAATTTAGCCGGTGCACAGGGAAAGAAAAAGGGCAAGGACGCCGAGAATCGACATAAGGATAGTCGAGAGTCAATTTGAGTGGCGTAGAGAATAAAATGCAAGGAATGGTTCCCATGATACAGCAAAGCCGAGATCGCAGTATCGCACCCCCGAGAGTCGGCAATACCGGGATTCAAAGTGACTCGCCGTTGCCCATAATCGTTCGGCGGGCGTCTTAGAATATAACTTCGTGAAGCGAGGGCAGTACGATTGGCCGCGATAATACCTCGTAGAAGAGCATACCTTGGCGTCTCGGCCGTGGAATCAGGAGCGATTGTTATCCCTCATTTTCCAACTCGTCAGCCATTTACAAGCATGGGGGGCCCCGCCAGATTCGCCCGACACAGACTCGCGCGCGGCAAAACCTATCTCATCGAGTCTCGTTTCGTCTCCTCAGCACTGCACGGCACCTCACGGCACTGCACGGCCTCTGATCACCGCTCGCGATCGCAATAGTCCGGCACACCCATCGACCACCACTTTCCTCAGCGCGCCCACTCAAGAAAACACCTTCCTTCGGAAAACCTGGTGCATGTTCATTCTGTCCCTTGGAAATTCGAATGTGCACCGTCCGCCATTTTCGAGGAAACACTTGCTCCAGTACTACGAACGTCGACTAAACTTCTCTATGGTCGACATCACTTCGCTCAGACGTGTGCACAGAATTCTTCGGGCCACTGTCCATTGCTCTTGACTGCTACTACGCTCATTTTTCAATAATTTTTCTATTTCAAAGTATTAATTTGAACTTATGATAAAACCTTCTACTGACACTCAAAACATATGTTCTGTGAAATACAATTTTGAGCCAGAAATTACAAATTAACGGAACAAACAGTGGAACGTCCATTGCGGAGGAATTGTTTTGATTAGATGACAAAGAATTTCTAGCCATTCGTATGGCCCTTCCCTACCCTTATTCCTCCTAACTATCGACGTGATGGGCCATTTTTAATGACAGCTTCGTGTTATTGTAATCGGTATTCCCATCGGCGGATGATTCCTATTATTTAAAATTTGTTATGCTGATGGAAATAGTTCATATGCTGATACATGGAATACATATATCTTTGAGATATGATCTTACTCCAGGTAGAAAGGAAAAGGATATATTGAATGAATTTTCATGTAAGAGTTATTACAAATAAATAAACCTTCCTTTATCCTCATAGTCACATAAAGTACAATAATTTATTGCTTAAAATTTAATCAAAATAATTTTTTCTTGACTGCTGTATATCTTTCCATATAGCTTTCGTAACCCTCGAGATCTGAAAGTTGCTTTGCTTCAAAGAGATTTCCTTCCAGAGCTAAGTTCGTAATCTTAGAATTCTCCAAGACCTGTTTGGGAATGCTGTTCAGCTGTAAACAATTTTCTTCCAGACGTAGAGTCTTTAGCCGTGAACATTCAGCTAGTTTTTCGGATATGAAAGAGATCTGGTTCTGATTAAGATTGAGTTCAATTGTATACAGTTGTGAAACATTGTCAGGTATTGTAGTTAATTTGTTTCTTGAAAGGTCAAGCACATCCAAATGTTTAAGGTTGCAGAATGCAAGAGGAAAGTCGACAATATGATTACCAGACAAATTGACTTGTTTCAAGTGCAACAGTTTAGATAGGGATGAAGCAACGGTTTGTATATGATTTTCACTGGCGTTCAGACTTTCAAGTTTATGTAACGCACCAATTTGTTCAGGTAAAACTGTCAGTTTATTGTAGGAGAGATTTAGGTGCTTGAGGAGTGTAAAGTTTCTGATGTCGCCTGGAACTTTGGTAAATATGTTGTGAGAAAGGTCGAGGGTGCGCAAAAGCGGAGCGAGGGCGCTAAGATTCGGTGGAAATTCTTCGAGTTTTCTCTCTGACAGCTTGAGGACACCTGTTTTTTTCGCAGTTTCGTAGTGCTGCTTCAAGCCAGAGTTTCCCATACTGCCAATTTCCTCAAATCCGTAGGCAACTGTACATCCACGTACATCCACGTGACTTTATCGAACTTGGCGCACCTTCGGAGAGGACTCTTCTTTAGATTTATGTAAACAATGTGATCGCAAGCGAGAACCGATCACCCCGGATTATCCGAAAAATTTCGGAGTGGAGGGAATGTTATAGAAGTCAAGAAGTAAAGGGGCAGAAGTAGAGAAAGATGCGTTATAAGATTCAACGTTGGTCAGTTCGAGCTGGCGAAGCGTGTGCAGCAATCAACATGATGGACAGCGTCACTTAGCGATTATTGTATCTTTCTTCTTTTTCCTTTCTGTTTTTCGAATTGAATCACAAAGTTACGACGAGAACGCGTGAATTGACTGAAATAAGAGCGGAGATGTGTAGTGCGGAGCACATACTTGACAGTTTTGAAGCTATGCACCTGCGCTGTGCTATACGTTAGCCACTTGTGTATGTACATACAGAGTCCAAATCACTCGAAATCAGTTGTGCAGGTCAAATTGGTTAGTCACTTGGTAGAAATGAATAATAAAGAACACTATAAATGTGACAGAAGTAGAGTATCGGGTAAGTTGCGAACAATTGCGAGAGTACTGGATAGAACGCCAATGCCCCTTTGAGGAAGAGGGGCTTCTCCCGTGCCGTGACGTGACGAACAGTGAGAGAGAGACAGTGGCGACAAGTGAGGAGAATTGCCAACTAACGAACGGTGTCGGCCGATGCCGACCGGTGCCGACTTGCTCGGGGAGAGCAGGCCGCTGTTCTTTTCGTATTTCCTTCTAGTAATATTCGTACCCTACTTTTTCGAGTATGTACATGAGAACGTTCAGGGATTGTGTAACAGCGGTGATTAGCTTGGGTAGACTCTCTAAATTTTTCAGTATTCATTCGTGATTCGGCACCAGGTGTCGCTACGCTCGTTCGCTCGTCTGTGCTCATCCGAACATGGTTGACAAACGAAAATGTAGCGGTGCGAATCGAGTTTACATAAGATTTAAATTGCGACTGAAGAGCAATTCCAATGGTGATGGTGATCAATCGTGAAAATGGTGAAATAGTGGCGTAGTTTGAGAAGACGGACGAGCGAATGATGGCCTCCACACCAAAGCCGGATAAGTATGGAGGTGGGTGATCCTAGCTCGCTAATAGGTGTATGTTAGGCATATGTATATATATGTATAGGCGTGTTACACGGGAAAGGGCAAAGGGCGTATCAATTCGATTTCTATATCGTTTGATGACCTTTCACTTCGTGACAGTTCGACTTATGATTCTATCTGCAAAATATCTTGCTGTCATTACTTGTCGTCCTCCCTCCTTCCCCCTCCCCTCCCCAGCGGCACATCATGCTCAGCGCCGCCGTTGCCCAGTGTCAGCGACAGCGCGAGCATTAGTAGTATATACGAGTGGATCCAACATCAACGTCAGAGGCACCTCGCTATGTGCAACAGCTTATCAAACTTCTTCCTCTTCATTTTTATCATCTCTCCAAAATTACAAACTTTCCTTATGACTTTTCACACTGTTCACATACTTCCTATTCCTTTTCTCTCTCTCTCTCTGTTTGTTCCCTATTCTCAAAGGCTCATTTTACAGCGTGTTAAATGTCAAAAACATGCGCGCACTATTGAATACACATAACGCATCTCGGTTTGTGTTATTACGACCTATCACATCTCTTCCTTCTGTCCCAATTAAATCAGTTCAATGGAACTTACTTACGTAGGTAAAATCTACGGAAAGCCTGTTTAGGATGTACCGCTCAGAAAGTCAGCTAAAAGAAAAGAATCTTTACGATGGTCTACTTCTCGCATCTTTAAAAAGGTTTCGTTGACGCAACGGCGACGTCTACTTGGCATGCATCACGAGACACCCCGTACAGCTGATTCGTGGACTTGCTCAGTCGTTGCTACGTCAATCTCATCAACACATTGTATTTGTCGATTTGTTAATTCGCTCGAGTTTTCTCTTGCCAATAGTATTCATGTAGCTGTATCTCATTTTTTGCATATAAAACTGGTTTCATTAATTCCTTGATAGTTGGCCCCTTCCTCGTCCCACATTCGCATTGCGTAACACAAGTTCACGTTGTGTCGTGCTTCATTTATCGAGATAGAGAAATAGGATGACGCTAAATGCGCCATTGGAAATGACTGATTTTCCAATTTTTATCTATCACTCGTAGCTCCGACTAATTTTTTGACTTTCTTCACATTTCTCCTAATCCAGTAAACCGAATCTCTAAACCTTGTTGCTCCCTTATTGCTAATCTTAACCGGACAGCACAGAGTAGGTAATCCACGCGATCGCCAACATCAGCAGCATCACCAGTGCTTGTTGCTCCTGCTATTCGCTACGAGTAAAGTCTATCTTCTCGTGACGTGGGCAGTATCTCGTATGAAGTCTCCGCAAATAAGTTGTTGCCTTCTGCTCCTCCGCGCATCCTCTCCTCGTCGTCGTTCTTTCGCGCTCTCTCCCACGGCAGTTATTGCGAATGAAAGAAGGAAAGGAAACGTGTTGATACGTGTTGCGTCCCCTCACCATTCTCACTTGTTAAAATAGACGAGGCTTCTTTCCCAGCCAAACTCCGAGATATTGGCGTCCGATGTCTCGACGCTGGTTCACATGGCCAGTCCAAGTCTCGTCGCTTCTCCGCGACGTGCGCAGTCGAACCTCATTTCGTCTCGTTGCGATCTGATCACGAGAAACAATAAATGGTTATCGGTGACCTCGTCGTTGTTCATTAGTTTATTGGGATTAGCCGCGACTACAAATGAGCTGTTGTTTGTCAGAGGACGTTGGTTTGGCTCAGTGACGATAATTGTTCTTTTTACAATGGATACTCTATGGCTTGATTACGATATCTACGCCCTATGGGCGACAGTGTAAAGGCTTTTTAAAGTATCGAGAATATGAAGAGTTGCCTTAAACAAATATTTCCAACGAATGGATATATTCATTGATATTCGTTGATATGAAATATTTGAATCGATCGGACACACTGGCCCGAGATTGGACTGCAGCTGCTTCTCTTTAGAAATTCCCGAGAATTACGAGCGTCAAGGTATAAGAGAAACAGAAGAAGAAAGAGGCAGGCGAAATCCTCCCGCGAAAGAGCATCGCCGGAACGAGGCTTAATGTATTCGACGACGCGGAAGTAGCCAGCATTTAAGATATAGGCTAGGACAGCCACGATTTCAAAATAGACGCTCTCGGAATCATTTTGGTCTCATCGCTAAACCGGACACGGACGACTCTATGTATAAACAGCATTCTTTTGAACGGCTGCTGCTTTAGCCGACCACGTGCTCCCGTCCTCGCAATATTCCCTTCAATTACGTGGACGTCCCATGGTCCTGTATCATGGCACTGTATTTCATCGAGTAAAAAGAGATCTACTTTGAAACTGAAGCGCGTTATACCGAGGAAGATTGAGATAGTCACCGGTACGGATGAACGCAACGCGCCGCATTGAAGTCTTTATGTCGTGTCGTTGCAGCTCGTATTCCGTAAAACAAGAGACTTTTTCGTTGCGACATTTTTCGACTCGTCACGGAACAAGAGACCGTTGGCTTTCGCAATGGCTGCATTGGCTCCTCAAAACTTAAGAGGCTCCCTATCGGAGGTAAAACCGATTGACGTCGTGTAGACGTGGTCGGGACGTTAAAGCGACGGACGGAAGGACCGAGAGAAGCTCAGATTGGCCATGGCTGCCCAACCGATAACCGAGGAGCACATGTCAGCCGATACTCCACGATTAGAGTTGAGCTGTTGAAGAGCGCACGAGGTTCACCCTTCTGGCAATACGATGCGATTACTGCGATTACTGCGATTACTGCATGTCGTTTCTTTTGCCTTTCGAATTTCTTTTTTATTTGTCAATGATAATTCGAATTTTTTGAGCGATCCTTTTTCCACGCTGTTTTTTTTTTAATATCTAGTGAATGATTTTAGTGCGCGACGCTAAACAACCATTAAAAACATTAAGTACCAGGTGTATGTGATTAAATGTGGTCGAGATGAATTCGAAGAAAACCCTATGAGATTGATCTCTCTATTTTCGCAATGGTGTACATGTTATTGTTCCAAATTGATTAACACACAAGATGCCGCAGTACGACGATTCGTTTCTCGATTCGCCACTCTTTCGCCGCCGAGTGAAAAGCTACAGTGTGCGAAAGGAGAGTGCATCGAGACCTCAAGGTTCGAAAGTCACAGCGACGCCGTTGCTCCTCGCCGTGACGAATCTCAGGAGTCTGGTTGCATCCCCATCGGGCTGCAGATCCGAAGGTAGGACACAAAGTTCCTCGTTATGAGCCACACTCGCTCTCTGGGATTTCCGAAGCTTCGCAATCATCGAGTCCACTTTCTCGTGGCTGTCCTTAAACTTGATTACAGTATATGTCGTGTGGCGCTCATTAATTCGCAGAGCAGCGATCGAACGAGTGGAATTTTGAGCGGAGTACAGATACGGTGCAGGGACCTGCGGAGTTTGGCAATTGTCGCGCATTGTGCTACTGACCAACGAAAGAGAGAGAGAGAGAGAGAGAGTAGAGACGGTCGACCGCAGGTCCGCGCTACGGCAAGACGCCGCCTCCCTTTCCAGTCTTTCTCACACGTGCACCCGTGCACCCATGCACCCACACACTCACGTACGAGCACTTACTGACTCACTCTCTCTCTTTTTTTTTCTTTGCTGTCTTCCTGCCTGCCCGAGACTCCGTGCGTCGCGGAGGAAAGTCAAGTTCGGTTCGTTAGCAGTCGACGCGCACACGGTCCGCGAGCCGGACGCCGCTCATCGTGCGCTTCTCGATATTTACTCTGGCATCAAGCGTCATTATTCGACATTAAGGGGAACTTGCGACCGCATGGGAAGTCTGCGGGTTTTTTAAATCGCGGATAGTAGTGAACTTGTGCTGCGTCTACTGTCACTCATGTCGGAACGTTATTTCTTAATTCGGAAACTTAGAATCCTCCAACACATCTAGCAGCTATTAAGAATAACATTGTAAGTAACGACCGAGAGCCATAATAGGTTGGTAAAATTGTCGATTGTTTAATTGTACGAGATCTACGTTTGGATCCGTTTGTGGCAAAGGCATTCGGAGATGAGATCATGAGGACAAGTGCGTGCGCTCTGATGTGAGTAGGTGGAGGAGGTGGAGGAGGTGGAGGAGGTGGAGGAGAAGTGTGTGTGTGTGTGTGTGTGTGTGTGTGTGAAGGCCGTCGCCATTGCCAACGCATTCGCTGGAAATCGAGTAGTCGGGGGAGTATAGTAAATGCTTTGCACTACTCGATGACCGAGTGACCGGGTGGGCGCAGCGCGACATTAAAAAGTTCACGAGGGAACTGCGAACGATGCGAGCCGCAGCATTCCAAAGACGCAGCAGGCGACTCGCTTCGACGCCACATTGCGATCAATTGCGCCTGTCGACGTTTCTGCGAGAATTCCTCATTCGAGAGTTCGAGAAGCCTCCTCGTCGACTGACACTCGCGAGTCACGAGCATCGACTCCGATGCATTCCATTGCCTTTTTCTCTCCTCTTCTTCTGCATTCTTGCTGACTCGGCAAAGACGTGGCCTTACGGAATCCGGAGACACGTGCAACACATGCAGCTCGTTACAGCGTCTACGTAGCGACGAACACGTGTCTTCTATGCAAGCCCCTTCCCCTCCTCGCACTTAACATACATATTTACCCGACACGAGGAAGCTCCGAACGAAGCGACGAAGCGACGAAGCGACGAAGAGAGACTCGGGGCGTGTGTCTCTATTCAGCGACCTTCGCTCGGTGCGAGCATCATCGGGAACGAGCGGCGGGAGTCCGTCAACACTTTTCAGCGGATTGACTCCGAGTTTAACCAACTTGCTGACTACCGCTGCAGTTTGCCTTTCTCTTTCTTTCTTTCCTTCTTTCTTTCTTTCTTCTTTCAGAATATATTCCTCATATTCTTGTGAATGTACTTTCATGCATCTCTATTGCTGGTAGTTGCTAGTAATGAGACAGCTTATAAATCTTATATTTCCTTTTATTTTTGTAGAACGCAAATGTTCTAATATTTCAAAGATTCTTCTTCTTCTTCTTCTTCTCCACTCTCTTGCACACCAGACACGCACGGGTGTTACAGTCAGCGCAACAACCTTTGAGCTATTTTCGTAGGCCGTGTCACGGAATGCGCTCGTGGCAACGAGACTCGAGGAATCGAAACTTTGAGTCAGCGAAACTCGTGGATACGATCGTTAATCGTTAATCGTTAATCGTTAATCGTTTAGGGCATCGATGCAGCAAATCGAAAGTGTTCCTTTTTGTTTGTTTGTTTGCAGAAGTGGAAGAGCGGAGTGGCGGCAAAGCGCGGGGAGGAAAGTTGGCGCGACGAGCCCGATCGTTCAAAGAGGATTTCCTCGAAAAACTCTCGCAAATGCGCTCGCCTGGTGCGGCCGGAGGAAACGCTGCTGTCGCGGGCGGGTTGCCTCCTGGACTCGGGGAGGGCAGCGCCGTCGGCGCGGGCGTCGGTATGAACGTCACCAGAGGTCCTGGAAGCGCCGTTGGTGTCAGAGCAGCTTCGCCATCCTCCCCTCGGACACCCCGCGACAAGAATCCCTCGAGTGCCGATTCACCGGATAAGAACCCGCTGCGTGACCTTCACATTCATGTTCGTCAAGTCCAGCTGGCACTTTTGCATTTTCGCGATGTTGTCTCGAAGAAGAAGCTCGAAATGCTACCCGGAAATGGCACCATCGTTCTCGATACAATCACCACTATACACACTGTGCTCAAGTCCTATCTCCTTTATGAAAACAGGTTGGTGCTCGCTTCTTCGTTGTATTTCTATAAGCTCTCGCTCTCCAGGAGTACGGAACTCTGACGTTTGCTCGTTTGCTTCCGGTAGCTCGACCCTCGGTTCGGCCACAAATCAAGTCTACCAGGCGTTGGCGCAGCTCCTAAAACTTTGCGACGATGTGCTTCTTCATGGCGACCAGTCCTCGGCTCTCGATACCGAAAATGTAACTCATGTCATCGGGCTGGTAGAGGACGCCGTAAAGAACCTGGTTTCACTCGCTCATGAAAAAATATCCAATAGACAGAAGCCAGCGGCTGTTGTATCGAATAACAGGTAAAAACGATAAAAAGGAATTTTGAAAAGGATTACATGTTTCTCCTTTCTCCTCTTTCAGTAGGATTTCGGGCTACGGCCCTGAACTTACGCCTCAGCGGAACTCCTTGCCTGACATTCCATTGACACCTAGAGAAAGACAGATCCTCGAGCAAACTGCCACCTCGAACTCGCTTGTTCGCAGTTCCCATAGCTCCGAGTCCATCCTCGGAAGAGATTCTAGTCCGCCGCCGAAACCACCCCTTCCAGACAGGTAAGTCGCGTGTCCCTACAGATTCGAAGGACCCAGAAGGGAGAAAGTAAAGCGATGATAACGTCAACGGTATACTCCTAGGGCGAACGTCTATCTGTCCGAGGAAACCAGTTCGGCAGAGACGCCGCTGCCTCCGCCTTTGCCTCCTAAGAGACGAACGCGAACCCATCAGCTTTTGGACGGGAGCGACGCGCTTCTGGGTTCGAGTCTCGATAGGGTTTCGCTGCGCAGTCGATCACCCGAGGACTGCTCCTCACTTCTGAGCGCCTCCGCAGGCAGTCTGGATTCCGCCCTGAATCATTCACGCGACGAAGATGAGATTCGCGCCATTATGGGACCCAATGATGAGTCTCTCAACGACAGTATGGATCTCAGCCTTATGGCTACCATTCAAGGTATGCAAAAGTCGGTTACAACCGAGTTCTCCAATATTTTCTTACTTCTCACTACTTCTTCGAAACGTTCTGCTTCTTTACTTCCAGGCATGCAAATGAATGGATCCTCCAGTTGCGGCTGTTGGGATACTTCTGACTCGAGTCTCCCGAGTACTATGCTCCTTGGTCAGCAGACGCCACAGGAAATGCTTGCACCGTTAGCTGGTATATGTTTCTTGCATTTTCAATCCGCGATACTGGAAGTCTCTACCTATTTTCGTGCATCTTTGCATATCGGTTCACGACTCTTACAATTATCTGGCCTGTATACCTACCTACCTACCTACCTACTTAATCCTGTGGTTGTTGCAAGCCTAAAGGCAAGGTTTTTATACTAACGCTTGCGTAACAACCATAAAATAAGAAACAACGGAATTTTAGTGTGCGCGAGGCGTGTGCTGTGGGTAGCTTATGCAGGCAAAGAGATAGACCTGTGCGTTCGAAAGCGGAACTTGATTTCCATGATCGTTCGACCGTTTGATCGTTTGATCATTTGGTCTTCCGTGGGCCGTATCTGACGAGAAACTTCCGACCACTCTCGTTATAAACTTGACTTGAGAAACAACGAAAACGTATCTCTCCCGTACGATGATTTCGCTGGGTTAAGATAAGCAAAACTCAGCGAGACGCTAATTGTCTTTTTTTCCAGGCATAGAGGGCAAGATGGAGAGGCTATCAACGCAAACGCAAGAGTCCGGTTTTGTATCGATGCATTCCCAACGAAGTTCGTCTCAGAGTTACACGGCAGCATCGAGTGCCACTTCCAAGAGATCCTCTCAGCAAAGTAGCGTTAGCTATAACGCTCAAACGTTCAGCTCCCAACAGCAATCGTTTTCGCAGCAGAAACTCTCGATGGATAGCAACGGCTCGGTCTTTTCGCAGAGGATGATAAAGAGCTCCAAGAGTACCCTCAGCACTACTAACCTTATGGGCACCAGTTCTGACTCTGGCCTCATCGAAAAGCTTGTAAACGTGGGCATGCTCTCAGTTTTTAATTGTTAACATCATCAATTGCACTAACGCTTGTCCTCTTGGAAATTCTCTTTTCTGCCGTTCAGGAATTCGAAATGCAGCCATCGATGCTGGACATAGCAAATGGAGGGCCGCCTGCGCTTCCGGAAAAGAGATCCAAACGAAGAAGGGAGAGGCAACCGTCGCAATACGATAATGTACCAGAGAACGAACACCTTTCCACCTGCAGCTTGCACTTTTCTAGTAGCGACAGTACGGATGGCAGCAAACCTCCGCCGCTGCCCTTGAAGAAGAGGCACAGTAAGTCGTCTACGCGAAAATAGTAGCAAAGTGATAGGGGGTGATTAGAAAAGTCTTCTAGAGAGTATGACAACGAATGCGCGTGAAAGTGGGAGTCCGAGTGAGATTGAGTAATAAAGTTCGAGGATGCCGAAGAAAGTTGAAATGGGATTGACAAGGTGGCTCCCTACCACTTTGTATCTTTGAAAAGGTATCTAACATTAGAGTTCACATCCGCTAGACAATCTCTCTGTCCGTTTATTTACTCTCTTCGTTTTATTTTTGCAATTACGCGAGACTCGTGCGCAATCGCGTGGCGCGATTACAGACCCAAGAGAAATTGTCTGCTGTTGTAATCGGTCATAAGAATGACGAGTTGTAGTCAAAGGCTACCTATATAAAGTACCTAGAGAGATTCCTAATCGATCCGAATGCTTAGGGTGAAAACTGATGCAATCTTTTGTATCCTCCAGTGTTCCATTCAGTGGCATATTCTGGTAAGTGGGAACGCACCCACCCACAATGAATCAACTACCCTTGGAAACATAATTACGCTAAGTCATATAACAATTTGTTATTAGACACCTCAATAAGTGGTTTACGTACTCAGGCTTTCTGCAGCATGTTTGCTGTTTCCTTAGTCTTGCGTTTCATCTGTTGGATCGCTTATTTGACATATAATTATAATCATGTTTGAGATTGCGCTTGAATTTTTATTAATATCTCCGTATAGCTTCTTCGTTGCTTACCTCATCTCTCCTTTTCGTTCCACTTGTCTGTTCTCTTCCGCTTCCCTTCGTTTTCCGTTTTACGATCGTCGTTTTTCCTTCTTCCATTTGCGCTCCTCCTTCCTTCTCTTACGACCTTATTCGCTCTCTGATTCTCTCGCCGATTCCCGCACTTGCTGTCGCTCTTGCTCTTGCTCTCTCCATCCTACATTCAATTCGATAAGTGCGAGAACGTTACGCATCTTATTTACCAAATCCAAGAGTTCGAACAGAAAATTTTGACTGGTTTCAGTAATGGCGTACATGGAGATGTTTGGAAACTGCTCCCATAGCAATAATGACTTTATCTCTGGTCTTGGCATGCGCCACTCTGTCGCTGACTACAATTCGATGCAAGCGGAATGGCAACAACATGAAATAGCTCTGACCACGACCCAGTCATGCTCTTTTATGGCGCACACCATGACGAGTTTGCACGATAGTTCAAGGTAGGTACATCTCAACCTGAAAGCCCTAACTGATCACAGGGAAAATCTATCGGGCTAATTTCTGTTTCCAGTATTTCCATTACAATGAAGCCACCCACGAGGGAGGGAGTTAGCAACGATTCTAGTCTACCACCAGCACTACCCCCAAAGAGATCGCGCTTCGTTAAATCGAACAATGTAACGTCGCCATCGCCAGCGGCTCCAGAGGCATCAGTAGCACCATCACCACCACGGTTATCGCCATCACCACCGCTAGTAGTAGTAGCAACAACAGCAGCACGCACATCACCATCTTCCACCATGCAGATGCACTTAAAATCGCAAATGCAACAAGTGCCAATATCGTCTACCGGCTCTCTCCTTGGCTCAGCAACAAACATCAAGTCCGAAGGGGTTACTTCGATTGCCGAGAAGAAGGAACTTGGCGCTCAGTTCATTCCCATGATCCCTGTGACTTCTACAGGCTCAACGCCTACGGTCATCACCGGTAGTTACGGCGATACTCATTCAATCGCTTCGGCGCGTGTTTCAAGTCCAGCGACTCCTGTTAAGACGACGGTATGAAAGTCTACTCGAGGGTCCAGGAATTCGAAAGCCTCTGACTTTGTTAATGTTCGTAGCGCGAGACTGCTATGTGTGCGGCCTCGGACACTTCGAGATCCGAAAGGAGTGCTCTCTCTTCTTTGCCCGTTGAGGAAAGTACTCTAGAATTGCGAGATATCGATCAGGATGAAAGTATACTGGACGAGTTGGATATCAGCAAATATTTGGTCTTGAAGAAACCTGAAGAAGAGGGGCCCGATATTCGAGGCGGTCATCCGGATGCACTGTTGATTCACGCAACCAAAGCCAATAAGCATGGTTCGTTAAATTTAGTTAAATTAAAATTGATTTTAAGTTTCATTTCAATTTCACCTTCTGTTTTATGAGTGACCTCTACGGAAACTCATTTCAGTTTTACCATTCCTTTTCGCGTTCGTTTAGTCCCGTTTATTATTATTATTATTATTATTATTATTTAATGGAGTTTGCAATAAGACTACAACTCTAGTACGATTTCTTTCATGCTATCCTAGACGAGAAGGAATCAGGTTGGTAGTAATGAGTTGGTAGTAGAAAGTCGTTATGATGACAGTGAGATGATGTGCATCAAAGTGAATTCTAATCGAAACTCTTTTGCCTACACAGATTTCTTGTATCAGGAAGCTTTCTTAACGACCTATAGAACATTCATGTCGCCGCTCGAACTGATACGGAAGTTGCACAGGCGACACCAGCGTTTCTCGTGTGTTCCGGATGTGGTGAAGCAGAGGGCTGCACGCGAAGCCTTCTCTCTACTAGTCAGAGTGGTTAGCGATCTGACGTAAGTATCGACAAAAAATTAAAGCAAGAGTAGTACGTAGGCGAGGCATTGAGGTTCTTCTTCTTTCGTTAGGATGTCGGATCTTGACGATGTACTGTTACAAACGCTCATGGGATTCGTGCAGCAGCTGGTCTGCAGCGGCGATCTAACTATGGCCAAAGCCCTACGAGTCAAGATACTGGAGAAGCACTCGATGAAGCAGCATCAGGCGGCACAACCGATACTCTCCTCCCTGAGCGTTTCCACAAAGCAGGCTTCACTTCTCGACTTCAAGAGCGAACAGATCGCAGAGCAAATGACTCTTCTCGACGCTGATCTCTTTATGAAGATAGAAATACCAGAGGTCCTGATATGGGCTCAGGAGCAAAACGAAGAGAGGAGTCCAAACCTAACACGATTCACCGAGCATTTCAATAAGATGTCTTATTGGGCACGATCGAGGATTCTCGAGCACCGGCTCGAAAACGAGGCGAAGGATCGTGAAAAATATGTTGTGAAGTTTATTAAAATAATGAAACACCTCAGAAAGATAAACAACTTCAACAGTTACCTCGCTTTGCTCTCGGCATTGGACAGTGCGCCTATTAGGAGGCTCGAATGGCAGAAACATATCACTGAGGGTTTGAAGGAGTACTGCGCCCTTATCGACAGCTCTAGTAGTTTTCGAGCATACAGGCAGGCCCTTGCCGAGACCCAACCTCCATGCATTCCCTATATGTTAGTATTCGTCTCTTAATTTGACTAGGCAGAGGATTAATTGGGTTTCACTGATATACGCTTTTACTTACAGTGGCTTAGTCTTACAGGACTTGACTTTTGTTCACATTGGTAACAATGATCTTCTGATGGATGGCACCATCAATTTTTCAAAGCGGTGGCAACAATTCAACATCGTCGAGAATATGAAGAGATTCAAGAAGGGGTGAGTTCCTTCGACGTTATATACGGGGGATTCAATCTCTTCGCGTCAATTTTTTGTCTTTATCTCCTCGCTATTATCTTTTATTATTCTGTCTTACAGCACGTATTCCTTTAAGAAGCACGAACGCATTATCACATTCTTCAACAACTTCAGCGACTTCCTTTGCGAGGAAGCCATGTGGCAGATTTCCGAAAGCATTAAGCCACGTGGTGGAAAGAAGAATCAGACGCAAAACTAGAATATGCCAAATCTTGTTATCGTCTGTGTCCCTCATTCGAGTGAACGGGAATGGGAATACTTAAGAGCATGGAAAATAAAAATAAAAACGGCGCAATGTACGGGTATCCGTTCGCAGACAGCATACGGGAGCTGATGAGCGTTGACGTTGCCAGAGGTCGCGGCACATTAACTAGGCACGTTGTGACTAGAAATGGTAAAGTCAAATGAGCCTAAATTACTCTGGCAGAGCCTCCAGGAAGGGACCTCGATGGGAAGGCAAGAGGTACATCAAAGCCGGCGTATAGAGCACTCTAGTGCTATTCTCTTCTTCGTATCGATGTATCCGTTATTTATTTCTCTTGAAGATGCGTGTACAAACTAGTAGATGTTCTTCGTAAATTATTTAGGTGTGCGTGGGCGTCCATTATTCTAGCTTTATGTAAGTAGGAAAGTTTCATGAGTCAACAGTGAACTGTTGATGATACAAGGATGAACACCAATTACGTTGATTAGAGTAGAGCCATTGTTGTTCCGCGTTAACGCTGTTAACGATGCGCAGCGTAGGACATATGGTACGACTGAGAGCAACTGTTACATATACTATTGTATATGATTGTAGGAAACATTTTTGTTGGAAACTTGTTGATAGTTGACCAAGCTTTCAGCTTTTAAGTCAAGTTATGTGTTCGCTACGAGTTAAAAAAAAACTTAATCATACCGAAGAATTCTTAGTGGGGCGTTCATTGGTGCGTTGGTATTGTTATTCTCGCGTTCGTTCGAAATAATGCATCGTTAATAGAGAGGCGTTGCTCTCTCGCGAGATATCACCGACTGCCGGCACCTGTTACGTTCCGAGCTCCACCTTAAAAGCTACTTTAATTGATTAAGCATTATTTACCTGACGTTCTTAATGTTCTTAGTGTCCACGCGCTGACGAATAGGCCTAATACTAAATGAAGTGATTCTGACCACTCTGTTAACTCTGGGAGTACGCGACAGCATGCCATAGAATAATTACTAGAGGGGAATAATCAATGTGCTTTCTGCCGATATAAGCGACAAATTATCAATCGTCACTGCTCAACTCATCATTTACATCAAAGCGAAAGCGCAAGGAGAACGCGCTGAATCTTATATAGATTATTCGATTAGCGTTTTCACAACCTTCGCAATAGAATCTTCTTCCTTCGATGAACGCATATTCGTGGTAGAGTGGTAAAGCGATATATCCCCCCTACTACCTCACTAACACTCGTTTCCTGTAATTTTGCACGCGGAGACCGTAGCGGCGCATCCAAAAAGCGAGATAAATACAGAGAAAGAGATGGAAGGCAGGTGACGTCCGCATCAGTGAGAGAAAAGAGGCAGAAGTATCGTCGAAGTAGCTGGTGCACGTATCGAATTATTATCTAATACGCAATTAAGATAAAGGTTATTAATGTTGTACATATTTATAGTTCTGTAGTACGTGTCGATTGTTCGTGCACTACCGTAATTCTGTTCACATGATCTGTTGATCATTGGTAAGTGTACACAATGTAATATTGTCGCTAATCGAATTCACATACGACACGCGAAGTCCCTAGTGAATAAGCTGATGCAATTATTGTGATGCCATATGTAATATTATTGACTTTAAGCACAGTCGTAGGTATACCACATTTATACGTTATTTTTATTTAATTACACATTAAACTCTCTTGAGTTTCCTATGTTCAATTGTTTTATTATCATTTTTTTAATAATTCTCTCTCTCTCTCTCTCTCTCTCTCTTTCTATCTCTCTCTCCCCTTTGATCGCCATCCGTACTTTGATCCCATTTCAATTCGAATTAAGACTCTTATTATGTTCATAAATATACTTAATTCTTGGTCTGTTTACGATGATCTTGACCGTCTAATCTATTTTAACAGTGTGATAATCGTATTATAGTTCGCAAACGAGGACCACAGTCTTGGACTGATTTTCAATCTCGGCAAGGTTCTTCAAGGTGTAGTAGACGTCGATCGGCCCAAAAAAAAGGACCTTATTACATACGTTATTTCGATTATGCGCGATTGTAATTAGCTATTGTAATCACTAATCAGTACAGCTGATCGCCGGGAAGAACGGAATTTCTATGCCGTTTAAGGTTTAGATTTAAGTTAACGTTAGATGATAGGCTGTCGATGTTTTCCTTTATCGATTAGATATCGAACGACGAGTGAGACTAATCTAAGGGACGGACGTGCAACGAGCTAAACTTAGAGACTTTTTCGAAGAATATAGCTAAGGCAAAGCTTTTTCATGTAATCCACTCACCGCAGCCGTACTCAGCTTTTTATGAAACTTTATTCGTTTAACAATTACTGGAAGCGGACCGTACCGGTCGGCCTCGCATTACGAAGGGATGTTACTGTAATAGTATAGAGGACGAGATTTAGGAGAAGATGAATCGTCTTCAATTAAATCGCCGTTTCAGTAAGAAATCCAATTACGCGATCCCGCGGTCAGGAAGGATAGGTATAGATGTAGTAGATATATTATGTAGTATCTTCCAAGATCGGATGGATACCGTTCACTAAAAGCATATCAATGGTAAGTCAGTGATATTAATGTTACATCAGTGGACCTTCTCGAGAACGCTCTTTTTCGTGTGGCTGATAGTAATTCGAGTGTTTCTAGAATCTTTGAGTCGGCGCATTTATCTGGGCTGAAGTTTCTTTCACGAAAGTACAGTGTATAATTTTTGCCGGTGATGGCTCTTCATATAATTGCGCCTTCGACTTTCCAGAGACGGGTCAATTAAACTATAGGCCTCTTTAACGAATTAGAAAACTATGTGCCGCGTTACCGTATTACTGATTTGCTGTATCTTTCGTCCCGACAACATTATTATTGATGCTAAACTATTTGCATGTACATGTGATGCGTCCCAACCGAGTATTATTATTATTATTATTATTATTATTATTATTATTATTATTATTATTATTAGTATCATCATCGATGCATTTTTGTAATAAATGTACCATGAGGCGAAATAAAGATAACAGCAATGATTACGAACGAATGCCTCCTATTTCGAATTTGAGAGATCTATCGATCTGTCATTCCAGCGAATTATCTTGTGTGATATGATTTTTGGACTCACTTTTTAGAAATTGAGCAGTTCACTGAAACTGTAATGTCCGATAGAGGCCGCCTTGTCTGTTATCAACGAAATGGTAAGTATTCGGCGAATAGATGCACAATGTCTTACACAATATCCTCCTCTCATCGCTCTACAGAGCAAAAGGCACTATGTCGCACCTGATATTTCCAAGTTCGATAAACGCGTCTTTCTCATAAAAGTTATACCATAGAAATTTGATACGTGCCTTTCCAAGTATCTAGTGATGTAGGAAGAAAATACGTCACGAAATTATAAGCAGTATGTTATGTCGCGTATTTTTTTTTTAACTCCACACCGATAGCAAAAAATTCGCTCATGCATCTGCAAGCCAGGCGGGCGCCAGTCAATTCTTTTTTCACCGGGAACTGAAGAGCCGGTATGAACTGGGACTTGGGCTGGAACAGGCCCAATTCCGCTAAAACGAGAGCTCTGACGGAACCTATCAAATAACGCGATAACTTAACGGATCCTGTAGATTTTTGGGGTCGCGTAAAATCAGCAAACGCAACTGGATGCACGTAACGGGAGCGGGCGGTTACGGAAATGCACGGCCGCTCAGGCTGCTAGGCTGAGGTAGAGAGGTTCGGAGTAAGAGTCCGGCAAATAGCGCGAGAGACAGAGAGCGACGAATCGAGAACGTAACAGAACGAATCGGAACTATCTAATCGAAATCCCTTGAGCAATTAATTAATTGGGAGACTCACCGGAGCTGGTGCAGCTAATCCGTGGAGGCCGAGAACGGTATCCAAAGGGCACTCGGGTGGGCACTGCACTAGGGCACTGCACTAGGGCACGGCACTACACCTCCGGGACACTCAGAGGAAATTCATAGAATTTCCTGGATATCGCGAGAGCAATGCGAGAACTTGCTACACTGTATCGAAACACGGCTAGAAAAACCATAAACAGATAGCACGGGAAGGCGAGTGACACCTGAACGTAACACCGCGGTCGGTGCCCCGTGACAGACTGCTTTGACAATAGCCAAATTCGAGAACTAATCATTCTGATCATCTGATTGGTCGAGATCCTTGTAGCCGATAACTCTTCCATCTCCCTCGATTGGTCCCTTTAAACCAAATCGAGAGCGTTCCTTAGTGGACCGGTACTATCGGTAAGACTTTTGGAGATCCTCCACGGCCGCTTCCTCGGGGCGTCGGGCGACAGCTGGGCACCACGTCCTCCCCTGCCCTTAACCGTATCAAAACTATATCGCCGCCCGCGCTACAGTCCTTTGCCCATCTCCAGCTGGGCGCCGGTATCTCACCCGGGCTTCTGCCGGTCCGGGTAGACGTCTCCGTCGGGTACTCTCCTCTGCCAGGCAACTCGGTACGTCGAGACTATCTCCCCCGCCAAACTCGAGCATCTAGACCTCAACTAAACCATAACGAAATCTTTCGAGAGCTTTGGCATAACTATACGAATCAACCCGAGAGCGCAGCTTCTGAGCAGGATGGCGATCCGAAGGGAACCAAAAATCGAGAACATTATCTGTATCGGTGGCCAGCGTCGCCTTGTGACCGTGAATCGAAAAGTCACGTGACAGTTAATTAGTAAAATTGAAATCGGGTTGGTTGCTCTGATTCTGCGTCAATAAATAATGTAAGATTCAATAACACTTACCTGCTGCATTTAAAGTGCACACTCAATAAGAGCTATTGAGATTGCCGTGAGCTGCGTCGCAATTCACTTTACGACCGCAAAGAGACAAGAGCGAAAGTATTCTTAGCATTTTTATTTTTTTATAGATATATTACAATTTGATTGTGTGTAAAACCTGTCAAAATATGTTATAGTACCTATATAAAAGTACCTATGCTTATCATTAGGAATTAAAACTCGGAAACATATAGCATAGCGGAAGTGAGAACAACAACCCTATGGAGAACATTAGATTATTTTTATTATTACATCTGTTTAAGAAGTATAACTTAGTTATAAAAAAATATAGTGGAAGGGCTGTAATAGGATGAAACGTATCCTGCGCTTAGTTTACTTATGTCGACTATCTAATAATAATAAAACTCAGTACTTTTTACACGTTGCAAGGGATAACAAAGTCCATATGATAATAACTCGATTAAACTATGATCACGCTGATGCTGATGCTGATGCTGATGCTGATGCTCTTACGTCCAGTTGCTACGTACACACCGCCCTACTGAATCCGCTCTCGGATTGTAAGATCAGATACATAGTAGGTGTAATCCAGAATTATTTTAAATTCGAAAGCTGGAGCAATTGGCTCTCGCAGGGACCTTGAACATGGAGCAACAACGAGACAGAGAGAGAGAGAGAGAGAGAGAGAGAGAGAGAGAGAGAGAGAGAGAGAGAGGGGGGGATCAGTGTTTCCCTTAAATTTTGAACACATGCTGAGTTTCGCGTCTCTTAGATGCGCTTTCCTTACTTTTTATTACGTGAAACGTAGCGATCCTTGTGAGAAAGGACTTCATCGCGTTACGCCGCTACATTATCGCCGACATCATCACCAATAATAACGAGAACAATAAGAATTAGAATAACAAAGTCTATTCTTTCTCTTTTCTTTTATCTAATTCAGCAGTCCTCTGCTTCGTATCTTTATAATTCCAGCCTGGTCCCTTTCGTTACTTAGTTCCTTTTATTTCACCATCACTAGACTTTGAAAGCAACCCATGATATTTCCGTACAAGAGCTACACCTACGCGGGCGGCAGCTCGCTCTGCATTGAGCACACAACACGACACGACACGACACAGCACAACACGGCACAACTGAATCCATCACCGCGCCAGCCTAACCTCCAGCCTAGATCCGAAATATCAAATATTTGTTAACTGGACCTAAAACAAACGTAACCCAACTTAATTGTAAGGAACTTCGGATTGCAATTGAGATTGGGAAAAAATACGACGATAGTCTTTAGATGACCGGCAATCACACCATTCCTCAATGTCTATAATGAATCTCTATTTATATTTGTATTTATATTTAAACGTTTATCTATATATTATAAGTATTAATCCATCATAAACAACTATTTATAATGAACAATAGAATCATCGAAAATATGATTAGAATATGCAGATCATTGTCTTACAAAAGTAGCAATATGAAAGTTTGCTGTATTGGCTTAGGCTTAGGAGATTGAGAAATGTATAAGAACAATTTGTACAAATTGAATGGTAGAGAGAGAGAGAGAGAGAGAGAGAGAGAGAGAGAGAGAGAGAGAGAGAGAGTGTGTGTGTGTGTGTGTGTGTGTGAGGGGGGGGGGAGATATTAACTCTATTAATATAAGTAGTATGCCAAAAGTGAAGGCTCGTGGCAACAAATGGGGACTTGGCCGGTTCTGAGGGGAAGGGAGCAGGAGTATTTGTAATTTTGGAGAAACCATTATTTCGAAAAGTTCGCAGTTTCGTTTGTGCGATCTTTTGGTCTGGTTTCCAGTAATGGTAAAGTATCAAGTTGCGAATAATCGAATCATTATAACGAAGATGGAATGTCTGCGTATGGAATGAATCGTGCTAACGAGGAATGATCGAAAAACAAAGAAATGGACCGATCGGGGAAAAAGTGTTAAGCGCTTATTGTCTGGACGTCCTCGCGATCACTCGACAGATTGGCGACGGGAGTGACGCATCGCGTGTCGCACGTTTAATAGGCACTAGTAAGTTAGAATATAATATACTGAAGTAGAAGGCACTAGGGACACGTCGCTCTTCTTGGAGATGTCGGAGGCGAAGACGGTGGGTCCAGCGAATCCGAATTCAGATTCGATTTCGAATTCGAATCGTCTTGAATTCTCAGGAGGGTGATAAGTCCCACGGGCGAGTCTTTTCTGTCACTCGTAAGACGACTCTCTGTGAGCACTCTCTGAGCCACTTTTGAGTTGACGCATTAAATAGCTTATTATACATTATATACTAGCTGCTACATATTACATGTTACATATTACAAGTTACGTACTAGATTCGTCAATGTCAATTAGCCCTAAGGTCAATGATTTTCCGTCGTTTATGTACAATATACTATTGTAGTAACAAGGTCTCGTTCCTTAATTATTGTCCGTCGGGTCTTCACTCTGGCAAGTCGAAGGCACCATTAGTATTGAGCTGAACTTGAAAATGCGATTGACAGTCGATTCGTATAAAAAATATAGTAGCTAACTCTAGTTTCTCGTCGTCCCGTTGGCGCATTTCTTTGGACGGTTAGAGAGACAAGTTACAAAGTGTTCCTGTCCACGTGTCTGTGTGTCATTTCGTGTCGTGGTCTCCGTCAGCAAATCCGGAAGAAGGATAAACAGGACGATAAGTAACTCAGAAGACAATTAGGCAAGGATAAAAGTGAGAAGGCACGTTTTCTTTTTTCCGTATAACATTCGGAAGCCCTTGGCACCTAATAGTTGACACGCTACTAATCACAGACGCGCGAGTCTCGCACAAGCGCCCTTTGCACGTAGCTTCCTGGCCGCATGGGCCTGCTGCTTGCTCGGTGCTCTCTCATATGTAAATCGCCTCAGTGCCTTTATTGCTTTGGTGCGCGGAGGCTGAGATGTAGGCGTTTGGCGACGCCATGCATTCGGACCAGTCACTGTTCGAATGAGGCGAGCTTGAGGACCAGTGTCCAGGGCTGTCCGGGGATGGCGTGGGAAAACTCTCGGGTGCTTGCATCAAGTGCTGCGGTGTCATGTCCGGTCCCGAATGGTGGGACGGCGGCGTTAAGTATTGATAGTACTGTTGACTCTGTTGTTGCTGTTGTTGAGTACTTTGTTGTTGTTGTTGTTGTTGTTGTTGTTGTTGTTGCTGCTGCTGCTGCTGCTGCTGTTGCTGCTGCTGCTGTATTTGCTGCTGCTGCTGCTGTTGCTGCTGCTGCTGGAGTTGCTGCTGTGTCTGTTGCATCTGTTGCTGTTGGCCGGATGAGTACGGCAAGTTGTCAAAATCGAAACCTACGAGAGGCATGCCACCGTGTTTCTGGTGAGTGGCCTGACGCATCGCAGCAATGTGGGTCGGCGACGTAGGAAGAGAGGGTCTGTTTTTTGCTGGCGACGGCGATCCCATATAACTCGCCTGAGGAGAAAGGGTCATGTTCGATTGAACGGAATGAGGAGGTGATTGATTGCTGTACGGCGGTGAGAGTGTGTTGAGCATCCCTTGGGTTTGACGCTGATGAGGAGCTAGGAGTTGGTCGTGAAAATTCGGCAGACCATAGTTGGTCGTGAAAGTATCGAGACCAAGCTGCTGCAGAGTACCCTGAATGGATTGGCCCTTTATGCAATCCTCGTACGAGGGTGGTTGCTTGGCAGTGCCCGTGCCCGTTCCTGTCGTTGCGCCAGTACCTGTGCCAGTCCCCGTTCCTGTAGCTGTAGCCGTCGCAGTAGCCGTGTGACCCAGGAGCGGAAGCGCATTACTATACAGACTCGCGCTGTCGTAAGGACTGGGAAGATTGCCCTCGGCTCCCTCGGCGCCCTGAGGAATTTCCTGGTTTGGGGGCTGAGCACCTCGCTTCGCCGGGGGTTTCTTCACCGAGGGTTTTCGACGTACGGCTGCTGCTACCGCGGCTGCACTGCCCCCACCCGGACCGCCACCCACGGCGCTTTCCGACTCCGGGCTGTTGGGGTTTCCCGTCGTGACTCCAACGCCACCGCCACCGCTTCCCACTCCCTTCGCTCGCTTCTTTGACTTGCTCTGTTTCGGCGCTGAGCCGATGACAGTCGGATGCGTGATCAGTTGCGGATGATTCGGGGAACCTGAAATAACAAATGATTAGGTGTCTTTGATGCATCGGCACGCGAAAGAATGTAATAAATTAGATCGAGAAACGGCTTTTTCGGAGACTTACCCATTAGGGGTCCATTCGGTATCACGGAAACCATCTGGGGAGAGCGAGGTACATGTTCGTCGAGAAGCCGCACGATGTCGTGATGAAGTCTCTCGCTGGCGACGTCTCGCGGCAGTCGATCCATGTGATCGGTGATTTCACGATTCGCAAAAGTATCAAGGAGGGCTTTACAAGCCTCGAAACTGCCCTCGCGGGCAGCCAAGAACAAGGGCGTCTCATCCTTATCGTCTTGTGCGTCTCTATTGGCGCCGTGAACCAAGAGTATGTTTACTGCGTCGACGTTGTTCACGGCGGCAGCCCAGTGAAGAGCAGTCTTACCGCTGTTATCCGCAGCATTGATATCGGCATCGGCATTTATAAGATCCTCGACCATGCGCTCCGTGGCGAGGCGAGCCGCGAGAATGAGAGGCGTCGTTCCGTCGTGCATGCGGGCATTGAGATTGGTTGCGCGATTCCGCAAGAGTATTTGAAAGACGCCCATAGCATCGGCGGCCACGGCCGAGTGAAGTGGAGTCCGTCCTGTGTTGTCCTGGGAGTTTGCATCGGCGCCCGCATCGAGAAGCCTCTTGGTGGCATCAGCTCTGGCGAATCGCGCTGCTAGGTGAAGTGAAGTCTCGCCGCTTTTGTCTGTCGTGGCATTGAGATCGGCACCCTGGGCAACGAGGTCAGCAATCACGGCGGCCGTCCCATCCGACTCATCCTCCTCCTCGCCCGTGTCAAGGCCACCGCCACGTACGGCTGCGACCATCAGAGGTGTCATGCCGCACGGTCCACGAGCATCGACATCCTGGCCATGTTCGAGACTCGGAGGTGTCAACACGCCGCCAGCGTCTGGTCGTCCTCGAATCTCTGCAGCGTCGAGATGCTGCTGGGTCCACATCCGCGCTGCTCCCGGCGGCTCCGTTTCCTCGTAGTCGGTGATGGCTGTGTGGTCACTAGCGTAGCCCGTCGGTTCGATTGGACGCATTCTTTTCGATGGGGGCAGTTCAGACTCGTCGTCGGACCACTGCTGAACAGCACGACCGTTACCCACTTCCATTTCCATGCAATTAACGGATGACGGCTGTTTGTTTAGGTTGCGCATCTCCTGACCGTCGGGTCCGCGCCTACGCGATCTTCGTCGTTGCCCACTTCCGCTGCTCGTCCTTAGGAAGCCTTCGGGAAACCAGGTCACGCCGACAGCTCGCTTTCGCTGTGCGGTAACGAGGACACCGACGAGCATTCCTCCCAGGATAACTATCACAACTCCGATAAAGACGTATTTGTAGTTGGTGGGTGTATCGGGATATTCCGGACCCTGGGGCCCTACGACACCCTGCACTCGTTCGATCGGGAAATTTCGCGAGAGTGTATGTTTCGAGGCTGTTGCGGCAAGATATTCGGCCGCCTCGGTCGCCGACGGGAAGCACACCGATCCCTGAGTAACCGTACACTTCCGGTTGTCTATCTCCAGGTATGCGATTATGCCGTTGTGGCTATCCGTGTAGATGGTCGTGGGTTTTCCGAAAATGTTTGTCTGATGTCCAGACTCGACGCTGCTTTTCCAGGGATATATCATGTCATTTCCGAGTTCGTCCTGCTTCACGCGGAGCGTTGTACGAAGTTCGTGACCGATGTCCCGCAAAAACGGCACTACGTTCGAGCGAAAGCTCTGCATGTCCATTCGCACCATCACGGAGATGACGCCCTCCGCGAGGGACGGTGGTTCGCCCTCGCAGTCCAGTCCATCCCAGTTGCATTCTTCGTTGTTGCATCCATAATCGCAGTGTCCGTTGGCGTAGTGCTTACGACAGTAAGCGTCGTAAATTGGGCTATAATAAATTAAACGAAAAAAAAAGAATTCTTACAATAAGGTACAACTTTTGAGTTTTCAAGTGCCTATTAAGTCGTTACACGTGAAACTTGCTGTAGTAAAACGTAACGTGACTTTGCAAATGGGAGTAAATTGGATGAAGCTAAAATATAGACATAAGATTCGTATCGTCAGTTGTTTACTCACTTGCAAGGGGCCAGCTTCTTCTCGCAGTCCCTTCCGTCAAAGAGGCATTGCGCGTTATTGCAGACTTCGTCGCAGACGTCGTTCATGAAGACGTCCCAGCAGTTGATCGGGGCAGTACAATTGCGCCATGGATTAATTCCAAGAGAGCAGTCATTTCCGTCAAAATTGCACGCATAGCGATTGCATTCCTCGTCACAATGGTGATTTCCTGATTTTTCATCGCAGCGATTCTCGATGCATTTATTGCGTTCCCGCTCGAGATCGAGATCGTAGGTGTTGATGGGATTTTTCGATGGATGATTCAGGGTGGCCCCGGGCGGACGCCCGAAAATGCCTCCACGGTAATTCGGATCATAGATCTCGCAGTTTTTCCCGGTCCACTTGGGGGGACAGTAGCAAGCGTAATCGCCCAGGAGATTTTCACATATTGCATCCGATTGTTGACAGGGGTTGCTGTCACATTCATCGCGAGCGTCAATCTCGCAATGGGTGCCAGCAGTACCAGGCGGGCAATGACACCGATAACCAACCTCGGCATCTGGAGCAACGCGACAGGAGCCACCATTGAGGCAAGGCTCGGCGTCACAATAGGATCCGGCAAACTCGCAATTTGCCCCATAATAATCGCTGGGACAGAGACAGCTGTGTCCGGCCTGCCGCGCTGTGCACACGCCGCCGTTTTGACAAGGCGAACTGTCGCAAAAGTTGACCTTGAGCTCGCAATGCCTACCCATATAACCGGGCTTGCAGTTGCAATGATAATTGTTTACAAGCTGGACGCAGTCCTGAGTGCCCGGCGTGGCGCAGGGATTCGAGAGGCACTCGTTGATGTCACCTTCGCATCGGGGCCCGACGAAACCGGGAGGGCAGTTGCACTCGAAACCTCCGACTTTGTCGGTGCACGTGCCATTGTTATGGCAGGCGTCGAGGACGCAATCGTCTACGTTAATCTCGCAGATGAATCCGAGGGTGCCCGGCGGACAGGAGCAACTGTAGTTGTTCACGAGATCGTGACAGGTACCGCCATTCTGACAGGGATTCGGCCGGCAATCGTCGACATTGAGCTCGCAGTTCTGTCCCTGGAAGCCCTCGGTGCACTGGCACTGATAAGAGCCCACGAGATCCTTGCAGCTGGCTCCATTCTGACATGGTGCCGAGTCGCATTCGTTGATCTCCTCCTGACAGTACGATCCCGCGTAACCTTCCGCGCAATGACATCGATGACTGTTGCCAATGTCCTCGCAAGTCCCGTTATTGCAGAGCTGTTTCTCAGGAAGCTGCTTGCGGATGGCGGCGTCCTTACACGAAACCATCTCAACGTCGCAAACTTTCCCGGTCCAGCCGGGGGAGCAGTTGCAGTGGTACTTGTTCTTGAGCTGAACACAGGTCGCCTGGTTCTCACAGGGATTCTCGGCGCACCAGTCGACGTACTTGTCGCACTGTTTTCCCGTGTAGCCGTAAGGACAGTGACACGTGTAGTACTTAACGTGATCGTGACAGGTCGCGCTGTTAAGGCACGGCGCCGAATCGCACTCGTTTATTCGATACTGACAGTTCGAGCCTGTATATCCCGGCTTGCAAACGCACGTGTAATTGTTTATACCGTCGATGCACTTGCCGCCGTTCATGCAGCTGCTTACGGTGCAGTCCTCGTCGTTGGTCTGACAGTTGATGCCCGAGAAGCCGAGTTGACACTGGCACGTGTACGAATTCACGTATTCCTTGCAAATTGCGCCATTCTGACAGGGTGCCGAGAGGCACTCGTCCACGTCGACTTCGCAGTGCTTGCCGCTGAAACCGTCGACGCACAGGCAGGTATAGTCGCCGATTCCATCGAGACAGGTGCCACCGTTTTGGCAGGGAACTGCAGAAGAAAACAGGTGGTTCACGGAGGGAATAGTATAGTCTAGTCTTGTAATTATTATTGACCGTTGGGAAGGCTGCTGGATATTGGTATACATGGTATATATATACTTACAGGAGGCACAGTCGTCGGTGTTGATGATGCAATCGCGTCCCTCGTAACCCTTTGCGCAGACGCAGTGATAAGACCCGTTGGTGTTGCGGCAGGTCGCACCGTTTCTGCAAGGGGAAGTTATAACGCATTCGTCGACGTCTTCGTCGCAAAGTCTGCCGGTGTAGCCAACGGTGCAGGTGCACGCAAAGTCGAGGAAATTTGACGAGGGCGAGCACTTGGCGCCATGGAGACACTTGTTGGGGGAGCAGGGGTCCAGCTTGTCCTCGCAGTTCCTACCGGTGTGAGGCAACTCGCAGACACACTTGTAGTCGTTAACGAGATCGATGCAGGAGCCGCCATTTTGACAAGGATTGTTGGCGCAGTCGTCGATATTGGTCTCGCAGTTGGTGCCTGCGTAACCGGCCAGACACTGGCAGCTGTACCCGTTCAGTCGATCGTTGCAGATTCCACCGTGCTGACAGGGATTCGAGCCGCACTCGTCGATGTCGGCCTCGCACCTTTTGCCACCGTATCCCGGCAAGCAGTGACAAATGAACTGGTTGACGCCGTCCTCGCAGCTTCCGCCGTGGACGCAGGGACTGCTCGCACATTCGTTTACGTCGCTGAGGCATCGCGCGTCATAGTAGCCACGTGGACACTCGCACCTGAATCCGTTAATAAGGTCGATGCAGCGACCGCCGTTTGCGCAAGGGCTGCTCGCGCACTCGTTTATGTCCGTCTCGCAGTATTGCCCGGTGAAGCCTGGCTCGCATTCGCAGGAGTATCTGAAAGAGAGAGAGACAGCTCAAGACGGGGAAGGTCTAGAGGGGGCTGAGCCGACTGCACCTTCTGCCGAAGGGAAAAGGAACGCGCGACACACGTCTTACAATTGAAGGGGTCTCGTGTCGGCGTAAATGTGCGAGAAAATCAACATTTTTCAAAGTTTTAAATAAAAAAAATGATATCTCAAAATTTGTCTACAATGACGATGATCGGCAATGTCCTCTGACGGAACACGAACCATTGAAAGGAACGTGCGTGCTGCCGTAATAGGAAGATTAGGGCGCGAATAAAGGTAGACCGAGACGAGACGTGGACCAAAGAGAAAGAACAAGAGAGTCGACTCGGACCGAGTGTGACTCGGAGCGAATCGTCATTATCTTTGGCTAACCTGTTGATGCCGTCGATGCAGCGAGCGCCGTTCCTACATGGATTGCTGTAGCACTCGTTGACGTTGACCTCGCAGTTTACGCCGGAAGTGCCCGGTCGGCAGATACACTGGTACCCGTTAATGCGATCCTCGCATCGGCCGCCGAACTGACACGGGTTGCTCTCGCACTCGTCGATCTGTGTCTGGCAGAGATGCCCGGTGAATCCCGGGAAGCAGCTGCACGTGAAGGAGTTCTCGCCGTCGATGCAAGTCCCGCTGTGACAGGGATTCGATTGGCAGTCGTTGATGTTGGTCTCGCAGGACGCCCCGGTGAAACCTGCCGGGCACTCGCAGGTGTACTTGGCTATCGAGTCCTGGCAGTTTCCGCCATTTTGGCAGGGCGAAGAGGCGCAGTCGTCGATGTTTATCTGGCAGTGGGAGCCCGCGAATCCATCGGCACACGTGCATTTGAACGAGTTTATCAGGTCGGTGCAGACTCCGCTGTTCAGACATGGGTTCGACGCGCACTCGTCTATGTCGATTTCGCACTGGGTTCCGGTGAATCCTGCAACAAGACGGGCACGGCTCATCAACGAGGGCTCTCGTCATTGTACATACACATTACACACATACCTGCATCATTCTTTCATGCGCTCATTTTCAATCTGTCGCGAGGACAAGAAAGAATGACACACAATGACACAACGTACACGAACCGTGCACGTGTACTTTCTTTCAATAGAGCGTGCGTTTCACTGCGCCAGGGTCAGGCGGCTTATGGCCGCGCACCGGCTGCTTTCCTCATTGCGACTTTGCTTACTCACCTGCTGCGTCTCCATGCGTTTTGTCTTGGTAGACAAGAAGACGCTCCATCGGCCGACCTCGTTCTACTAATTCTAAGTAACATTATTCAATGCGGCTGCATTGCCCAAATTAATCGAAAAAATCGAATCGCCAATCACAGTTCAGCGAGAGTATCGGCACCACGTATAAGCTGGCACGTAGTCTCGAGAATTATAGTAACCTGCAGAGGGTGCAATCGGAGCGGGAAGTGTTTCTCTCGAGTGCTTGGTAATTCCTTTGGGGCGTGGCAAAGCTAGAGACTGGATTAGCTGGAAATAGGATACAATCACCTAGGCGAACCGCCGCCACCGCCGCCACCGCCGCCACCGCCTTCCTTGAAACGTTACAGGGTCCACGGGGTCTACCGGGACCACGAAAGACCACAAGAAGACAATCGAGACAACGCCTTTCGTTCACTATGCGCCCTGTTGCATTCAATATTCACTCAATTCAACTTTGCTTAGCAACAGGATGAACTTGGGTTCTCTTCAAATTATTTTTAGTTCTTTCCTTATAGTTTTCAATTGCTTTTATTTCCTGACACTACTTGAACGAGCGTTTCAAGTTCAATTCTATACAGAAGGAGAGAACATGACTAGCTGAAAACTTGCTTGCTCGAATGTACCAATACCAGGCTCAGATATGTACAAAGGCTATCTTTTGCTTTGCTCCAGCAATTGCTAAGAGTAACGGTGCGCGCGCGCGCTGTTATCCTTGCGCGATGCACCATTAGCCACTGGACTTTCTCGACAAAGACACCATCCAGCGGGCAGTAACGCCCTGTGCCCTGTGCCCTGTGCTCATGTGCTTCTAACGTCAATTCGCGATCCAAGGCTTTTCATTAGGATCCTACTTCAAAGATGCGTATCCTCCGACAACAAAACCGTCCTACGCTCTGTCCCGCTATTGCTCATATACAGTCGGATCGTGTCCGAATTTCAAATAACTATCTTATCCTATACAGTTTACTGTTTTACCGTAACGTCCTAAAGTCTCTCATAGTATGGATCATGAATTCCTTTGCTCCTCCTCTCATTGTTAGTCCCGTTACTCCCCCCTCCCTCTCTCTCTCTCTCTCTCTCTCTCTCTCTATCCTATGACTTGGTTTTCCGCAGATGGTTCTTTTGTCCACTCAACTAAATAAATAATTAAGCGATTAAATATACATAAAAGGATCGTCGATCACTTCCTATCCAAGTGGATTAAGTCTCTTGCATATTTTCTGTTCCATGTTTGTTCTCTAATGAAGGTGTACTCTAGAATCGAGAATAGTTGTAAAAAGGAGCGACCCAAAGTTATAGTCGAAAAATAAAAGAAATTCGTCGGGGGTAACAATATCGTAAATGAGTGAAATTCAGTTTGAGTCGAGTCAGTCGATCATCGGATGAACGGATGATCGGATCATCGGATCATCAGGCTCGGGCGTGTCCGTGTCCGACGAGGGCGACCTTCGGCCGCTTCGACCCGTGCTGGGCTGGATCTCGAGTACCGCTATCCGCTGGCGCACCGTCTAACGCACGTGAGTCTCCTCGTAACTCCTCCGGAATCCGCAAGTCTCGCAGGAGGAGCCTTTCGCTAGCCCCAGTATAGCCCCAGTATAGCCCCACTATAGCCCCACTATAGCCCTGGACTAGCCCCGGACTAGCCTACATAACCGATGTCGGAGCAACAGGAGCTGCAGCCGCGCCCCTGGAACTCTGTGAATTGTGACCCTCTTCTTCTCCTTTATCTTTGCGTTCATTTGTATTCCAGTTGAGGAGATAAGCGGCGCCCGAGTAAGGGATGGAGAGACGCTAAGGGGGAGAGAGAGAGAGAGAGAAAGAGAGAGAGTACTGGAACCTTGTCAAGAACGTTGTGCCAGCTTATTGGGAAATTGAGGTGCCCGAATTAACAAGGCGTAGCGACTGACAAAATGGGACTCACCGAGGAGCTGTTTCTGTACAATGAGTAGCATCCATTCATTAAGACTGTTGACCGACACATCTCTTCTCTTGGAATTCTCTTCCATTTTTCGACATAATTACGGGCAGGGATTTTTTTAAATCGCGGGGCACGTCAATACGTCATTCGTCTTCTCGAATGATTTGCCAGGCACTCAACTCGCTATTTTGATCGCTTTTCTGATCGTTTCATTCGATTGCAATTCTCATATGTTCCCATAATTCGAAGCAATCTCTCTCCTAGGCACGGAGGCACGGAGGCACGGTGATGAAGATGATACAGATGATACAGATGATACAGTTCGAGATAGTTGATGCGTCTCGTGTCTCTATTTCTCAATGCACTTTTGTAAATTAACAGATGACAAAAGTTCGAGGAATCTCCGCACGTTACGTTTTAATGTAAAATGTGAATAAAATGTTGGTAGTAAGTGAATCTTCAATACAGTACGGTGACTTCTCGTTGAATTAATTGAAGAATGGACAAGCGAAGGCACCGAGTACTGAGAATATAAAAAAGTTTCCAACTGCTCCTGAAATAATCGCTGTCCCGTTATCACCATTACTCCACAAACGGGCAGAGGTCTTTCATGTACATATTTATTTATACATTTTAATAAATAGGATAGAAGGAGATAATGATAACAATTTCTCGAGTACTGTGCTTTCCTCTGGATTTCTTGAATTCTCTTGAATTTCTTCAATATGTTCCTTGTCTTGACATACCAAAGGGGGATCAGTGCAGAAATGAGGAAAAATCCATGGAAATGAGCGCGATCTTGCGGGAACGACTGCAGGAAACCGATTTAAAAGGATTCGAAGGAGCGAGGGGGTGTTCAAGCTGCGTGCCATTTTTCATGCACGATTCACCGCGGACAATGCTCATGGCGATTCGAACGATGAGATCAGCATCGGCCGTGATATTAATCCGACTGGACCGTTTGGACTTTCTAAAGAGCTACATACCGTTATCTTCGGCTCCACTACTCGCTTCTGTCGCTTTTCTAGAATATCGTGCTTTCGCTACTTGGAGTTGCGACTTGGCATTGAGCTTCGAGTACCTAATCTAGGACACTCCCTGAGAAAGTTGAGCAGCTCCAAAGGAATCATTTCCTTTGCACATCTCTTATCTTTGCGATCGATCGTTGCCATAAGAAGTACCATTTGACAGTTTGACAGTTTCCTCAGTTCTCTCGCGTGAGTTATTGTCCTTTTCTTCAGACTGGCTTCTTCCTCTTTCTTCGTTTGACTCTTTCCAATTTTACATTGTCGATGCTCTTAGTTTTAATCCATGTAGTCTGCGAGTGTTCGGACGCGACGAGACGCGACGAGACGCGACGAGACGCGACAATAAGAAGCCGCTGCTGACGCGATTGGCTAATTGTTGGGCTCTTGCACAGCTGCGTAGCTCGTTATGTACCTCGAGGGACCAAAGATGGGTGAAAGATTGCGGTTAGCTGACTGGATCTACCAACGGATGTTACGGATGGAAGACCAAAGTTGGAAAAGGCAGAGAAACGAGTTCTTGGGTAGAACAAATTCTCCTAGTTTTGCGAATCGATAGCAAAATCATAGGTTGCGACACGAACGATAACAAAGGAGATTCGTTACTACTCTACTACCTCCTCCTCCTCCTGCTCCTCCTCCTCCTCCTCCTCCTCCTCCTGCTCCTCCTCCTCCTTCTCCTCCTCCTTCTCCTGATGGGGCATCGTTATTCTTCCTGCGGTGGATGTATATATCTTTTTTGTTTTTGAGCAGCAAAATGTAATCATGGACATTCTCAGTGGGTAGTGAATTCGAGTACGATTTTGGAGATGTCAAGATCCAACTGCAATCTCTACGTGGTCATCGGCTTTTCGATCTCGACATCCGTGTCGATCGCGACATGGATGTTTTTTTTTCCAAACTGGTTTTGCAAGTCAAGTTCCCTCAGCGTATTTTAATACGCTGTCGTCGTTCCATCTTCCGCACCCTGGTGTCGCTGCGGAGCGCATCCTTCCATCCTTCCATCCTTCCCTCGATGTAATTCAATATACAATCGATCAAAGTATATATAGCTATATCTGGCTAATGGATTGGTTGATGTATGGACCGAGGACGCACCGAGCAGACCGAGCGCACCGAGCGCACCGAGCCGTCAAATATCAGGCTATTTTCTGTGGATGCGCGAGATGTAACGAGCAAGAAAACTGTTTTGCCGCAACACTGGACGATCGAGCAAAGTAAAAAGGCAATTGAATGGCTGACCGCCGTGCGCCGCTTCGGCGGCAGGGAGCAACGGAAAAGGGGGAGGATGGGAGGAGGAGGACCAAGAAGAGCTCATGTCCATCGACATAAGGATCCGTTTGATTCTGATGTCATAAATGAACGTGATATTGAGAGTTAAACTTACCAGGCATGCAGACGCAACGAAATGTCCCAGGGTCGTCAAGGCAGGAGCCGTCATTCTGGCAAGGATGAGATTCGCACTCGTTGACGTTGGTCTCGCACCTTGGTCCAGTGAATCCTTGCGTACAGTTGCAGGCGAAGGAGCCCGGCGTGTTCACGCAGATTCCGTCGTGTTCGCAGGGAGAACCTGAAGGAAGAGTCAAGTAGAGTGGCTGTGTATCACAGTCGTACGACAGCCCGGTCTTACAGTTTGCTCGAAGAAGGACACCGAACGTTTTCGTCGGCCTTGAACGAGCAACTTTCGATGGGAAATAATTCGGTAAGTAATTGAGTGAATCACGAAAGAACGATTCTACCGTGGAGTGCGCCTTTTTAACGGACGTGCAAGGAAACTGCTCGATCGACAGATGCTATATTCTGCGGCACAACGTCACACTCGCTTACGGAACGGGGAACAATGATACTCCACGCAACAGAATACACCATCTTTTTCTCCTTCTCGAATCTGGCGAATGCACATACTTTGCGACGTGATTTTTTGATTCGCGGTGACAACGCGACTCCAACTACTCCAACTACTCCAGCTATCCCAACTATCCCAACTATCCCGGCTATCCCAGCTACCGATTCAGTTAACGTTCCCCCGCTTTCTGGTTCCGTTCGAGTCGCCACCACCCTGCTCTCAAAAGCTACGCTTCTCTCGAATTCATTCCTAAGAACCCCTCGTACGTTTCTAGCTTTGCCGGAGTTGAGCCTGTGCTTCCACCTCACAACTTCCAGCTCGTGCCGGGTCGGCAGTTTCCTGGCTGGCTGGCCGCCGAAGGTGACGTGTAGTAGGTTAGCTCTCGGGTTTATACTATCGGTGCCGTGTTAAGAAAATACATTACAACTTGTACCTAAGAGTCGTTCGATAAATCTGCGGAAAATCACGAGAACTGTATTGCGATTTTATGTTTATAGTCGTCGGTACGCCGTACCCTCAAAGCACAATGGTTCATTGTTATCGCTCCCTTGGACTTTTCTCGAAACGCGGAATTTAATCTAGCAGAAAACTTGCAATTTAACGTAATAACATACTCACCGCATGAGCGGTTATTACATATTGCCGTTGTTATTAAAGGTTCAGCAATAATTAAGGCTTTAATTACCATTTGCACGGTTAAGGCTGCACAAGTCAATGTGCGTAGAGATTAAAAGTCCTATCCGTACTTTCACATCTAATAGCCAGATTCGTTAGTAATTTTCGATTGATCGATGCTGTCAAGAGATAAAAAGTTAATAGAATTCCGATTGCAGAGAATGCAGAAGCTGCGGTCCTCTCGCGCTAGTAAACGCAAATGGCACGTTAAGGATGCGCTGCGCCTCCTAAGGGTTGAAGTTTCGTATCGGGCATGAGATTTCAGTGTGCCACCCAAGATGCAGCGCTGCCACCTAGGTGGGGTTCCTCGGCAGTGGGCAGTGTGTAAGCGGACAAGCGCGAGGCGTGGCAACATGGCAATCAGGTAGACGTCCCCCAAGGATATCGGTTTACTTTTGTCGAGGGCGACGTTGCCAAAATTTCGTAACAATAGCCCTCTTTGTTCAGCGGCAGGTAGGTCGCCCTGCACGGTGGTTTCTTGTTGTAACGAGCAGCCTCCGGCTGGGTCCCCGAGTACTCTCCTCTTGCTCGAATGCTCTTTTCATCGACGAGTATCGAATCACGGCGCGCGGCGTCGCGTCGCATCCTCGCGATGCGACAGTTACGTAAAAGCGACGCTTTTAAATATTTTACAGATGCGAAAGAGAAAGGACTAGAAGGATCATTCCTAATGGGGAAAAAACGAAAGTCGAAAGATTAAATAAAATCGAACATAATGAGAATATGTCGAAAACTTTGAAGCGACAGGCCATAAGAAATGAGTCCCCTTGGATTTTCGTATGTCGGCTTCGTTACTGACTGATAAGAAGAACAACAGAGGAGGGAAACGGACAAAGAAGCAGAGTCTGACTGTGGGATTCTTGAGTAGCCTGCTGCTGCTGCACCAAGAAGACAAAAGAAGTGCTTCCGGTTATTAATGAAATATCTACGTGCAAAAGGAAGCGCGCATTAAGTGCAACAAGTGTAAAGGAGCATCCAATGTTATTGATTTCGTTTTCTCCTTGTCGATTTTCGCGATGCTTAAACAATGGGGTTTCCCGGGTCCCGCCGGTGCGCTTCAACGTTTCAAGTAGATTCATCCCGCGTTGAGCTTCCACGCACCACAGAACGGAAGGTTCAAGGCCGAAAGCCAAAGGTCGCCGACCCGACTTCCTACGCGCTCGCGCTTATCTCAAAGTCGAATCATCCTCTGAGATAATCTTTAAACCGTAATGCGGTTAACTCCAAGGAATTCAATGAGGTGTAAGTCCCATGCTGCGGTCCATTCCCCGCGAGTCTCTCTCTCTCTCTCTCTCTCTCTCTCTCTCTATTAATTAACCCGGGGCTACCGACAGTCTTCCTCCTTCCTCTGACCGTCCCGCGCGCAATTACCGACGCTCTCACCCTCCACCCGTCCAATTCTTAGCTTCTCCCTCTTTTGCTTCCGTATCCACGAGGACCTCTAGTAGTTTAGCTCGTGAGCGGAACAAAGTACGAAGAACGATGATGGGCAGATGGCGCAACTCGCAGAAAGGAAGAGAATTAGGTAGGCCGAGGTAGGCCGAGGTAGGCCGAGGTAGGCCGATCCCGACCGACCGATGGACCGGTTTCTCTGGGTCAGATTCATCGGCAGTCAAAGCATCGAGAAGAGACAACCACCGACAATCCCCGCTATTAAGCCTCACGTTCCACGTGGCGCATGGGTGAACATCAGTCACGTCCATTGCTGTCGAAGGCCCTCGATTCGCGACATTGGCGCCCGTAAGATAACGATAGAATGCTAAACCGGAAGTAACGTTCTCACCTTGTTCGCACTCGTCAATGTCCTCCGAACAGTCGAGACCCTTGTAGCCGCTCGCGCAGGAACAAGTGAATGACCCGTTTATCGGACTCGTGTCGCAAATGGCGCCTTGATGACAAGGATTCGAGGTGCAGGCATCGTCCAGATGACAGAGTAATCCTGAAAATGGAAACCAAAGAGAAGTGAGAAGTATGCAAGTGCAACTGGAGTCGATCGTGTCGACATCGACGCGACTCAGGTGAGTCGGCAGGATCCAACAAGTCGCCTGGAAAGTGTCGCACCGGGCGGCGGGAACACGGAAAGAAATACGTAGAAGAATCCCCCCTTACCTGTCTTGCCGTAGGTGCATTGACAGTAGAAGCTGCCAACGCGATCGATGCAGGTCGCCCCGTTGAAGCAGGCCGCGCCTGCACAGTCGTCGATGTTGATGCTGCAGTCCGGTCCCGTCCAGCCGTTTACGCATATGCAGGAGTAACTTCCGTGAGAGTTGGTGCAGGTCGCCCCGTTGTGGCACAACGAGGGCCTAACGGAGCACTCGTCGACGTCCAGCTCGCACTGCGTCCCGGTGAACGCCGCTGGACAGAGACACGAGTACTCGTTCACTCTGTCCATGCACGTCGCACCGTTCTGACAGAGGTTTCCGGGGCAATCGTCGATGTTCTCCTCGCAATTGTTACCCCGAAAGCCTAAAACAGGAGAGAAGGTTGGTTAGCGTTGCGAAAACACGTGCTAACAGTGATAACAGTCCTTACCCTTAAAGACATTAATTAAACAACAACAAGATTATTCGGGCCAAGTTCGTGGCTTTGATTTGGCTCGCTCGTTATCATTCTCAGCCATTCGTACATTATCGCAAGGATTATCGGAGAGAAGGGTGCGACTCTCCAGGTCTTGAGATAAGCACCAATGCATTGGCAATGAACTCGCGTGACCTTGTAGCGTTACTCCTTCTTCCCCTGGAGCCCCGCCAGCGCCAGCGCCAGCGCCAGCGCCAACGTCAACGTCAACGTCAACGTCGCCCGACGATGAGGTTACGCGTCGCTCTCGCAATCGGCTTAATGAATCTTGATCAATCAGTTTGGTTCAACGACTCATCGTACTATTCGATCCTTTTCTGGGGCAACAGAGGCGACAGTGAAGCCAAGAAGATAGGAGGCATCGCCGATAAGACTCATGTCAGCCGCGATTACGAATAGTTGAGAAATGCATTAACTACCGGCAAAGCGCAGGATGCCCCACACAGCACGCGGGAGTGTGCTTGTAGCTCGCTATTCGGAGCTCTCTTTCATTTCGGATTCCACGTAGTTGTCGAGGGGGTACAGGACGAGAGTCCTGTATACAACTATTAATTGCTAGGACAATAGAGCACGGAACAAGTTTTATGTTGGTCGATCTTTTACCGGTTCCAATAACTCGACGGACGTGCCACGAGGAAGTTGGTCCACGAGGAAATCTAGCTTCTTCGGTTCTCAGGTCGACCGGCAACGTGCAGGAACGCGCGAGCTAAGCCACGCTGATCTCTTCTTATCCATTCGAATCCTCTGTTCCTCTAAAATTATATCAGGCACTTTGCGGGCGGATAGTTACTGTGTCCACCGAGTTGCATAATTTCTTCACGTTTCAGCAATTGACTGCAGTCCACGTGTCGTGAGATGACACCAGCCAGAGTCGACAAGGTTGACATCTCAGAAAATCTAAATCCTTATTTGCATGGAACTGGCCTCATTCCGTCCTACAGTTCGTAGTTCGTAGTTCGTAGTTCGTACGTCAAAACTTGAGTCGAATTGACGGGAACGTAACGTAACAATTACGAAGAAGATAATTTCGCAAAAATCATAATTTTCCAAATTGTTCAAAGTCATTTCCATGCATCGTCGTAAGACAAGGGGAGATTTAAGGTATTCTACTTCGATCGTCCTAATCGCACTTTCATGACCTCGAGTGGATTCTCGAAATCCAACTGATTCCGAAGTTCAATGATCCGGAAGAATGGCCTCGGATAAATCTGTCATCCGTAGACGTTCCCAATTTTGATCTTGGCAATCGACGTCTCAATTCTACCGACTCCGTGGGTTTGGTTAATTCAATTGATTTCGTCGATTTCGTTGTCAACATATATGTATACTTTCTAAGAGCTCCATTTTATCATCCGAACTCTCTCGTACTCTGCTGCCATTATCGGCAACTTCAACTGCAACGCCACCGGCACCGCCACCGCCAACGCCAACGCTAGCGTTAGCGCTAGCGCAACGCTGTCTTCGTTTCACTCGTAACTAAGCATACGCTATAAAATGCAATGGCTCTCAGTCGCGGAGGTGTGGCAACGTCGCGAGAGCGGGTGTGCGTTCAGGGGCACAGCAGTGGGGACTGTGGGAAAATTCTCATGCCGCTGACTACGCCAAGCAGTGGTTCTCAAAAAACTGCATCACTTAACAGATTGTCAGTACTGCTCTTTCCTGAAGGAACCCTCACGAGTTTCACTGAGAACGGCTGATACCGTTCAGGCCTAGGTCCCTGAGGCCCCTGAGGCCCCTGAGGCCCCTCGGTTCAGACTCCCTGTGTCTCCCCAGGACCCCTCGTGGCTCCCGCCCAAGACTCACTGCGTTCTAATGTTTGATGGTTTCACTTAACCAGGAAAAAGTTTCAGTTGCCGCATCTGTTGTGTGCGTGGTATGTAGTAGTATACTCTAGTCGTTCTAGTACGGGGGGG